GATTGGCTTCCGGAAAAATCTCGCCAAGGTATCCAGGACCCTCTTTGGTGTGGTCCTTGGGCTCTCCCCCCCCTGGGAGGCCCCCAAAAGAGCTCGATATCAATGATGTGGCCAAAGTACTTCAACTTTGTCTCTAGTATCCTTCCCTCCAGTGAGCAGTCGGGCTTTATTTCCTGGAGGATGGACTGGTTGGATCTTCTCGCAGTCCAAGGCACTCTCAGAACTTTCCTCCAACACCACAGTTCAAAAGCATCGATCTTCCTTTGCTCAGCCTTCCCTAAGGTCCAGCTCTCACATCCGTAGGTTACTACAGGGAATACCATGGCTTTGACTAGGCAGAAGTAAGCGTCTTCTGATTTCCTGGCCACAGTCTGCATCTGCAGTCATCTTTGCGCCCAGAAATACAAAGTCTGTCACGGCCTCCACATTTTCTCCCTCTATTTTCCAGTTGTCAATCATTCTTGTTGCCATAATCTTGGTTTTTTTGGTGTTTAGCTGCAACACGGCTTTTGCGCTTTCTTCTTTCACCTTGATTAGAAGCTCTTCCTCGCTTTCGGCCATCAGAGTGGTGTCATCTGCATATCTGAGGTTGTTAATGTTTCTTCCAGCAATTTTCACCCCAGCTTTGCATTCCTCAAGCCCCGCACATCCTTGCATTATGTGTTCTGCATACACGTTAAAAAGGTTGGGTGAGAGGATGCAGCCTTGCCGTATGCCTTTCCCAATCTTGAACCAGTCTGTTGTTCCGTGGTCAGTTCTGACTGTTGCTACTTGGTCCTTGTACAGATTCCTCAGGAGAGAGGGAAGGTGGCTTGGGATGCCCATCCCACCATGTAGATGTTTCTTAATGGACTTCTCCTGAGATGGGACAATGTATATGACTGTTGGTTTTACTGATGGGTCTATGGACCGTAATAAATATTGTTGTTGTTGTACATCTATTCCTATATATTATTGCTATTATTTTTGTTATTTAATTATATTATTATTAACATTTATTATTATTATATTGTTATTATTTTATTAATAATTATATGTTATTATGTTATTCGTATTTTAATTAGTATTAGTATTAAACATGTATTCCTATATATTATTACTATTGTTTTTATTGTTTTACTAGCTGTACCCGCCACGTGTTGCTGTGGCCAACCTTCCCTCTTTCTCTCCTTTTTTCCCTCCTTCCTTCTCTCCCTCTTTCCTTTCTTCCTTCCCGTCTTTCCTTCTCTTCTTCCTTCCTTCTCCTTCTTTCCCCCTTTTTCTTTCTCTTCTGCTGTCTCTCTTTTCTTCCTTCTCTCTTTCCTTCTTTCCTTCCTTCCCCCTTTTTCTACATCTTCCCCGCTTCCTTCGCTCCCTCTTTCCTTCCTTTTTTCCCTTTTTTCTTTCCTTCTCTCCTTCCTTCTCTAACTTTCCTTCCCCCTTTTTCTTACCCTCCCTCTTTCTCTCCTTTCTTCCTTCTCTACCTCTTTTCTTTCTCTCTTTGCTTCCATGCTTCCTTCTCCCTTTCCTTCTTTCTTTCCCTCCCTCTTTCTTTTCTTTCTTTCTTTCTGTCTTTCTTTCTTTTTTTTTCTCCCCTTCCTTCCCTCTTCCCTTTTTTCTGTATTGTCATTTAGCTTTTCCTCATTTAGTTTTTGAGGCTTTCAAAGTCCCTTCTGCTGTGTTTTTCAGTGTTTTTATGAGTGATGGTCACTTGCTGGCCTGATTGGTGTACTGTGTCCAAATTTAGTGTCAATTTGTCCAGTGGTTTTTGAGTTACGTTAACCCCACAAACAAACATTACATTTTTATTTATATAGACTAGCCGTCCCCTGCCATGCATTGCTGTGGCCCACATGTGGGTTCTGTGTGGGAGGTTTGGCCCAATTCTATTGTTGGTGGAATTCAGAATGCTCTTTGATTGTAGGTAAACTATAAATCCCAGCAACTACAACTTCTGAATGTCAAGATTCTATTTCCCCCAAACTCCACCAGTGTTCACATTTGGGCATATTGAGTATTCGTGTAGAGTTTGGTCCAGATCCATCATTGTTTGAGTCCACAGTGCTCTCTGGATGTAGGTGAACTACAACTCCAAAACCAAAGGACACTGCCCACCAAACCCTTCCAGTATTCTCTGTTGGTCATGGAAGAACTGTGTGCCAAGTTTGGTTAAATTCTGTCATTGGTGGAGTTCAGAATGCTCTTTGATTGTAGGTGAACTATAAATCCCAACAACTACAACTCCCAAATGATAAAATCAATTATTTGGAGTGAAGGACATACATTGGCCTGATGGGTGTCTTGTGTCCAAATGTGGTGTCAATTCGTCCAGTAGTTTTTGAGTTCTGTGAATACCACAAACGAACATTACATTTTTATTTATATAGATATTGCAGTCATGCCGGCCACATGACCTTGGAGGTGTCTACAGACAACGCCGGCTCTTCGGCTTAGAAATGAAGATGAGCACCAACCCCCAGAGTCGGACACGATTGGACTTCATGTCAGGGGAAAGCCTTTATCTTTACCTATATATTACTATTTTATTAGCATTTTTATTGTTATTTTATTAGTATTAAACATCTATTCCTATATATTATTACTATTATTTTGATTGTTTTATTATTATTAACATTTATAATTATTATTATATACTAGCCGTCCCCTGCCATGCGTTGCTGTGGCCCAGTCTGTGTATATGTGTTTTGTGTTTGCATATATGTGTATAATATTGTTATAGAGCTAAAATTTAGACTAATCAAAGAGTTCTTTTTCCCTGGCGAGACAGAGAAGCATCCCATATTTTTCCCTGATTTCCCAATGAAAAGTCTCACCAGTTGAAGAAAAGCCATCGAGGTTTAATGCGATTCAGCTGAAACGGATGAAGAGCTGCAATAATTCGCCAAAGTTAAGAATGAGGGGAGTACACCAATACAGTCATATTTATAGCAAATTCAAAGTTGCGGAGTTCAAACTCCCCGCCCCGGCTTCCCTGTTGTTCCCCACCATGATTGGGCGATGGGCGAACAGCTGGGAGGCGGCCCTCCCGCCCCCAGTGCCTCTGGACCAATCAGGAAGCTCCAGTGGTCTGTAGGATCCAATGGGGAGACCTCTGCCACCTTGTGGCGACAGCCAATCAGGAGAGATGGAGGCGGGATGATCTTTAAACAAAGGAAATGCCATGTGGCCGGCGAGACAAAGAGCTCAAGCAGGGCCGATCTATTGTGTTCATGAGTGTTGTGAATCAACATGTGTAAAAATATCCAGATCCTTCCTGGCTGTGAGACAGAACAATGATGGCAGCCTGAGGTTAATGCTAAGTAAACAAAAGCAGAGGGGAAGATTTCCCCTTATCTTACAGAAACTTTTGTCAAACAATTCTTTACTCTAGTGGGCCATCTTCCGATGCTAGAGATAAGAATTTCCTTCTTTTATCCATGCAAGTGTGTCTTTGGCGGGAGGTTTCAGTAACCGCTAATAGCTTTTGTTTCTGAAGGCCAGGGGGTTCCTTTACATATTTCTTTGGAGGGAGAAGGGGCAAAGGGTCAGGAATACAAGGAAACATAAAAATCATATAGAAATTATACACAGGGAAATCATATGCAGCTATCTTCCCATTCAGGGCCCCAGAGAGAAATTAATAATACCAATAATAAAAAGCAGACGATATCAGCACACAGCATGAATTCATAAGTTGTCTTGAAGAAAGTTCATGGGTAGGGAGCAAGTCCTTGAAGAGAGTGAAGTCCAGGAAGGTAGCAGAATTCAAAAAGCCACCAAAGGGAGTCTATGGAGTTCCACTGGGCCAGGGCACAAAGCCCTGCAGTGCTGGGATGGAAGCTGCTCTCGAGACAGAGGCAGAGACCCCAAGGTCTAGCCATTCCCGAAGTTTCATGGGGTCCTCATTGTTGTTAAGGTCTTGGCAAATTGACCAAGACTTAACCCCTATTGTGCAGTCTGGTACCTTTGTCCTTTGCAGAACTATAAGTCACCATCCCTTGTTGGTGGGGCATGCTCGACTTCAATATGTGTGTGTATATATTTGTCTATATGTGTATTTGTGTGGTTATGCACATGCATTGTAATTTATTTTTGGTTTTTTTAAGCTTTTAAAGTCCCTTATGCTATGTTTTTCAATGTTTTATGAGTTATTGTCACTCGTTGGCCCGACAGGTGTCTTGTGTCCAAATTTGGTGTCAATTCTCCCAAGGGTTTTATAGTTCTGTTAATCCCACAAAGGAACATTACATTTTTATTTATATAGATTATTTTTCATTAATAATTATGTTATTATTATTGTATTAGTATTTTTATTAGTAGTAGTATTAAACATCTATTTCTATATATTATTACGATTTTTGTATTATTATTTTCTTTATTGTATTATTGTTATTATTCCTTTCTGCCTTTCTTTTTTTCTCTCTGAAGGGAGGGTCCTTCATTCCATTCAATGCAATGCAATGGACGGCAGCAAAGAAAAGGTCAGGAAATAATAATAACCTTTTTTCCTTCCTTTTTTCTTTTTTTCCAAAAATGAAAGCAGAACTAAATATTAATTCATCAGCGAAGCGAATGGAGAGCAGCTGCTTTTTCTTCTGAAGGAAGGCATGAAAAAGGGGAGAAGAGCATGAAAGTCCCCATTAACAGAAGGAGGAGGAGAAGGAAAAGAAGGTCTGATAGATACATTATTACATTATATTACATTATTAATATTATTATTAATATTAATATTAATGGTGTAATATATTATATTGTATTAATAGATAGAACACCATATTTTTATATTATTTAAAGTATTATTAATGAATTATATCATAGATATTAGTATTAATAATGTAATATAATATATTATATATATTACAACATAATAGATATAGGTATTACGTTATTAAATTATATTACTAATATTACTAATGTAATATATAGTAAAATAATACATATATTAATAATATTAATAATGTAATATAACATATTAGCATAATAAAATATAATAATATTTTAATTTATTATTTTATATTATTTTTATATGCGTTATCATTATTATTATAATATTATTATATTTTTATTATGCTAGTATGTTATATTACATTATTGATATTATTATAATAATAATGATAACACATATAAAAATAATATAAAATAATAAATATTATATTATATTATTATATATTATATATTAATTATTATATTATATAATATAATATAATATAAAATAATATAAATTATATTATAATATTTTATATAATAATTATATTATATTTATTATTATATTTTTACATTATATTATTATTATTATATATTATAAATTATTATTATATTATATTATAATATTAATATATTATTATAATATAATAATAAAATAATATAAAATAATAAATTAAAATATTATTATAATATAATAAATATAATAACAAATAATATAAAATAATACTATAATCAATTATAATAAATAATGTTATATAATAATAATGATGATGATAAACTATAAATTATATAAATTGTATAATATACTGGGAGTGTATTACATATATTGTACATAATAATAATACAGTAATAATTATATGTTATATTTTATATGTATTATTACTAATATGGCAGTATAGTACAATATAGTCATATATATAATATTAATATTGTGCTAAGCTCATAATATATTGTATATATAAATAAATATATAAATAAGATTGATAATAATATTATTATATTATTATATTACTATTGTTTTGTTATTCTATTACATTTACTATTGTTTTATCTTATATTATTACTGCATTATGGTATTATATTATATTTATTACAATATTTAATTAAATATTATTATATAATTACATATTTTATCATATTGTTACATTATTATATTATATCATCATCATCATCATCATTTAATTACTTATTAATCGCCCTCCATCCGAGAATGCTCTAGGCGATTGTAAAAGATAAAATACTTACATACAAAAATTAAAAAATTAAAATGAAAATTATATGATTATGATATGATATTTATAATAGTATTATGTTATATTATATCATATTACCTTATTATATAATGTTATTATAGTATTACATTATAATATCATTATTATATTTTGTTGTATTATATTCATTATTATACTATAATATTACTAATATACTATATCAACATATATTATAGCATTATATTATATTTTTATATTATTAGAATATATATTTATTATATATGTACTATTTTGTTAATATTAGCATATTATATTATATTCCTATATTATTATATTATATTAAAGGGATGGAGAACCAGGCTCTTCTTCCAGGAGCCTCACAAAAAATAAGGAAGGTAAGGAATATTATATCATATTAATGGGATATATATATTTCTATTTCTATTTTACTTTATATTTTTAATAAACAAATTTTCTGTCTCTGGAATTAAGTGTGCTATTTTCTTCATTCTTCCTTTCCTTAATTATATAATAATATTAATAATAATAACAACAACAATATAATAACAAAAATATATAAATATTACGGTAACAATATAGTTACGATAATACTAACTGTAATAATATGTAGTAATAATATATAAAAATAACAATATTGTTACAATTCTATAATATAGTAATAATATTTTCATACAGTAATAATATACAATAGCTACAATAATATAAAAATAATAAAATTAAAATATAACATATAAATTATTATACACGAATATAAAATATACCTACAGTTATAGTAATATACAATCTATAATAAATTATAATACTATATAATAATTTTAATAAATTAATAATAAACTATTTCTGTTATCTAGTATATTATTATTATTTATATTATTATCCATTATTAGTATTATTATCTAATATATTATCTATTATTACCTACTATTTAATTATTACTATTATCTTGTATATTATTAGCTATTATTATCTACTATGTATTATTATCAATTATTATTATTACTCATTTATCATCATCATCATATAATATATAAAATAATAATCATTTAATAAATAATAATATTAATAATATTTTAATGAATATTTTTCTTTCTGGGGTGAATTCAGGTAGCTATTTTCTGCTCTGTTTCCTTAATCCTTAATCCTGAGCAATAAAGTCATGGGACTTTTAAAGCACAGAAAAAGGATTGTTGCCACTGCAATCCATTGAAATCCACACCCTTTTGGTGCCCCAAAGCAAAGAAAGAAAGGAATGAAAGAATGAAAGGCATCTGAGCAGAATTTTCCATGGTTTATTGTCGAAGGCTTTCCATGGTTTTCTCCCCCCCCCCCTCGTTCCATCTAGGAATGAATATTTCTAAGGATATGTATAGGAATGTTTTTATAAATATTTTTGCAATTATTTTAATAAATATATTTTCGTAATTATTTTGATGAACATTTCCGTGATTATTATCTTGTGAATATTGCTGCAAATATTTTAATGAATATTTTAATGAACATATTTATGAATATTTTTGTGAGTACTTCTGCAAATATTTTTGTGTGTTGCACCCCAGGATTCACCTTGCTCTCAACACAAAAAGTGGTAATAAAGCAGTTTATTAAGAAAAGCAAATGTAAAATGGAAACGTCATCATAAGAAAGAAGAACCGTAACTCCAACAGATGATAGGAAAAATAGTCAACAAATAATAAGCCAATCCAAACTGGGAATAAGGAAAACATTCCAAAGACAATAACCAAACAGGTCAAATCTGCTCCATATAACAAGGTACAAGAAAAACCAGGTTCAAAACATGAGCATAATCCAGGAAAAAGAAGAATCATACCATGAACATTAATCCAAAAGAAAACTTCTTGAAACATGAATATAAACTCCCAAGATATAAAACTAAAAACTTGAACTGTAAACTAGGTTCGAGATCCTCACTGCTTCATAGCGTTGCCTGATCTGAATTCCCAAAGAGACACTTCTCTGATTTAAGGACCGCAAAACATGAAAGCATTCTTGTGTCCTGATCTGCAGTTTTCTAGGGAAAAAGTGACCTCACAGACAGGCTGGAAGGGCTTTATTTCTCAAAACATACAGTACGGTTACAAGTAAAGTTCCATCTGACAGTTGGTTTCCCTCTCACCTCATATCCCACTCTTTGGCTGTCCCCTTCACAGCCCCGTTTCCATGGAAACTCTCCCTTGCTTCAACCCTCCCTTGCGGTGGCCGGAAGAGCTTTTGCACAATTAAAGCTTGTGCGCCAGCTGCGCCCGTACCTTGGGAAGTCGGATCTGGCCACGGTGGTCCACGCTCTTGTTACATCCCGATTAGATTACTGCAACGCACTCTACGTGGGGTTGCCTTTTTAGACTGCTCAGAAACTCCAACTAGTCCAGCGGGAGGCAGCCAGATTGCTCACCGGAGCGGCATACAGGGAGCATACCACCCCCCTGTTATGTCACCTCCACTGGCTGCCGATCCAATTCCGAGCACAATTCAAAGTGCTGGTTTTGACCTACAAAACCCTATACGGTTCCGGCCCAGCGTATCTGTCCGAACAGATCTCCCTCTACGTCCCACCTCGGAGCTTAAGATCTTCTGGGGAGGCCCTGCTCTCGACCCCGCCTCTATCACAAGTGAGGCTGGCGGGGACGAGGAGCAGGGCCTTCTCAGTGGTGGCCCCTCACCTGTGGAATTCACTCCCCGGGGAGATTAGATCAGCGACTTCCCTCTTGTCATTTAGAAAAAAATTGAAAACTTGGATGTGGGACCAGACATTTGAACGTTCTGGCAGCTAGAGGAAGGACCTTGATGATGGACAGGAATTGACTGAACGGAATGGATTTATGGAACTCTGAACACTGAGCATGAGATTAGTTTACTGATTGTGTTATGTACTGATGATTTTAACTTGTTAATTGTTTAATTGCTGTTTTGTATGTATGTATATTTGACATAGGCATCGAATTGTGCCTTCTTTGTAAGCCGCCCTGAGTCCCCCCTCGGGGGTGAGAAGGGCGGGGTAGAAGTAATCAAAATAAATAAATAAATGAGCTACAGGCCAAGGCATGGCCTACTTCCATGGTTTCCCACAACTCCAGGAAAGAAGGTAATGACATATCTCCCCACCTAAAAAACCCCCAGAAAACAGTAAAATTGTAAAACAAAAATAACATTAACAACATGAACTGAAATCCAAGTCATGAATATAAGCTCTCAAGATCTAAAACTCAAAACTTGAACTGGAAACTAGGTTTGAGATCCTCACTGCTTCGCAGCGTTGCCTGATCTGAATTCCCAAAAGAGACACTTCTCTGATTTAAGGACTGCAAAACATGAAAGCATTCTTGTGAACTTGACTCCTTTCCTGTGGGATTTTGCTGCTCTTCCTTCTCATGGAGCCTTTGCAATCTTTTCCATCTGCTTGATTCCTCCCTAAGATCAAGCCTTTTGAGCACAGGTGAGCTTTCTCACCCACCCACTTAATTTTCTGGGGTTGGGTAGAAGAAAAGTCTCCTGCATCTCCCTATCTGCTGGACTTTCAAACCTATCCTCATAGACAGAATCTTGCTTTAAAATCCCTTCAGTTCCCTCATTGAAAGAACCATTCACCACTCTACGAGGCTCTGAAATACTCATCCCCTCATCTTCATTTGGCTGAACCATAACATTGTTGATATTACTGTAAATATTTTACTGAATATTTTAATAAATATATTTCTGAAAATGTTCAGTGATAGATTATTATATATTATTATACATTATTCTTTATAATATATTTCATAATTATATTATATGGGCCCCAATGGTGCAGCATGTTCAACTGCTGAGCTGTTGAACTTGCTGACTGAAAGGTTGATAGTTTGAATCCAGGGAGTTGGGTGAGCTCCCATTGTTAGGCCCAGCTTCTGTCAACCTATCAGTTAAAACCATGCAAATCTGAGTAGATCAACAAGTACTGCTTTTGCAGTAAGTTAATGGCGCTCCATGCAGTCATGCTGGCCACATGACTTTGGAGGTGTCTATGGACAATGTAGCTCTTTGGCTTGGAAATGAAGATGAACACAACCCCCAGAGTCAGACACAATGAGACATAATGTCAGGGGAAACCTTTACCTTTACTGATTATATTATTTAATCCATTATATCATTATTATATTATTCATTATTGTCAACACTGTTAATTATCCATTTATTATTATTAATATCAATTATTATCATCTAATGTTCTATTATTTATGATCATCTACTATTTATTATTTATATTATTATTATAATCCATTACATTATTTTAAATAATTCATTATATTATTATTATCGACATCTAATGTTATATTATTATCCATTATTTATTATCTATTATTATTTATTATTATATCTAATATTCTATTATTTATTGTTATCCATTATTATCTACCATTTATTGTTGATTATTATTAATATTACTATGATCCATTATATTATCCATTATCTATTATATTATTACCCATCATTTATTTATTATTATTATTTATATGTTTATTATCCATTATATATTATTATTAATATCATTATTTATTATTATTATTATTATCATCATCCATTATTATTATTATTATGTATAATCATTTATTATTATATTGTTATCCAGAATTGTTTATTATTTATATTATTATTATTACACATTAATTATTATTATGTTACCCATTATTTATTATGATTATTATATATTATTATGTTATACTTTATTATTATTATTATCATCACCATCCATTAGTATAAGTAATAATAATAAATAATGAGTAGTAATAATAATAATAATAATGTTATTTATTTTATTTATTTATTTAACTTGTATACCGCTACTCCCAATTTGGCTCGGAGCAGTTTACAGAATTAGATTTAAACAATACAATTAGCTTTAGAACAACCATAACAATAACAATAGGTAGCAAGGACAGACATAGCCCGGGTTGTTCACCCATCAAAAGCTTGCCGGAAAAGAAAAGTTTTACAGGCTTTCCGAAAAGCAAATAAGTCTCGAATGGTTCGAGTTTCCACCGGCAAGGCATTCCATAAATAAGGGGCTACGATCGAGAAGGCTGGGAAGCAACCACTCGCTCTAGAACCTTGCCCAAAAAAGGGAGGTTAGAAATTGGCCAGTAGTTATTTAGGACCGAGGAATCTAGGGACGCCTTTGTAAGGAACAGTCTCACAATTGCACTTTTCAGGCTCAATTGAATCTGTCCCTTTTCCAAGAGGCATTTAAACAGGTTCCCGGACCACTTTAACAGCATCCACCCAAGCATCCAATTCACCATGGAAAAAGGAAATGAAGGAAGACTGCCTTTTCTAGATGTCCTATTCATCCGCAAACCAGATCAACAGTTGGGTCACACCGTTTACAGAAAAACTACACACATGGATAGATACCTACATAAAAACTCCAACCATCACCCAAGTCAAAAAAGAAGCACCATTAAAGCCTTGGCAGACCATGCAAAAAAAATGTGCAAACTCCGTCTCCTCCAAGATGAACTGAACCACCCCAACTGGGCTCTCCAGGCCAATGGAGACTCCACCTCAGACATCAGAAGAGCTGCAAGACCGAGAACAAGCCACGAGAGTCAAGACGAAGATCCATCCAGAGGAAAAGTGTTCTTGCCATACATCAAGGGAACCACTGACCGCATTGGGAAGCTGATGAGGAAACACAACATACAAACAATCTACAAACCCACCAAGACAATCCAACAAATTCTCCATTCAGCAAAGGACAAGAGGGATCCTCTCACTTCTGCAGGAGTCTACCGTATACCATGCAGCTGTGGACACGTCTACAGAGGGACCACCAAACGCAGCAGCATTGCCCAAACACGAATCAAGGAACATGAAAGGCACTTCAGCCAGAAAAGTCAGCCATAGCAGAGCATCTGATGAACCAACGTGCACACAGCATATTATTTGAGAACACAGAAGTGCTGGACCACTCTCACAACCACCATGTCAGACTACACAGAAAAGCCATTGAAATACACAAGCATGTGAACAATTTCAACAGAAAGGAGGAAACCATGAAAATGAACAAAATCTGGCTACCAGTATTAAAAAAAACTCTAAAATTATAACTGTAAATAAAGAACAACACTCAAACACAGGGGAACTCCAGACAAGAAATAATCAGGGACAGCTAATCACCTCTCAACAAAGGATTCCTCCAGGCAGTAACAAGCCATACCTAAAAACGGTCAGGCCATCACTTGGTCAGTTGAAACATTCACACCTAGCTCCTGCAGACAAAAGTCCTTTGTCCCACCCTGGTCATTCCACAGATATATAAACCCATTTTCCTACTTCCAACAGACCTCACAACCTCTGAGGATGCATTCCATAGATACAGGCAAAACGTCAGGAGAGAATGCTTCTGGAACATGGCCAGACCGCCCAGAAAACTCACAACAACCCAGAGTTAAGACACATTAATGCCAAAGAGACCTTAAAAGCAGCTTGGGTGCAAAAGCTCATCTATTTATTTGTTCTCCAGTTAATATTATTTTCCATTATACAGTTGTTGTTTATTCGTTCAGTCGCTTCCAACTCTTTGTAATCTCACACATCCAGCATTCTGTATTATCCAATGCAGTCTGCCTCCCGCCCAGATCGTGCTAAATTTGTAAATACAGTAATTACATAACGTTACCGTGTATTGCACTGCTTTTTCTGTTGATTTGTTGTAAAACATTAGGTTTTTGTGCTTAATTTGTAAAATCATAACGTTATCTGATGCTTAATAGGCTTAATTCCTCCTTATTATCCAATATTTTTGCATACCCAATATCCTGCCAGTTTGTTTATGTTGGATAAGCGCGACTGTATTATTATTACTCTATTTTATCATCATCATCATCTAATATATTATTTATTTATTGCTAGTTATTATTAATTATTAATATTATTGTTAGTATTCATGATGTGAGTGCTGTTCAGAGGTCTCTTCCAACTTTATGATTCTATGATTCTATGATTCTATGTATTATTATCCAACATTATTATTATATATTATTATTGGACATTATTTATTATATTATATTATTATCAACTATTATCCTTTATTATTGTTTATATTATTATCTATTATTATTTATATTATTATTATTATCTATTATTATCATTATTATCATCCATTATATTATTATTGCTCATTATGTATTATTATTATCTAATATATTATTGTTTATTGTTTATTCATTTTCAGGGCCCAACGTGGACGCTGTTGGTGTGTGTGTGCGCAGCCGGGATAGGAGGGACTTTCCAATATGGCTACAATGTGTCCGTCATCAACGCCCCAACCGAGGTGAAGCCCCGCCCTTTCCCTTTAAGCCCCACCCCTTCCTCTTAAGAATATAATGGATAATAATAATAATAATAATCTATAAATCTATAAATCTATATATGTATCTCTATATATATGAAAGTCAATGTTTGTATGTATGTGGGTATGTATGTATGTTGGTATGTGGCAGCTTTCTGATTAGCTCCCACTTCTACAGGCCACTGCAACTCCCACAAATGACGGACCTGGACCAAACTTGGCACACATAAGTCCCATGACCCAGTCTACATCCTAGTGTGGTTTGGAGGAGGATGGACCACGGATGATGGGACTTGCAGTACCTTCAATCACATTGTATGACAATTGGGACAAGCATGAATGATGGAACTGCATCAAACTTGACACACATAACCGCCCATGACCGATCTCATGCTTTGGTAAAGTTTGGGGGAGGATGGACCACAGACAATGGGATTTGCAGTGGCTTCACTCAATTCACTTCCCACAGAACACTGAGGCCCCGAAAAATCACAGACCTGGACCAAATTTGGCACACAGACCCCACATGACCCACTCTACATCCTGGTGCAATTTGGAGGAAGATAGACCATGGATAATGGGAGTTGCAGTAGCTTCACTCACTTCCTGAAACCACTGCAACACACACCAATGGCTGATCAAGTCCAAACTTGGCACACAGAGCCCCCATGACCCACTCTACATCCTGGTGCTGTTTGGAAGAGGCTGGACCATGGATGATGGGACTTGCAATACCTTCACGCACTTCCTGAAACCACTGTCACCCACACCAGTTACAGATCAACATCAAACTTGGCACAAAGAGCCCCCATTATCAGCTCTACATCCTGGTGCTGTTTTTGGGATGACAGTACCTTCACTCACTTCCTGAGACCACTGCAACCCACACCAGTGACTGATCAAGTCCAAACTTGGCACACAGAGCCCCCATGACCCACTCTACATCCTGGTGTGGTTTGGAGGAGGATTGGCCATGGACAATGGGACTTGCATATGGGAGTTTTAGTTCACCTGCACCCAACATTGGATCTAGACTAAACTTGTAGCACAGACAAAATATGCCTTTCTCAAATAACCCGGGCACTGCCAGTTCCCCAAGATAGTCTATCTATATCACAAAAGTCAATGTTTGTATGTGGGTATGTGGGTGCATATGTGGCAGCTTTCTGATTGGCTCCCACTATCACAGGCCACTGCGTCCTGCACGAGCGACAGACTAGGACCAAATTTGGCACACATAACCCCTATGACCAACTTTACGTCCTGGTGTGGTCTGGGGGACGATGGACCACGGATGATGGGATTTGTGGTACTTTCATTTGTTTCAGCTCCTATAGACCATTGTGATGCCCACCAATGACAGATCTGGACCAAACTTGGCACAAAGATCCACCATGACCCAATCTACATCCTGGTGTAGTTTGGAGGATGTATCATGGATGATGGGACTTGAAGTAACTTCAGTCTCTTTGTGAGACCACTGCGACCAGCATGAATGACGGACCTGGACCAAACTTGACACACATAACCCGCATGCTCCATCTTACGCCCTGGTGATGACTGGGGGAGGATAGATCATCTGATTAGCTTCCCACGGAACACTGTGGCCCCCAGAAATCACAGAACAGGACCAAACTTACCACACAGATCGTAACATCGCGAACTCTTCAATAGTTATCAATTCTAGTCCACACCTCCTGCATTCCAGAGTAACTATGACATACGACGCTGCGTCCATTTGTTCTACACACTTGATTTATGATCTCTCTAGGAATGCTGTTCCCTTCATGGTTCAGTTAACTCTTTCCACACAGGAATACATTACACTCGGCACATAGCGACTGCATGTTAAGCATACATACATACCATACATACATACTTTGAAATCTACATTATAAATTGCAAACAGCTTCAACAGGATGGACTATGGATGATGGGAGATGCACTCATTTCCGGACACCACTGTGCCACCTGCACTCATTTCCTGACACCTCCTCCTCCTCGTCACCAGTGCTCCTGCTGGCTTTGGAGGCGGTGAGGAGTGTTGTGGCTCAGCAGCTGGAGCCTCAGGAAGAGGATGATGGGTTTCAGATTCCTGAACATGTTGCTGTAGTTGATACAGACAATGTTGATGCTGAAGATAAGGAGTTTCAGTTTCCCATGGCAAGGGATGTTGTTTTAGAAGATGTTTCTGATCTTAGTGAAACATTCACAGGTGCAGGTGGAGGAGGTGAGCCAACCTGCGAAGTCTCTGCCTGTCGATTCCCAGTCCCAGGATAATGAGTTATTCGACCTTGAAGGCTCGGCAGACTTAGACAGGGAGGATCGCTTGCAATTCAGGGTTCGCTGCAGTACAAGGCTTGCAAACAAGAGAGGTTAGAGGTCAAAGGAATGCTTTCATGCTAGGAAAATATATTTAACAAGCTGGTTGTAGTCAGCCTTTTGTCAGTGCGACTTCAGTAAACACCCTGATAACTTCTCTGGATTGCCTCGGCTTTTGGGCAATGCTTTTAGCTTCTTGGGACTTTGATTGGGATCTTGGCTTCTTGGGACTCTGTCATGCTGCCATGGAATCTTGTTTGATCAATACTTATGGAATATGCTTCATGTTGTTTGCCTTTGGACTTTGGAAACTCTGTCTTTGCATTTAAGACTCTGTTTGGCTATTGAACTTTTGCAACTTTACTTTCGTGTTTAAGACTTTGCCTTTTCTTTAATAAACTACAAAACCTTTAGCCTTTGTGTGTGGTGTTCTGAGCAAGGTGAATCTATCCTGAGGTGCGACAAGGAGGAGGAGGCTTTGCCCACTCTGCGGCAGCCTCCTCCACGTCGCCTGTGCTCCTGCTGGCTTTGGAGGCCCATTGGCTGCTACTGATGGCACTGCCAGGCTGGGCTGAAGCCTCAGCCCAGCCTGGCAGTGCCATCAACGGTGCCCAAGGAGCCTCCAAGGCTGGAGGCGAGCAGGAGGAGTCTCCGCCCACTCGGAAACAGCCTTCTCCTTCTTGCCGCCTGTGCTATTCTCAGCTTCGGAAGCCCCTTGGGCTCTGTTGATGGAACTGCCAGGCCGACTTGGCAACGGTGCCCAAGGGGCCTCAGAGGCCGGGAGCAGCAGAGGCGAGGAGGAGGAGGCCACCATCGAGTGGGCGGAGCATCCCTATATCGCAGATTTTCACTTATCACGGGGGCTCCTGGAACGAAACCCCCGCAATAAGTGAGGGAACACTGTATAAAAAAGTTAATGCTTGTAAGTGTATATGTATGTCTTTATGTATTTGTGTATGTGGCAGCTTTCTGATTGCCTCCCACTTCCACTGTCCACTGTGACCCCCATGAATGACGGACCTGGACCAAACTTGGCACAAAGAACCCCCATAACCCACTTTATGTCCTGGTGAAGTTTAGGGGAGGATGGACCACAGATAATGGGATTTGCAGTACTTTCAATTGCTTCGGCTCCCACAAACTACTGCAATCCCCACCAATGACAGATTAGGACCAAACTTGGCACACAGAGCCCCCATGACCCACTTTACATCCTGGTGCAGTTAGGGGGAGGATCAACCATGGATGATGGGATTTGCAGTACCTTCACTCAATTCCTAAGCCCACAGCAACCCCCACAAATGACAGACCTGGACCAAACTTGGCAAAAAACCTCCCATGACCCACCTCACACCCTGGTAAAGTTTGGGGGAAGGATGGATCATGGATGATGGGATTTCCAGTACCTTCACCCAATTGACATCCCACAGAACACTGTGGTCCCCACAAATCTCAGAGCAGGACCAAACTTGCCCCACAGACCCCCAAAGACTCTCTTTACGTCTTGGTGAGGTTTGGGGGGGGGGGATCGGCAATGGATAATGGGAGAAGCCGTATCTTCACTGACTTCCTGAAACCACTGTGAGCCCCAATAATGACAGATCAAGGCCAAACTTTGCTTTGTTTCTGTTAGAAATGTAATATAATTTGACTGGTTGTTCTGACACGACAAATAAATATGGCCAAACTTGACATACAGAGCCCCCATGAGCCACTCTACATCCTGGTGCAGTTTAGAGGAGGATGGAACATGAATGATGAGACTTGCAGTACCTTCACTCACTTTCTGAGACCACTGTGACCCACACCAATGACTGTTCAAGACCAAACTTTGACCACAGAGCCCCCTTGACCCATTCTACACCCTGGTGCAGTTTGGAAGAGTTTGGACCATGGATGATGGGATTTGCAGTACCTTCACTCACTTCCTGAAACCACTGAGATCCACACCAAAGACTGTTCAAGATCAAACTTGGCACACAGGTCCCCCATGACCCACTCTCCATCTTGGTGAGGTTTGGAGGATGATAGACAATGGATGATGGTAGATGCAGTACCTTCACTCACTTCCTGAAACCACTGTGAGCCACAATAATGACAAATCAGGGCTAAACTTGGCATACAGAGCCCCCATGAGCCACTCTACATCCTGGTGCCATTTGGAGGAGGATAGTCCATGGACGATGGAACTTGCATATGGGAGTTGTAGTTCACCCATACTCACTGAACCCAGCTGATATTGGATCTAGACTAGACGAAACTTGGACCACAGACAAACAATCCCTTTCTTTAAAAAAACCCCGGGCATCATCGGGTCTGCAAGCTAGTGTGTGTGTGTGTGTGTGTGTGTGTGTGTGTGTGTGTGTATACATGTTGAATATATTAGTAAAATATCTAAAATAATAATGTGATATATAATAATAATAATAACAATAATAAAAAAAATATATTATATTATTATTTAATATTACTACTATATATTTATTATTATTTTATATTATATCATTATATTATTATTTTATATTATATGATGTTATGTTGTATATTAATATTTTAATGGTATTATTTATTATCCTTTATTCAATATCATTTTATTTTATTGTATCTTATTATTACATTCGTTATTATGTTGTATTAATACATTAAATTATTATATCATATTATTATTTATTACCAATACCATATTCTTTCTCTGTTTCCCTGTAGCACATCCAGGGCTTCCTGAATGAGACCTGGCGCGAGCGCTATGGCACCAACCTCCGACCGGACCTCCTGACCCTGCTATGGTCAACCGTGGCCTCAGTCTTCTCCCTCGGAGGGCTCTGCGGGGCGCACCTTGGTGGGACCCTTGCCATACAGATCGGGCGGTAGGGGTTCATTTATTATATATTATTAATATTATTATCTGTGGGGCCCATCTCAGGGGCACCCTTACCATATGCTGATCAGTGTATTACAATTATTAGTATATTCTTCTTCTTCTTCTTCTTATATTATATTTATATTAATAGTAACACTTTATTTATATTTCGCCCTATCTCCCCAAGGGGACTCAGGGCGGATCACAGTACACATACACGGCAAACATTCAATGCCGTTTTGGATAGGGCAAAGACAGTCAGAACAGAAAGGAGGAATGGTGTGTTGACATCCAGATTTTTGGTGCCTTTGGAAGTTGTGCTTGAATCCAGCCACGAGGGGTGCTGTCGCTCCAACCTCTATGACGAAGAGCCATCAGGACTTCCTCTTTGCTTTTAAAAATCTTTTTGTTTATGTTGTTGTAAAATTCCTCCTCTGTTTAGTGGTACCCAGTTTCTCTAACTACAGCTGTAAGCTGTTTTCTAACATAATGTTATTATTATATTATTTTTATTATTATTATCATCTGTGGGGCTCACGTCAGAGGCACCCTCACCATATGCATTGGATGGTCAGTCTATTATTATTATTATTATTATTATTATTATTATTATTATTATTATTATTTGTGGGACACCCTCGTCGTACGCATTGGCACATCAGGGTTCATATATTAATATTTATTATATTTATCATTATATTATTATTATTAAATTATTATCATCTGTGGGGATCACCTCGGGTCCCCCCTCGCCATATACATAAGCCAGTCAGCATGCATTTATATTTATTATTATTATTATTATTATTATTATTATTATTATTATTAATCATTATAGTAAAATAATAGGGAAATAAACAAGACGAACTCCAGCGTTTACCACAACACCATACTTATTATGTCATAGGCATCACTGAAACCTGGAGGGATGACTCCTATCTCTAGAATGTAGACATTGAGGGCTAAGACCTCTTTCACAGAAACAGAACAAAGAGGAGAGGAAGGGGAGTAGCCTTATATGTCAAAAACTGTTACACTGCAGAAGAGATGCAAGACTGCACTTCGGGAAACCAGCTTGAAAGCATCTGGATAAAAATCAAGGGAACCGGGACTCAAATAGATCTTGTTGTGGGTGTCTACTGCAGACCCCCCAAGCCAGGATGAAAAACTTAACAAAGCCTTCTGTCAATAGTTGACCAAACAGGCACAAAAAAGAAATATAGTAGTCATGGGCGAGTTCAACTATCCCAATATTTGCTGGAAAACAAATTCAGCCAAGAGTACAAAGTCCAACAAATTCCTTGCTTGCCTTGCAGACAATTTTATGGTCCAGAAGATAGAAGTGGCAACAAGGGGATCGGCTATTTGCAATCTCTTCCTAACAAACGCAATTACTGCAAATTTTTGCCTAGCCCACATTGGACTAGTTTGTTTGCCAGAAGATCATGGGGGACCGTGAAATCCAGATACGAGTTTTTGGAGAATGAGACAAGTCCCAGAAGATTGGAGGAGGGCAAACGTGACCCCTATGAATATTCAAGAAGGGAAAAATGGACAAACCAAACAATTATCAATGTCCAGTCAGCCTCACGTCGGAGCCCCCGGTGGCGCAGTTGGTTAAACCCCTGTGCCGACAGGTCGCAGGTTCGAATCCGGGGAGAGGCGGATGAGCTCCCTCTATCAGCTCCAGCTCCTCATGCGGGGACATGAGAGAAGCCTCCCACAAGGATGATAAAAACATCAAAAATCATCCGGGCATCCCCTGGGCAACGTCCTTGCAGACAGCCAATTCTCTCACACCAGAAGTGACTTGCAGTTTCTCAAGTCGCTCCTGACATGACAAAAAAAAAAGCCTCACGTCGATACTGAAAAAGATCATTAAGGAAATTTATTTATTTATTTATTTATTTATTTGACCCAGTTTGGCTCGGAGCGGTTTACAGCAGTAGATTAAAACAATACAACCAACTTTAAAATACAATAAAAACGAGAAGACATAGTCCTGAGTTACTCACCCATTGAAAACTTGCCAGAAAAGAAAGGTTTTATAGGCTTTCCGAAAAGCAAATAGCTCTCGGATGGTTCGGGTTTCAACTGGCAAGGCATTCCATAAATAAGGGGCTACGATTGAGAAGGCTCTCTGCCTAGTAGAGGACAGATGGTAAGTCCGGATGTTGGGGACTTCAAGCAAATTTTGGTCTTTGGACCGAAGTAATCTCTGGAGTTGGTAGGGGGATAAGCGGGCCCTCAGGTACACCGGCCCCAGACCATATAAGGCCTTAAAGGTTAGTACCAGCACCTTGAAAGTAATCCGGTACTCAATCGGAAGCCAGTGCAGCTGTTGTAGAATTGGGGTGATACGACACCTCGCCGGCACCCCAGCGAGAAGACGAGCCGCCGCATTTTGCACCAGCTTCAGTTTCCGGATCACTGACAAAGGAAGGCCGATGTAGAGGGTGTTACAGTAGTCAAGCCTCGAGATGACCATTGCCTGGATCACCGTAGCCAGGTCGTTCCTAGATAGGAAGGGAGCCAGTCGCCTAGCCTGACGCAGATGGGAAAACGCAGATCTGCTCACAGCAGAGACCTGGGCCTCCATTGTGAGCAGAGGGTCCAATAAGACACCAAGGCTTTTTACAGAAGGTGACGGACGTAGTGTTTCGCCATCCAGGGTAGGCAGCTGGATCTCCCTCCCATCCGGACGGCCCAGCCAAAGGATCTCCGTCTTTGCTGGGCTCACCCTCAACCTGCTGGCACGCAACCATCCAGTAACGGCCTCAAGGCACTGATGGAAATTTTCGGGTACAGAGTCCGGCCGGCCCTCTATCCTCAGGATGAGCTGAGCGTCATCAGCATACTGGTGGCACTCAAGCCACCAGTACGCTGCAAACACTTAGAAAGGAATGCGGTCATCACTAATAGTCAACACGGATTCATCAAAAGACTACACTGATCTTTTTTTGAGTTACAAGATGGGTAGATGCAGGGAGGGCTGTGGATGGAGCATATCTGGATTTCAGGAAGGCCTTCCTTCGACAAGTTCCCCCATAACCTTCTGGCAAAGAAGGGCTAAGCAAAACTATGGTTAGGTGGATCTGTAATTGGTTAAGTGAACAAACCCAAAGGGTGATTCTCCCCAATGCTTCCTCTTCATCTTGGAAAGAAGTGAGGAACCGAGTGCCATCAGCAGGGTTCCCAGTCCTGTTCAACATTGTTATTATTTACTTAGACAAAGGGTCAGAAGGCATGATCACCAAGTTTGCAGATGGGACCAAACTGGGAGGGAGAGAGAGCCAATACCCCAGAAGACACGGGCAGAATTCAAAATGATCTTCACAGATTAGAGAGATGATGGGTCAAAACTCACAAAATGAAGTTCAACAGGGACAAATGCAAGAGACTCCAGTCAGGCAGAAAAAAAGGAAATGCAAAAAGACAGAATGGGGGAACGATGCCTGGCTCCACAGCAGGATGTGGGAGAAAAGTCTTGGAGTCCTTGTGGGGAGGAAAGGGAACATGAGCCAGGAATGTCATGCGGTGGCCAAAAAAGCCAATGGGATTTTGACCTACATCAATAGGAGCCTAGTGCCTAGATCCAGGGAAGTCATGCTACCCCTCTATTCTACCTTGGTCAGACCACTTTACCAGGAAGCACACCGTGTCCCATTCTGGCCACCACAACTGAAGGGAGATGTTGACTCTAAGCTGAAATGTGTTCAGAGAAAGAGGGCAACTCAAAGGATCAAGGGTCTGGAGAACAAGCCCTATGAGGAATGGCTGAAAGAGCTGGACATGTTTAGCCTTCAGAAGAGAAGGTGGAGAGATGGTGAGGGCCATGGGTAAATATGTGAGGGGACATCATAAGGAGGAGGGAGCAGGCTTGTTTTCTGCTGCCCTGGAGACTAGGACACAATGGAACAATGGCTTCAAACTTCAGGAAAGGAGATTCCACCTGAACATGAGGAAGAACTTCCTGACTGTGTGAGAGAGTTGTTCAGCAGTGGAACTCTCTCTCTCTACCCTGGAGTGTGGGGGAGGCTCCTTCTTTGAGGGATGGCTGGATGGCCATCTGTCAGGGGTGCTTTGAATGTGATTTTCCTGCTTCTTGGCAAAATAGGGTTGGGCTGAATGGCCCACCAGGTCTCTTCCAACTCTAGGATTCTATGATTCTATTATATTATACACCATTTTTATTATTATACAAGGCTGGAGTAAACATTGCTAGAAGAAACATTAACAACCTTAGATATGTAGATGATACCACTTTGATGGCTGTAGCGAGGAGTAGCTGAGGAGCCTTTTAAGCAAGGTGAAAGAAGAAAGTGCAAAAGCTAGGTTGCAGTTAAACATAAAAAACCAAGATTATAGCAACCAGACTGATTGAGAACTGGCAACTAGAGGGAGAAAATGTGGAGGCCTTGACATACTTTGTATTTTTAGGTGCGAAGATTACTGCAGACACAGACTGCAGCCAGGAAATCAGAAGACATTTACTTCTTGGAAGGAGAGTAATGACCACTCTCGATAAAATAGTGAAGAGTAGAGAAATCGCACTGGCAATGAAGATCCGCATAGTTAAAGCAATGGTATTCCCCGTAGTCACCTATGGATGTGAGAGCTGGACCACAAAGGAAGATAGATGCTTTTGAACTGTGGTGTTGGAGGAAAGTTCTGAGAGTGGCTTGGACCACCAGAAGATCCAATCTGTCCATACTTCAGGCAAGAAAGCCCAACTGCTCATTGGAGGGAAGGATAGTAGAGGCAAAGATGAAGTACTTTGGCCACATCATGAGAAGAAAGGAAAGCTTAGAGAAAACAATCATGCTGGGGAAAATGGAAAGGAAAAGGAAGAGGGGCCGACCAAGGGCAGGATGGATGGATGGTATCCTTGAAGTGATTGGCTTGACTCTGAAGGAGCTGCAGGTGGTGATGGCCGACAGGGAGCTCTGGCGTGGGCTGGTCCATGAGGTCACGAAGAGTCAGAAGCGACTGAACGAATAAACAACATTAATATACATTATTTATACGTTATAACAATAATATAATTATGCATTATTATATATTATATTAATATACATTATTTATTATTATTACACATTATTATCATGTCTTATTACTAGAATTATAGATTAACTAGCTTGGGGACCCGGTGTTGCCCGGGTTATTAGAGAAAGGAATATTGTATCAAGTTTGGCCTTTATCAGTTGGTAATGGGGGCTGTGGAACTCCCTCCCTAGGGATATTAGATCAGCCCCCTCCCTCCTGACCAGGCATGTAGCCGGGGGGGGGGGGGGGGGGCCCTCAGGGGGCTTCAGCCCCCCCCCCCGAAATTCTCATGGTGGTTCGCGAAAAGGCCTTACTGGTGCATTATTTAAACTGTTATGTTTATTCATATCATGATCTGATCACCATACTCAATATATCCCATATGCATGGGGGTATTGGGGTAATGATACAAAAGGTTTGCTAGGCTAGACCCTCTTTCACTCAGACTCAGCCCCCCCCCCAAAACTCAGCCCCCCCGAAACCCCCCCTGAAAATTTTTCAGCCCCCCCCCCCCCCGAAACGAAATCCTGTCTACGGGCCTGCTCCTGACTTTCTGAAAAAGAGTAAAAACTTGGCTCTTCGAGCAAGAATTCGGAACTCCGGAGTAAACAGACAAACTAGAGTTGGAAATTGACCCAGGAACGGCCAAGACAATGTAACAGATGAAGATTTGAACAAGAGGACATGGTTTCTTTTTAAATTGTTTATTATGCAATGTCGTTTATGTTTAATTGCACTTGATATTTTTGCTTTATTAATGTATGTATTTTGTTTCGGCATCGAATTGTGCCGACTGTGAATACCGCCCTGAGTCGCCTTCGGGCTGAAATGGGCGGGATAGAAATGTAAATAAATAAATTTATATGGCTGGCAGTAGTCTCAGGTAGTTAGTGAAGGGACTGCGAGTCCCATCATCTGTGGTCCATCCTCCTCCGAACTGCACCAGGATGGAGAGTGGGTCATGGGGGCTCTGTGTGCCAAGTTTGGTCTTGATCAGTCATGGCATGAGTGTTTCCTTCTTTCTCTCCTTTCTTCCTTCTCTCCCTTTCCTTCCTTTGCTCTTCACTTCCATCCCGCCTTCTCTCTTTCCTTTTTTTCCCCCTCCCTCTTTCTCTCTCTCCTTTCTTCTCTGCCACTTCCCTTCCTTCCCTTCTTTACCTCTTGCCTGGGCGCTGGAAGGAAGGATCCTCGGAGCCAGGCGTGGAGCAGGCGGGAGGGAAGCGCTTTGGAGGCAGGCCTCGCTCACCCAGCGCCGCCCCTTTTTTCTGCGATGGCTGTGGGACGCCTTCTCGCCTGTTTGCCGGTTGGGCATGCCGTTGGTGCCTCTCGCGCTGGCTGTGTTCGCTCGGCGGGGGTGGGAGGAAGAGAATGGGTTTGGATGCATGCGCAGTGTTCTTTTTTTAAAATTTAAGGTCTTACTGTTTTTTGGGAGGAATTTTTTTGAGTGCAGGACATAGATTGCTCTGAATGCTGTGTTGTGTCCAAATTTGGTGTCAATTCCCCCAGTGGTTTTTGAGTTCTGTTAATATCACAAACGAACATTACATTTTTATTTATATAGATGATACATTTACTATTATTATGTATTATATAGTATTATTTTCTTTGTTTCTCTCTGTATAGGAAAGGGGCCCTGCTGGCGAACAATGGTATTGCACTGCTGGCGGCGCTATTGATGGGACTCAGTTTCCCCACCAGACTTTATGAGCTCCTCATCCTTGGAAGGTTCCTCATTGGAATCAACACAGGTATTAGAATAATCATAATATATCATAATATAATACAACAGTGGAGGCACTGTTCTGCAGTGGCTCCGGTCCTTCCTAGAAGGTCGTTCTCAGAAGATGTTATTGGGAGACACCTGTTCTGCCCCACAACCATTGTCTTGTGGAGTTCCTCAGGGTTCAATATTGTCTCCCATGTTGTTTAACATCTACATGAAGCCGCTGGGGGAGATCATCCGGAGTTTCGGGGTACGATGTCATCTGTACGCGGATGATGTCCAACTCTGTCACTCCTTTCCACCTGCTACTAAGGAGGCTGTTCAGGTCCTGAACCGGTGCTTGGCTGCTGTGACGGTCTGGATGAGGGCGAACAAATTGAAATTGAATCCAGACAAGACAGAGGTACTCCTGGTCAGTCGTAAGGCCGAACAGGGCATAGGGTTACAGCCTGTGCTGGACGGGGTCATACTCCCCCTGAAGACGCAGGTTCGCCACTTGGGTGTGATCTTGGACTCATCGCTGAGCCTGGAACCCCAGGTTTCAGCGGTGACCAGGGGAGCATTCGCACAGTTAAAACTAGTGCGCCAGCTGCGCCCGTACCTTGGGAAGCCTGACTTGGCCACGGTAGTCCATGCTCTAGTCACATCCCGTTTAGACTACTGCAATGCTCTCTACGTGGGGTTGCCTCTGAAGACTGCTCGGAAGCTTCAAATGGTCCAACGATCGGCAGCCAGGATGCTAACAGGAGCGGCACTCAGGGAGCACACCACTCCACTGCTGCGCCAACTCCACTGGCTGCCAATTTGCTACCGGGCACAATTCAAAGTGCTGGCTTTAGCCTTTAAAGCCCTAAACGGTTCTGGCCCGACCTACCTGTCCGAACACGTCTCCTCCTATGAACCAGTTAGGACATTAAGATCGTCTGGGGAGGCCCTGCTCTCTATCCCGCCGGCTTCACAAGCACGCCTGGCGGGGACGAGAGACAGGACCTTCTCAGTGGTGGCCCCTCGGCTGTGGAACACCCTTCCTGCAGATATTAGATTGACCCCCTCCTTGCTGGCATTACGGAGGAAAGTAAAGACCTGGCTGTTTGAACAAGCATTCGACTAAGCAGTGTGATTGATTGACTGACTATTGGAACACGGAATATCGAATAACGAGTTTGGATTCTGATTTCATTGATGAGACCTGATGGATTTGTTATATTGATGTAGTGATGTATTGATAGTGATGTTTAATTATTTGTGATGCTATTGCTTTTAAATGCTTAATGATTTTGTATTGTGTATATCTAAATTGTTGTAAACCGCTCTGAGCCGCCTAAGGACTGAGAAGAGCGGTATACAAATAAAGTAAATAATATAATATAATATAATATAATATATGATAATATTAGTAATATATAATAATATATAACTATATATAATAATAATAATAATATATAATAATAGTAATAATATAATAATATATATAATAATATTTAAGATAATAATATATAAGATAATAATACACAAAAATAATATAATGATATAATAATAAATTATAATAGTACTGTAATTATGTGTCATAATATACGATTATAATGTTAGAGACCCTAAATTGGGTCTTCTTAGGCCCACGTCGTGGGAGCACGAAAGGAAGGAGACAGTCCCAATGAAAGATAAAAAAAACAAGGTTTTATTTTAGTTTCTTCATGAAGAAGACGGACAGCCTGACAGCATACGTAGATGCTTCCCTTCAAGTGACTGCCGCCTCTTCTCTTGAAATCTGCATATCTTTATACCCCAGTGCAAACAATGCAAATAAGGGAAAGTACCACTGACATCAACTATTTTAACCTTTTACTGTGAGATCAACAATTTTAACCTTTAACAAAAAAAAACATTTTTTTGTCATGGAAAGTACTCTATTTCCAGCCCCCCTCCCTTGACCTTTTGATGGAAAGTACCTTCTTGTACATGCAGACTCTGCACTTTACTACAACCTTTGAAGTTAACCACAACACAACATCCTGTGTAAGAAAGTACCTTCTTGTACCTCTACATGTCACATCTTGTTTCTTAAAAACATTTTCTTCCGTATTGCTATTTAACTACAAGAAAGGATATATTTCTCTTGTGCTGTTAATTTCATTCAAAGCCTCTTGCTTAGCATCCTTCAATAATAAAATGATATAACAATGACATAATAATAATATCACATAATAATTATGTGTAATAATCAATACTAACAACATATAATGATATATTATAATAGTGTTGTAATAATGTATAATAAATGATAAAATACATTATATATATATATATATATATATATATATATATATATATATATATATACAATAACATATAAAATTAATAATACAGTAGAGTCTTGTTTATCCAACATAAATTTATTTATTCATTTATTTCAAGCGCTTCTACCCCGCCCTTCTCAACCCCCTAGGGGGGACTCAGGGCGGCTTACAAAAGGCACAATTTGATGCCTAACAGTTCACAAGATACAATATACAAAATACAATAAATATAAAGGGGCCAGCAGAACGTTGGATAAGCAAAAGTGTTGGGTAAAAAGGAAGGATGAAGTAAAAGCCTATTAAACATCAAATTATGTTATGATTTTACAAATTAAGCACCAAAACATCATGTTTTACAACAAATTGACAGAAAAAGCAGTTCAATACACAATAACGTTATGTAGTAATGACTGTATTTACAAATTTAGCACCAAAACAGTTAAGGGTTCTTTCTTTCTCCCACCCTCGACATTATTCTGGGTGGCAGATTGCGTTGGATAATACAGAACGTGGAACAAGCGAAGGTTGGATAAGCGAGAAGAGAGAAGAGAGATGAAAAAGATACTGTCCCAACTGTCATACAGGAGACATGGGGGAAGGGAAACCTTTAGTCTATGCTAAACTAAATAACTGTTCCTCATTGAGGACTTGAGACTTGGGCAGTGTGGGGTTGCATTCCAACAATAATAGTATATAATAAAAATAATAGTAATAATAATAGTTTTGTATTTACTATTATAGTAATAATAGTAATAATATTATAGTAATAATATAAATATAATTATAAATAATAGGATAATATTGCATTAATGTATAATATATATTCTCCATCGTGGTCAACTGTGAATCGCACATATGGGTTATTCCTGTGCTTGTGCAGGCAGCTTCGGAATGTTCTAGAGACAAATCTTTGACACTTTAAGGTGGTAGCCCCGCCCCCTCTCCCCATCCAGTATATATAGCCAGTGGTAGGGGTTACTGCCTCAGTCCTTCTCATCTGCCACTTGCAGCAGCTAGGAATTAGAGACTTTTCCATCTATTTGCCTTCCGTTTAACTTGGACTGCCTTCTGGACTTGTTTATGACCCCCACTGCTTTCTGATGATGTCGGCCACTACTTCTTTTAAGTGTGCCTCTTGCCCTAATAAGTTTCATGACAATGATGCCCACTCCTCCTACCTTCTGTGCCTGGGCAAAGGGCACCTCTCTCAGGCCTGCTCTATTTGTTTGGCCTTCACCCCTCAAAAATAGGGAATCGTGCCTGAAAGCTGCCCTTTATGAGTAGGCTTTGCTTCCCTCGGCCCCAGCGAACCGTGTGAGCCCTAGGCCTGCGGGGCCTGACTATTTGGGGCAAATGAAAGAGGTTGACTTATCTGGGACCTCAACTTCGGTGTAGACTTCAGTAGCCAAAAAGAAAGATCAAAGAAGCCCAGACCATTAAAGCCATCACGAGATGGTAATCTGGCCTCTCAACAGCCTTCCTTGGTAGCGGCCCCTCAGCACCCTTCCGTGATAGCGGCCTGGGTCAATCAAGCCCCCCCCTTACAAGTTTTATTGCGCTAATGCCTGCCTCAGTGGACAACCCCTTTTTTGCATCTGAGCAGCAAGAACCTCTAACTACCACTGCCTTTCCAGCACTCCCTTATCCAGGAATGATCCTAGTAGCGGAAAGACCACATGCGTAGTATGGAAGCGCTGTCTTTTTAAAACCAGGCCTCCAAGTCAGCAGTGCCCATAACACTGAAGAAAACAATATAGAGGTTATAACAGTAGAGCTTAATAACATCACAATCACCTCTGTGTACAAGCCCCCAAATAAAGAGTTCTGCTTCTCCTCCCCTGAGAACTTTGATAGGCACCAAAGGACGGTAGTAATTGCTGACTTTAATAGCCATAGCCATGTATAGGGCTATGCTCAAGAGGATAAAAATGGAGAGGCTGTCCTCTCCTGATCTGAACTGCACAAACTATCACTCATTCATGATAGTAAGCTCCCACCATCCTACAACAGTGGGAGATGGCACCGAGGATATAACCCAGATCTCTTATTTGTGAGCGACAGCATTGTACAGCAATGCACTAAATCAGTGGGACCACCAATTCCAAACACACAGCACCGACCAATAGTATGCCAACTGTTCCCAACAATAAGTCCTCAGGAAGTTCGATTTAAATGAAGATTCAACTTCAGAAAGGCAGATTGGACTAAATTCTCAGACATGTTAGATGACATGATCACATCGGTCACGCCAATCCTTGAGAAATACGAGCACTTTATTGAAATCATTAAAACCTGTTCATGGGCCTCTATACCAAGAAGTTGCAGAACCAACTACCTTCAGGGCATTACTCCTGAAACAGCTGCCTTGTTGGAAAACTATTACAGGCTCCACAACAAAGACCCATTTATTGAGCAAACCCTTCAGGCAGGGCAGAGCATTGTGTCCTCCATCTCTGAAGCCAAGAAAGAACAGTGGATAAAGCTGATCCCAGAGGTCGACATGGGCAGGAGCAGCCAGGAGGCGTGGAGGCTGCTAAGATGGCTGAGCAATGACCCCTCACAAACTAATACCCATGCCAACATAAAGGCAGATCAGATAGCACACCAACTCTTGAAGAATGGGAAACCCAACCTTGCCACCAAATTAGGAAAGAAACCAATAGCCAGACAACCAGAGATTGAGAACAACAACCTTCATGAACCCTTTACATCTACTGAATTGGACATAGCTCTCAATAAATGTAAAAATGGCAAAGCAGCTGGCCTGGATGATCTACGGATGGAACAAATCAAGAACTTTAGCCGAAAAGCAAGGCGCTGGCTGCTGGAGCTGATGAACAACTGCACTGCATCCTGTCAGATCCCCAAAATCTGGAGGAAAGCAAGAGTCATCGCCATCTTGACGACACCATGGGTTTTTACGAAATGCATGGCCATAGTTGCAGCTTATCTACGCAACACTGGAGTTACGGTGTACCTGTACATAGACGATTGGCTTTTGGTGGCAAATTCTAGAGAACAGTTGGAATCCCATGTTAGTTCCATATTGTCTCTCCTCCAGTCCCTAGGTATCATTGTGAACTGGGAGAAGTCCCACCTGCACCCCACCCACAGAATCCAGTTCATTGGGGCTGTCCTGAACTCAGAGTTGTAGAGAGCCTTTCTACCCACCAATCGTTTCCTGATGTTAAGGACCCTGATTCTTCAAGTAGTGCACCAAGGCTACACAAGAACCAGGCAAATTCAGGTCATTTTAGGTCATATGGCCTCTTCTATGGCAGTCACACCTCATTCGAGTCTCCACTTCAGGCCTTTGCAGGCATGGTTCCTTTCTATATTCAACCCTCTGATGCACAGTTCCACTATGCACCTTTCCGTGCCTCCGGATGTCTGCAACTCCCTGCTCTGGTGGTCAGAGGCCCTCAATGTCCGTATTGGCTTCCCCTTCCACCAACCCAGTCCCTCCAAGATTATTACAACAGATTCCTCCCTCATGGGCTGGAGGGGGCTCATGTAGACAGCTTCACCGCTCAAGGCATGTGGTTCGCTGTAGATGCTACCTGGCACATAAATCATCTGGAAGGCTCTTAAAGCCATCAAATTGATTCTCTCAAATCAAGTAGTCCAGTTAGTCACGGAAAACACCACAGTGATGTTTTACATGAACAAGCAGGGAGGCACACACTCGCCCATGGTTCTGTCCCTAACTCTCAGTATCTGGCATTGGTGTGTGCAGAGGAACATCTACCTGTTGGCGGTTCATCTGCCAGGGGAACAGAATGTCTTGGCAGACTTCCTGAGCAGGATTCCTTTAACCCACCACAAATAGTCCTTGAACACAGAGGAGCCTCACATCCTGTTCCAGGCCTGGGGCTCTCCAGAGCTGGACCTTTTTGCCAGCCCAGAAAATAACAAGTCCTTTGTTTTGTGCCTATTGGAACCACAACTTACTTCCCGGATGCCTGGGAAATGCATTTCTCCATCACTGGGGAGATTGCATTGTCTACGTGTTCCCACCCTTTCCGCTTCTGCAGAGGGTGATGTCTAAACTGTATTGAGACAGGGCATGGGGCATTCTAATTGCCCCATGGTGGCCATGCCAGCCATGGTTCACTCTGCTTCTGGAAATGTCCAGGGGGGGGGGGGTATTCAGACGGTTTCTGAACAGGGTAGACCTCCTCTCTCAAGGCGACAGGGTTGTCTACCCAGATGTCCACAGCTTGAAACTGACGGCCTGGTGCATCCAACCAGACCATTAGTCCCATTTATGTCATTATCTACACCCATTAGGACCATAATAGACACCATAGGGCCTCCATGAGGTAGTCATATGCGTATAAGTGGTCTTGTTTCTCCAAATTTGTGCTGAGTAAAGAGCTAGATAACTTGACAGCACCAACGTCTTCGGTTTTGGATTTTTTAGTCTATCTCTCAGATTTGGGACTGTCCTTATCCTCCCTTAAGTGTTATCTAGCCATCATTTATTGGTACAGGAAGAAGGCTGGCTTAGCTTCTTGTTTCTCAGACCCATCGGTGTCGCTATTTCTTCAGGGGTTTAGAAATATTAGGCCATCTGTGGCACCAGTTACCTTGACTTGGTGTTTGGAAATTGTGCTTGCAGCTTTAACTAAGCCCCATTTTGTACCCTTGGCATCGGTAGAAATGTCCTTTCTTTCATGGAAAACTGACTTTTTAGTGACCATCACATCTGCATGTCGGGCTGGCAAGCTTTGTGCATTGCGGTCTGATGAGCCCTATATTAGGTTTCACAAGGATAAATTGGTACTCTGTACTGACGTTGCCTTCTTGTCTAAGGTGGCTACCCGGTTTCATCTTTCAGAGGAAATAGTTTTACCAGGTTTCTTCCGCAATCCCTCTTCATCTTTTGGATGTCCATAGGGCACACTGGCCAACTACATTAAGAGGACCTCAGAGATGAGGAAATCTCCCAGACTCTTCCTATGTCACAGTGCCTGTCCTCCTGGATTGTGTTGACAATCTGTACAGCTTACCATCTGGCAGGCAAGGACTTTTCTTTACAGATCAAGGCCCATTCAACGAGGTCGGTGGCTACATCTGTGGCCTTCCTGAGGGGCATTCCTTTGAACGTTGTGTGTCGGGCAGTGACCTGGCCTACACTGCTGACCTTTGTGTCTCATTATAAGTTGGATGCCTCCTCCAAGAGGGATGCTGCTTTCGGATGGGCTGTTCCCATCTCAGCAGTGGCATGACGCGCACCAGCCAAGGTTAATAGCTCACTAGTCTACCATACGTGTGATTCACAGTTGACCATGATGGAGAAGTATGGGTTGCTTACCTGTAACCATGTTTCTCTGAGTGGTCTGAGTGGTCACTTGTGAATTCGAACATCCCCGCCCATCCTCCCTGCTTTACGTCATGCCTCGGTTATTCTGGCTGCTACTTGCGGTGGAAGAACTGAGGCAGTAGCCCCTCCCACTGGCTATATATACTGGATGAGGAGAGTGGGCGGGGCTACCACTTTAAAGTGTCAAAGATTTGTCTCTAGAACATTCCGAAGCTGCTTGCACAAGTGGAGGAATAAACTATATGAGCGAATTCACAGGTGACCACTCTGAGAAACATGGTTACAGGTAAGCATTATGATGCAATAGTATAATAATAAATAATAATCCAGTAATAATAATATAACAATATGTAATAGTAATAGGTTTTTATGTGGTAATAATCATATATAATATTATATAAATTATATATTGTAAAATATATAATAATATATAGTAATGCAATAATAATATAAGAATACAATAATAATATATTATTCTATAATAATAATATTCTGATGTATTTCTGCAGGGGTGGGCCTGTGTGTGCAGCCTATGTACATTGGAGAGTCCGCCCCGAAGCACTTGCGTGGCGCGATGGCCATGGGGTCCTCCATCTTTCTCACTGGCGGGATCCTCACTGGACAAGTTGTTGGGCTCCGGTACGCATTTGCATTAATAAGGGGTGGGGTCTGAAGAGGGAGGGGCCAATCAGAAGGGAAAGGAAGGGGCTTAGGAGCAGAGAGAGGAGGAAATAGGAATATATTCACATTAAAATATTCATTAAAATATTTGCAGAAATATTCACAAAACTATATTGGGAAAACATATTCATAAAATATATTCACAACCATATATTCATAAAAATACTTGCAGAAATATATTCATAAAATATTTGCAAGGATATATTAATAAAATTATTCTCAAAAATAGTCACATAAATAGATGCATAAAATATTCACATAAATATTCAGGAAAAATATTCACAAAAATATTCATTAAAATATATGCAGGAGTATTCATAAAAAAAATTGTACAAATATTCAGAAAATTGTTCACAGAAATATTCCCAAAATATATTTATACAAGTATTCAAAGAAATTTTCACAACAATACATTTATTAAAATATATGCAGAACTATTCACAACACTATGTTCAGAAAAATATTTGCAGAAATATTCAGAAAAATATTGAGAAATATATATTGATTAAAATATTCACAAAGATATATTCATAAAAATATTTGTGGAAATATTTAGAAAAATATATTCAGAAAAATCTGCATAAATATTAATTAAAATATTTTCAGAAATAATTATGAAAATATTGCAGAAATATTCACACACACACACATATTCATACATAAAAGTATTCACAGAAATAATCATTAAAATATTCCCAAAAATATATTCATTAAAATATGCAAAGAAATATATTCATAAAATATATGCAAAACCATTCACAGCAATTCCCAAAATATTTGCAGAAATATTCATTAAAATATTCGCAAAGATATATTCATAAAATATTCTAGGAAATAATCATTAAAATTGTAGAAATAATCATGAAAATATTCATAAAAGTATTCACAAAAATATATTCAGAAAGATATCCGCAGTAGTATTAACATAAATATATTCATCACAATATACACAGAAATATTCAGAAAACCTTTTGCTAAATATTCACAAATATATTCAGGAAAATATTCACAGAATAAAAATATTCTCAAAATATATTCAAAAGAATATTCAAAAATATTTGCAGAAATATTCATAAAGATATATTCAGAATAATATTTGCAGAAATATTCAGAATATTCACAGATATGTTCATAAAATATCTGGAAAATCATTCACAACAATATTCACAAATGTCCATAAATATATTGACAGAAATAGGCACAAAACTATTTGTGGAAATAATCATTACAATATTCACAAAAATATTCAGAGACATATTAATATAAATATTTGCAGAAATATTCACAAAAATATCCTTATTGAAATATTCCCAGATATATTCATTTAAATATATTCATAAAAATATATGAAAATATATTCTGAAAAATATTTTACAGAGCTATATTCATTAAAATATTTGCTGAAATATTTAAATATTCACAAAAATAAATTCATAAACATATCTACAGAAATATTTAGATGATGAGGCGGACCAATCAGGAGGTGGTGGGCATGGCCTGATGTATCTTTTTCTCTCTGGTCCAAAAGGGAGCTGCTGGGAGGCCCCACCTCCTTCCCATTCCTGATCTCTTCCTGTTGGATCCCGGCCGTCATTCAATTATTGGTGCTTCCCTGGTTTCCTGAGAGCCCGCGCTTCCTCTTCCTGGACAGAAAGCAAGAGGAAAAATGCCTCACTGGTAAAGAATCAGGATAAATAATATATAATAAATAATAATGTATAATAATTATCCTATATCAAGAGCCTCCGGTGGTGTAACGGGTTAAACCGCTGTTGCTGAACTTAGTGACCACAAAGGTTGGCGGTTCAAATTTGGGGAGCAGGTTGAGCTCCTGCTGTTAGGCCCAGCTTCTGCCAACCTAGCAGTTTGAAAACATGCAAATGTGAGTAGATCAATAGGTACCGCTCCACCAGGAAGGTAACAGCGCTCCATGCAGTCATGCCAGCCACGTGACCTTGGAGGTGTCTACGGACATTGCTGGCTCTTCGGCCTAGAATGGAGGTGAGCACCAACCACCAGAGTCAGACTCGACTAGGCTTTATGTCAAGAGGAAACCTTTACTTTACTATATAACAATACTAGCTTGGGGACCCGACAATGCCCGGGTTATTTGAGCAAGGCATTGTTTGTCTGTGCTCCAATGTTAATCTAGATCTAATGTTGGCTGGGTTCAGTGGATGCAGGTGAACTATAACTCCCATATGCAAGTCCCATCGTTCTGGGTCCATCCTCTTCCAAACCACACCAAAATGTAGAATGTGTCATGGGGGCTCTGGGTGTCATGTTAGGTCTTCATCAGTTATTGGTGTGGGTCGCAATGGTCTCAGGGAGTGAGGGAAGGTTCTGCAAGTCCCAAGGTCCATTGGCCCACAAACCCCACCCAGAGAAAGAGTGGGTCATGGTGGCTCTATGTGCCAAGTTTTCTCTTGATCCATCATTGGTGGTTGCAGTGGTCTCAGGAAGTGAGTTAAGGGACTGCAAGTCCCATTCTCCATGGTCCATCCTCCTCCAAACTGCACTAGGATGTAGAGTTGGTCAACTGTGTGCCAAGTTTGGTCTTGATCATTCATTGGTGTGGGTTGCAGTGGTCTCTGGAAGTTAGTGACAGTACTACATATCTCATCATCCATGGTCCATAGTCCCCCAAATCGCACCAGGACATAAGGTAGTTCATGGGGGCTCTTTGTGCCAAGTTTGGTCCTGAACCATCATTAGTTTGGGGTGCAGTGATCTCAGGAAGTTTTTGAAGGTACTGCGAGTCCCATCATACACGCTGCATCCTCCTGCAAACCACACCATGGTGTAGAATGGGTCAAGGGGGCTCTGTGGTTGAAGTTCGGTTTTGAACAGTCATTGGTGAGGGTCTCAGTGGTTTCAGGAAGAGAGTGAAGGTACTGCAAGTCCCATCGTCCATGGTTCATCCTCCTCCATACCACACTAGGATGTCAAGTGGGCCATGGGGGTTCTATGTACCAAGTTTGGTCCTGATCTGTCATTGGTGGGGGTTGCAGTAGTCTCAGGAAGTGAGTGAAGGTACTGCAAGTCCCCTTATTCTTTGTCTACCCTCCCCTAAACCACACCAGATTGTAAAGTGGGTCATGGGGCATCTGTGTGCCAAGTTTAGTCCAGGTCTGTGATTTGTAGGGGCCGCAGTGTTCTGTGGGAGGTCTGTGATTTGTGGGGGCTGTGGAAGGCGAATTAGGTGACATTACTGCAAATCCCATTGTCCATGTCACATCCACCCCCAAATTTCACCAGGGAGTGAGGTGTTTTCTGTGCCAAGTTTGGTCACGATCAGTCATTTGTGTGGGTTGCAGTGATCTCTGGAAGTTACTGGAATTTTCGGCGAGAGAGGGGCAAGCAAACAATCCTAAATCAATGATAAAGTGCATTTAGAAGATCTATTGTTGAGAGTATTTCCTTATTCTGGGAAGGCACACTGGAACAACCACATTTATTGTTTATTTTTTGTTTATGAGATTTATTTTGATTGTTTTGTATTGATGTTTTGTCATTGCTTTTATTATTGTTGTTCTACGGGCTCGGCGTCATGTAAGCCGCACCGAATCCCTTGGGGAGATGATAGCGGGGTATAAATAAAGTTATTATTATTATTATTATTATTATTATTATTATTATTTAAAGAATCACTGAATAATAAGGATTTTAAACAAGAGTTAGAATCATTAAAGAAACAAAGAGACCTTCTGGAAACAGAAGAACTAGCAAATAAGTTAAAATTTCTAGAACAATATCACGTTCAAAATGCTAACAAGCCCGGGAAATGTCTGGCCAGAAGATTAAGGAAAAAATACATGAGCAGCATGTCATTAGATTAGAAGTAGACAGGAAAAGTTTTATATCAGACCAATATATTATTAACCAATTTAATAAATATTATAGAAAATTGTATACTTGAGAACAAATAAAGAAAGAGGATATAATAATCTTCCTGAATAATCAAAAATTAAACAAAATAACAGATACTCAAAGAGAACTGTTAAATGAAGAAAATACAGAGACAGAGATTAAAAGGGCTATTAAAAATCTGAATAATGGCAGAGCACCTGGCCCAGATGGATTTACAGCTATATACTATAAAGAACTAATGGAAGAACTAATACCTTATTTAAAAAGGGTAATTAATCAGGCCCTATCCACACAGAAAATCCCAAATACTTAGAGAGTAGCTAATATAATTATGATACATAAGGAAAATTCCGATCCAACAGACCATATCCCTCCTAAATTTGGACTACAAAATATTTACAAATATTATAGCCAACAAATTAAATAACTTTCTTAAAAACTGGATACACGAAGACTATTCGGGATTCTTACTCAAAAGATATATTAAAGACAGTCCTAAATTTAATAGAATACCATGATAGAAACAATCAGAAGGAACTAGTGCTCATAGCCTTAGATGTAGAAAAGGTCTTTGATAGGCTAAATTGGGATTTCCTCTTATCCTTAATAAGATAATTAGATGTGGGCTTTTTATTCACAAATGCCATCAAATCAATCCATAACAAACAAGAGGCATGGATAATGGTCAATGGCCAGACAGCAGAAAAAAATAATATAAGCAGAGGTACGAGGCAAGGATGCTCCCTCTCACCACTTTTATTCATATTAGCATTAGAAATATTATTTCCTCTCTAATATTTAAATCTGTTAGAGAGGATGGGAAATTGAAAGGAACTAAAGTGAAAAAAGAACAATATAAAGTTAAAGCTTTTGCCGATGACTTTATTTGTATTGTTGAGGACCCACTGGAAAATATAAAAAAAATGGCTAGACAAAATTGATGAATTTGGCAAATATTCAGGATTTAAAATAAATAAGACCAACACGATATTAACTAAAAATATGACAAAACAAAGACAAGAAACATTACAGGAAATTACAGGCCTCAAATTGTGAAGAAGATTAGATTTCTAGGAATAATGATCTCAGCCTCAAATATACATCTCTTCAAAAACAACTATGAGGAGGAATGGAAAGCGATTAAAAAAGACCTGGAAAATTCAAGATATTTAAATCTATCTTTACTAGGAAGAGTAGTAGCCCCCTGACATTAAGTCCAGTCATGTCTGACTCTGGGACTCTGGTGCTCTGGTGCTCATCTCCATTTCTAAGCTGAAGAGCCAGCGTTGTCCGTAGACACCTCCAAGGTCATGTGGCCGGCATGACTGCATGGAGCGCCGTTACCTTCCCGCCGGAGGTACTGATCTACTCACATTTGCATGTTTTCGAACTGCTAGGTTGGCAGAAGCTAGGGCTGACAGCGGAAGCTCACGCCGCTCCCCGGAATCGAACCTGCGACCTTTCGATCAACAAGCTCAGCAGCTCAGTGCTTTAACCCACTGCGCCACCGGGGGCTCCATACTAGGAAGAGTAGCAACTATCAAAATGAATGTTCTACCAAAACTAAAAGAAAAAAAGAAAGAAAGAAATACGGCAATATATAAAAAGTGGAATACAGAATTGACAAAGTTTATTTGGAAGGGGGAAAAGGCAAGAATAACATTCATTAACCTGACAGACAATAAAAGTAGAGGAGGTTTAGATTTGTCAGACCTCAAACTATATTAAGTGAAATTATAATAAGTGAGCTATTGATTGGTTAGAAGTCTGGATATTTTTAAATAAAACTAGAATATTGTCATTAGAGGGCTTCGACCTCAGTCAAGGGTGGCATGCCTACCTTTGGTATAATAAAAGAAAATCAGAGAAAAAAATGGGAACCATTTTATTCGAGCAGCCCTAATTAAAACCTGGGAAAAATATAAAAATAGAATCTACCCAACCCACCCCCCTCTGGATCTCCCCGATGGAAGCTTGCCAAATAAGAGAACTAGGTGGAGAAAGATGGCCTACTTACAAAGAAATCTTAACAAAAAAGATGGAGAGATTACAATGAAAACGCAGGAAGAACTACACCAAATAAATAAAAATATACCCTGATATTAATATTTACAAATAAGGAAACATTAATACAGAATAAGAATATATAATAGTAGTCCAAAAATAATATATAATATTAATAATAAATAATATATAATTATATTATTATTATATAAAATAATAATAATAAAATATAATGATAATAGTAATATATAATACAATTATGCAAAATAATAAAATATAAGATTAATAATATATAATAGAGCAATATAATAGTAATATAATAATAATATAAGGATTCTATAATAATATATTATTATTATAGAATTATGTAATAATAATTCAAAAGAATATATGGAGCCCCCGGTGGCGCAATGGGTTAAACCCCTGTGCCGGCAGGACAGGTCGCAGGTTCGAATCCGAGGAGAGGCGGATGAGCTCCCTCTATCAGCTCCAGCTCCTCATGCGGGGACATGAGAGAAGCCTCCCGCAAGTATGATTAAAAAAAAATCAAATCATCCAGACGTCCCCTGGGCAACGTCCTTGCAGACGGCCAATTCTCTCACACCAGGAGTCACTCCTGACATGACAAAAAAAAGAAAAAAAAGAATATATAACATTAAAATAGTAATATGATAATAACATAATAGTACAGAACAAATATGTAAGAATTATATACTAATAGTATATAATATTAATAGTAATACAGAATAAGAAATTAATAATAATAATAATAATAATAATAATAATAATAATAATATAATTTTAATTGTCAGGATGCCCGAAGCATCCGTGGGAAGTGGCTTAGATTGTGCATAGATTACCGGGGTTTGAACGCGATCTGCACTTCAAATAAATATCTTCTCCCCTTGATTAAGGACATGTTAGCTCATTTGGGTAAAGCCAAATTGTTTAATAAATTTGAGAAGTTTGTTATTGGATACATATAAAAGAAAGGGACCAGTGGAAAACAGCTTTCAATTGCCCCCTGGGGTCTTATTAATATAAAGTAATGCCGTTTTTTCTCAAAGGGGTGCAATGTGTTTTCATGCAGTTGGTCACTGAAATCTCTCATCTGTGGCTGTATAAGGGTGTTTTAATTTACCTTGATGATATCCATGTAACATTCCCCATCTTCTCCCAACCTCCACCTATTGCCAACATGAAGGCCATGTCAGGATGAACTGAGCAGCCACTTCCTATGGCTGCTTCGAGCATCCTGACAATTAATAATATATAATAATATAATAGTAATATATAATAATACGGAATATCAATATATATCAATATAATATTAATATTAATTCTTTAGATGGTACATGACACCATACAAATTAAACAAATGTTACAAAAATGTAAGCCCAAAATGCTGGAAATGCGGTATAGAAGAAGGAACATTTTACCATACATGGTGGCAGTGCAAAAAAGCAAAGAGCTACTGGAAGGAAAAACATAACATACTACAAAAAATACTGAAAATTCGAATCCCTTTAAAACCGGAACTCTTTTTGTTGGGAATTACAACTGGAAAGATGGAAAAAAACACTGAAAAATTGATATTCCTAGCATCAACTGCTGCACGAATATGTTACGCAAGGATATGGAGGAAGAACGAAACACCCAAAATTGAAGAGTGGGAAAAGAAATTGATGGAAGTGAAGAATATGGACAGACTGAGTTACCTTCTACAAAGGAGCAAAGGAATTGTAGAGACAGAGATGGATTGGACAAAACTTGAGGAATATCTAAAATAAATATATAGCAAGAACAAAACCTAAACCAACCGTAAATAGGCAACACAACTGGGAAACAACATATAAAGACGAAAAACGAGGGAAGGAAAAAAGAAAAGGAAGAGACCAACCTCGAAGAATCTTGGAAGTCAACACAGAAGAAATCTTATTCTACTTCTTTTCTTGATTTTCTCTCTTTTTAAACTATCCCCCCCCCTGTAGATACTTACCCCTTCTATGCCCCTACGGTCCCTTCCCAACCACATCTACCCTCTTCCTTTTCTTCACCCTGACTAAAAACCTTTTTAAATCTTTGTGTAAATAAGAAAATCAATAAAGATTATATTGAAAAAAATATATAATATTAATAATTCATAATAATATATAATAGTAATATAATAATATATTGCAATAATAATACAGTTTTCCTTCCCTTTCACTTCCAGCACTGCGTTCCTTCCATGGTGGGCGGGGCCTGGTTGGCCATCTTGAGATGGAGGACATCCGCCGGGAGGGGTCTGCTTCTTCCTCCTCGTCAGCCATCTTGAGGCCGTGGCAGCTCTTCTCTCGGAGGCGTGGCCTGCGCTGGCAGATCTTCACCATCATCTTCCTCACCTGTGGACAGCAGCTCAGTGGCATCAACGCCGTAAGGAGTCATGTCCAAACAGGAAGGGGTGGGGCTTGGGCCTCAAAGCCCCAGCCCTCACTTCTTGTTCACTTCCTGTTTCCTCCAGATCTACTTCTACACAGGCTCCATCTTTGAAGAGGCTGGTATCCCCAAGGAGAAGATTCCCTATGTCACCTTAGGGACCGGTGCCTGCGAGTGCCTCACTGCCTTGACCTGTGTAAGGAAAGGTCAAACTGGAAGGGTCAGGGCCTAGGAAGAAAACAGGAAGGAGAGAGGCCTCAGAAGAGAAGTGAGGCCTAGCAGTCCATACAAAGCCTATTAGGAGTCAATAGGGAGCTGCTGAAGAGAAGTGAGGCCTAGGTGTCAGGATAAAGCCTATGAAGATTCAATAGAAAGCTATTGAAGAAATCCTTCTAGGCCTCACTCTGGCCTTAGGCCCCGCCCCCAGCTATAGGGAACCTATGGGAAGGAGGTATGCAAATGAAGACTTTCTCTTGACAGCTAGGTCTCACTCCTTCCCCTCATTTGTATACCCTCTTTTCATGCAAATGAAGGGGAGGGACTTGAGGGAAGGGGTGGGTTCTAGCAGTCAGGAGAAAGCCTTCTATGCCTCACTCTGGTCTCAGGCCCTACCCACCAGCTTCAGGGGACCTATGGGAAGAGGGCATGCAAATGAGGAGGGCGTTTGAAGGGAAGGCTTTCTATTGAGAGCTAAGCCTCACTCCTCCCCCTCATTGCATACCCTTTTTTCATAGGTTCCCTGCAGCTGGTGGGCAGAGCCTAAGGCCTAGTGCAGCCCAGAAGGCTTACTATTGACTGCTAGGCCTCACTTCTCTTCAGAAGCTTTCTATTGACTTCTAAAAGGCTTCGTATGGGCTGCTAGACCTTACTTCTGAGGTAAAAAGAGACCTCTTCCTATAGGAAGGAGCCATGCAAATGAAGGGAAGGATTCAGGCCTTGCAGTCAATAGTAAGCCTTCTGGGCTGCACTAGGCCTTAGGGCTGCACTAAGCCTTCTAGGCCTCACTATGCCTTAGGCCCCACCCCCAGCTACAGGGGACCTGTGTGAAGGAAGTATGCAAATTGAGGGCAATCATAGAATCCTAGAACCATAGAGACCTCATGGGCCACCCATCCAACCCCATTTGGCCAAGAAGAAAGAAAATCGCATTCAAACACCCCAACAGATGGCCATCCAGCCTCTGCTTCAAAGTCTCCAAAAAAGGGAGCCTCCACCACAGGGGATTGAAGGAGGGAGGAGCCAAGCAGTCTGTAGAAAATCTTCTAGGCTGCTCTAGGCCCCGCCCACCAACTGCAGAGATCCTATAATAAAAGAGTATGCAAATGAGGAGGAGGAATGCAACCAGTAGAAAACCTTCTAGACCACCCAGCAGCTGCAAGGGACCTATGGGAAGAGAGCATGCAAATGAAGGGGAGGAGGGAGACCTAGCATCCAGGAGAAAGCCTTCTAGGTTTCCCTTTAGTCTCAGGTCCCACCCACCAGCTACAGGAAACCTATGGAAATAGAGCATGCACATGAGGAGGAGGAGGAGTGAGGCCTAGCAGTCAGGAGAAAGCCTTCTAGGTTTTTCTCAGACCTCAGGTCCTGTCCACCAGCTGCAAGGGACCTACGGGAAGAGGGGATGCAAATGAGGGGGAGGAGTGAGGCCAAGCAGTCTGAAAACCTAAGGGAAGAGGGTTTCTTCCTCGTGGCCCCTGTGGAAATTGCACATACAGTATTTTCTGTGCATGAGCAGACAGTTTCAGAATCTTCTAAATGTGAAACATTTTTGGTGGTAGCCCTGCCCACTCTCCCCTTGAGCATATATATAGCCAGTGGGAGGGGCTACTGCTTCAGTTCTTTTCATCTGCCGCTCCTGCAGGAGCTGATGAATCTTCTCTCACTGACTAGCTATTTCTTCTATCCAACTGTCTATTGTGTTTGACTTTGGACTGAATTTTGTTTGCCTCCTCTCTCCATTCCGGACCATTTTTTGGACTTTGTTTCTGGGTACCCCTTTAAATTCCTTTCTAAAATGTCGGCTACAACATCTTTTAAGAAGTGTGACTCCTACTCTCTTAATTTTCCAGATAACAATGGGCACTCTCTCTGCCTCTTATGTCTGGGGGAGGGACATTTGTCCCAATCCTGCTCCGTTTGTATGGGGTTCACTCCTCAAACTAGAAAAAATTGGGAGTCCAGGCTCAAGGCAGCCCTCCATGAGCGGGCCCTCCTCCTGCTTCCCGTATCAGCCCACAGCCATGTAGGGGCTCCCCCCCGGAGCAGTAACTTACCTTCTATGGCTGCTGCCTTGGCTCAGCCATCGCTGTCAAAGAAAGAAAATTCAAAGAGGACAAGGCCTTTAGAACACCTCAGTGAGCATAAACCCCACTGGTGCAGCCATGCGGGCCAGAAAAGGCAGGCCCAGGCAGTGTTTCTGCTCTCCCACCCTTGGCAGTTGCAACAAGTAGCGCCATGGCTCCTCTGCCTTGGGCAGAAAGGAGTGCACCACTTTCCCCGCCTCTCACGCGGGAAGGAGGTGGAGCTCTACAATCAGCAGCAGACTTGCTCTGGAGCCCCAGGTGATGCAGAGCGGGGCTGAGCCGTGCACCCCCATATAGGTACCTTTGGAGCTGTTGGGCAACCTAGCCATGCAGTCCCCATCGTGCCACTCTTGCCACTCCTCCTGCCATCAGCGTAGGTCTCACTCAACATCAAGGAGCGCGTTGAGCTCGACCTCCTCCTCCTCCTCCCCACCAAGGAGAGCATGCCTGCTGCTCATATTCCTCCCCTCAATGGGGAGAGTACTTACCAGGGGTACATATGCCTCCTGCCTATGCAGGCTTCTGGCACCTGACTTCTCAGGGACAGTATATGTACTTTGGCCCCCCAGTGCAGCCCTCCATACTGGGTCAAGGGAACGGCCTGCCGCCAGGCTTCCCCTCTCCTCTTGCAGTATTGCATGCAGCCCCACCGGCCTCGATATCGAGAGCAGCTCCATCTTCAGTACCGATGGCTCCCCCTGGTATTGGATGTGACAATTATAATTCAACCTTACAGCCTGTGCCTGGATCTCAGCCTGCAATAGAGCTGCAACCTGTACCTGCTTCAGCAATCTCCCATGATCTGCCTTTACCCTATCTAGTTGCTCATGACCCTGTGGGGCTGGCTCCATCTCAAGCTGGAGCTTTACAGATAGATGATTCCGACTCTTCTGAAGATGCCCCAGAGGTGATCCTCTGGAGGCACCCCCTATGGCAGGGGTAGGGAACCTTTGGCCCTCCAGCTGTGGTGGACTTCAACTCCCACAATTCCTTGAGGCTCGGCATTCGCCCCAAAGGCTTACCTTGGCCCAATGCCGAGCCTCAAGGAATTGTGGGAGTTGAAGTCCACCACAGCTGGAGGGCCAAAGGTTCCCTACCCCTGCCCTATGGAGAACTTCAATAAGTTCATTGCTTTAATGGAGTTATGATTAGAGCTTTAGACTTCCCTGCACCTAAACTGCCAGCCCATATTGAAGACCCCATGTTTCCCTCAGCGGAGCAGGAGTCTCCTTCTTCAACTGCTCTGCCAGCCTTACCATACCTTCTCAAACTTGTGAAGGTCCCAGATGTGTCACTGGCCTTGGCTCCTGCGATACCTAAAAGAGTGGACTCCATGTATAAAATTGATCTTTTCTTGACTGATTGGGCATCCCGCCCTTCCAAGCCAAACACGGTAGTGGCAGAGGTGGCACAGACATGATAACTCAAAAAATCATCAGCAACCCCACCTGATAAGGAGGGCAAGGAAATTGATTCTATGGGGGGAAAGGTAAATTTTTCAGTAGGCCTCTTCACCCATATGATTATGCTGCTCATATCAAACCTTTCTGTGGTCTAAAATTACCCCTTACCTGGCGCGTCTTCCTCCAGAAGATCAGCGCCTCCCAAATGCATTCCAGGCTGAGGCTATTTTGTTGGCAAAACTACAAAAGGAATTTGCCAAATATATAGCAGAATCCGCTGGAAAGTTCTTCACTACGGCCACTTCTATCCATCGCCACACCTAGCTCAGAGCGTCAACTCTCTCTGAAGAGGGGCACTCCCTAGCTGAGTATTTGCCCATGCATGGCGATGGACTTTTCAATCCTGCAACCAATGAAAAGCTGAAGCATATGCAAGAGATGTGCCTGGCAGTGCACAAGTATTGCTACCCGTGGCAACCTTATTTTCAACAAAAAGCCCACTGGCCACCAGCTACCCCAAGCTATCGAAGATCCTTCGGTAATGCTTATAGCGGGACCTCTAGGCCACACAATGTCCTTCCCTCAAGGTTCCAAGCAGGCCGTAAACAGCCTTACAGTGCGAAGAACTTATTCTAGCCCTACCAGGGAAAATGCAAACAACAAGGGGGACCCAAGCGGCACCCTTGACGAACCACTATAATCTCAGGAGCAAGATTGGCCATTGCTCCAGACATACCCTTCCGACACTGAGGACAATTTTTGTGGTACTTGAGGTCAGGATGCTGCCCAGAGTCCTCTCAGTCCTCGAATGTTTGCCAATCAATTGTCTCCTTTTTTTGAGGCCTGGTCCAGAATAACTTCTGATGCTTGGGTCCTCCGTATTGTTAGGTTTGGTTACTCCATCGAATTTCTGAGGCAACCCCTGTTGGGCTGCCTAAAGGTCACCCCCCTCACCTCCCCTTTTAGAGGAGGTGTGCATGTTGCTTGAGATGGGGGCAATCTCCTGGCTACATCCTTCTGTCATCCCTGGCTGTTATTTTTCTTGCTCTTTTTTTGGTGCCCAAACAAGGTGGGGGGCAATGTCCCATTCTAGATTTAAAGGGCATAAACAAATTCATTCCGTCCAAGAAGTTTTGGATGGTGTCTCTGGCCTCTTTACTTCCTCTGTTGAATAAAAATGCCTGGTTCGCAACTATTGATTTAAGGGATGCTTATTTCCACATTTTGGTGTGTGTGGAGCACCGTAGATTCCTCTCATTCCTGATTGTGGATCAGGCTTTCTGTTTTGATGTTCTACCCTTTGGCGTCACAACTGTCCCCAGAATTTTTACAAAATGTATGGCTGCAGTAGCAGCTTATCGCCACACTACAGGAGTCACAGTGTCCCCATACATTGATGACTGGCTTATCGTTGCTAATTCTCGTGAGCAGTTACAGGCTCATGTCAGTTCCACACTATCTCTTCTCCAGTCCCTAGGTCTTATTGTGAACCTGGAAAAATCCCACCTGCAGCCCACATGCTGAATCCATTTTATTGGGGCTGTTCTGGACTCTGAACTACAGAAGGCGTATCTTCCCAGCGACTGCTTTCAGACTATTTGAACCCTAGTTCTTCAGGCCACCCAGGGAGACAGAATTTCTGCTAGATAAGTTCAGGTTTTGCTGGGCCATACGGTCTCCACCACAGTGGTTATGCCTTACTCCAGACTCCACCTAAGGCCCTTGCAGGCCTGGTTCCTGTCTTCAACCCCCTTTTAGACCGCCCCACATGCTTCTTATGATACCACAGGAGGTCCATCAATCTCTCCTATGGTGGGCAGAAAGGGACAATGTTTGTGTAGGTTTGCCCTTCCACCAACCCAACCCATCCAGGGTGGTTGCCACAGATTCTTCCCTTCAGGGGTGGGGAGCACACTCGGAAGGCCTCACGGCACAGGGAACATGGTCGGCCCCAGAGCGCACCTTTCATATAAACCTCTTAGAACTTATGGCAGTAGAAAAAGGCCTTAAAGGCCTTCAAACCCGTTTTGACAGAAAGGGTGGTTCAACTGATCACAGACAATACGACCACAATGCAAGGAGGCACACACTCTCCTCCCCTGCTGTCCCTGACTCTTCGGGTCTGGGAGTGATGTATAGACAGAAACATCCAACTCATGGCTATTCACCTTTCCAGGGAAGAAAACACCCTAGCAGACTCCCTCAGCAGGACCCCACTTGCCCATCACGAGTGGTCCCTAAAATCAGAGGAGCTGTATCTGCTTTTCAAGGCATGGGGTTTTCTGGAGCTGGACTTGTTCACCAGCCATCTGAATGCCAAATGCCCCCTATATTGTGCCTGCCAATGGCAGAATCTACATCAGGGATGCCTAGGCAACGTGTTCCTCCTGAACTGGAACAGTTATTCCCTTTACTCCTTTCCCCCCTTCTCCCTTGTGCTCAGGGTTCTGGCCAAGCTCTGTCTGGACAAGGGTCGGTACATCCTGATCATCCCATGGTGGCTGCGCCAGCCATGGTTCTCTCTCCTCCTAGAGATGTGCAAGGGTGTGTACAGACACCTCTCAGACAGGGCGGACCTTCTCACTACACAAGGGGGCCAAGTCCTGTACCTGGATGTCCACAATCTCAAACTCACGGCATGGCAAATTCTGCCCAACCCGTAGCCCCCCCCCCTCTTTCCCAACCAGTTCTGGAAATAATAGTGGCGGCTCACAGAGCTTTAACTAAGCATTCTCATGTTTATATATGGTCCCGTTTTTCCAAGTTTGTGGCCCAAAAGGGCTTAGATCTTATGGCAGCCCCGACGTCCTTAGGATTAGACTTCTTGGTATCTCTTTCGGAAGCAGGACTTCCTCTTTCTTCCCTCAAGTGTTACTTAGCTGCCATTTCTTGGTAAAGGGGGAAGTCTGGTCTTCTTTCCTGTTTTGCTGACCTGTTAGTGACTCTTTCTTAGGGGTTTTGGAAATATTAGGCCTTCAGTGGCCCCAGTTGTTCCTGCATGGAGTCTTGAGATTGTCCTCTCCTCCTTAGCTAAACTGCCCTTCAAACTGTTAGCCACAACAGACATGTCATACCTCTCTTGGAAAACGGCTTTCCTGGTAGCTATAATGTCTGCTAGGTGTGCCAGTGAGCTCTGTACCCTTAGATGAGATGAGCCTTATCTCAAGTTCCATAAGGATAAGGTGGTGTTTCTCACCAACATTGCTTTCCTCCCTAAGGTGGCCTCCTGTTTTCATATGTCACAGAAGTTAGTTGTGCATGCATTTTTTCAGAACCCCTCTTCGCCTCTAGAACAAGGTCTTCACTTGTTGGACATTCGTAGGGCCCTAGCCTTTTATGTTAACAGGACTGCAGGAATAAGAAAATCCCCCAGGCTGTTTGTAAAATATCAGAAGAATGCCAGTGGCCTTCCGGTATCCTCACAACGCTTTACTGCTTGGATTGTCTCTATCATTCACCTGGCGTATCATCTGGTAGGTCGGGACCCTCCTTAACAGCTATCACTCCATCAAGTCAGTGGCTGCCTCCATGGCTTTTCTGAGAGGCGTATCGCTGGACGCTGTGTTCCGTGCTGCTGCCTGGTCCACACCACTTACCTTTGTCTCCCACTACAAGTTGGATGCTTCCGCCAAGAGAGACGCTGTGTTTGGAAGGGCAGTCCTCTTCTCTGCGGTGGCATGGTGCCCGCCGAGCAAAGTTAGTAGCTTGCTAGTCTACCATATGTACGGTTTCCACAGGGACCATGAAGGAGAAGTATGGGTTGCTTACCTATAACCATGTTTCTCCGAGTTATCATCTGTGGAATTCGTACACCCCCACCCATCCTCCCCGCTGTTGTCATGCTTCGGTCCTTCTGGCTGCCATACGCGGCAGAAGAACTGAAGCAGTAGCCCCTCCCACTGGCTATATATATGCTCAAGGGAAGAGTTTCAATTTTATCTAGAAGATTCCGGAGCTGTCTGCTCATGCGCAGAAAATACCATACGTGCAAATTCCACAGGTGACCACTCAGAGAAACATGGTTACAGGTAAGCAACCCATACTTCTATGGAGGAAGGGGCGTGCCTTGCTGTCCAAGGGGGTGTGTCCTATATAAATGTATTTAAGCCCCTCCCCTTTGGTTGGCTTCTTTCAGGGCCTCCTGATTGAGTTGATGGGACGCCGGGCGCTGATCCTGGGTGGCTATTCCTTGATGACCCTCTGGTGCGGCCTCATGACCTTGGCCTTGACCTTCCAGGTGATGGGGCAGGATATAAATACAGTTATTATTATTAGTATTAAATATGAAATAGATTTAAAATAGAGTATGAATACAATTATAAATATTCATGCAAATAAAATATGACATGTAAATAAAATATAAAATATTTTATTCATATTTTAAATATATTAAATATATTTTCTATTATATTTTCATGTAATATTTTATTCATATTATATTTTAAATGCATTTAATATAATATAATGTAATAGGAGGAATAATATATATATTATAATAATATATAATAAACTGATCATAACAATCTACAATACAATAATATATAATAATAATAATAATAATAATAACAACAACAACGTGATCCAATATAACAGCCTGCAGAGTGATCTTGTTTGCTGTGGACTCATCTTGTTGTGTTTCAAATAATAATAAAAATCTAGTCTATTAGGTATCTTACCCGAGCATGGTATAATTTATAATGTAACAATACAAATATAATATACAATAATAAATGTAATAATACAAATAATAATATCAATGTTCGCAGGTGCCTTACCTGAGCATGGCATGCCTGTTTGCCTTCATCCTGAGTTTCGGTCTTGGTCCTGGTGAGTCTTTTAATTATTTCCCAGTACAACCAGTATGTCCTTCCCAGTATAACCACTATAAATGAATGATTGCAGGTGGGGTGACCAACATCCTGACAATGGAGCTGTTCACGCAGAATGCACGTCCAGCCGCCTACATGATCGCCGGGTCCGTCAGCTGGATTAGCTTCTTTACCATCGGCATGCTCTTCCCATTCATCGTGGTGAGGGGGCGGGGCCTAAGGGACAGGGGCGGGGTTTCAGAGGCAAAGGAGGCAGGGCCTAAGGGACAGAGGGGTATGGCTAGGAAAAAAAAAAGAAAGTCAAGTTCTAAAGGAGGAAAGAGGGGCATGGCTTCAGTGAAGCAGAGGAGGGGCTTGAAGAGAAAGAGGTGGAGCTTGATGGCAAGTTCTGAAAGGAGAAAGGGGATATGGCTTCTTATAGCAAATTCTTGTGTTTAAAAGGGGAAAGGGGTGGGGCTTGAAGGCAAGCATCCAATGGGTAAAAGAGAGGGGCGTGGCCTGAAGTTAAGGGGGTGGGGCTTGAAGACAAGTTCTGAAAGGAGAAAGGGGGTGGGTCTTGTGAAAGGGGTGGAGTTTGAAGGCAAGTTCTAAAGGGGAAAGGGGGTGTTGCTTGAGGAAAGAGGGTGTGGCATAAAGAGGAAAGGGGCGGAGCTTGGATTTATTTATTTATTGTGTCAGGAGCGATCCAAAACAGTTGTATTGCATTAAAAAACAAACAAACAAAACACAAAGTTTGCAGACTTGGTATTCTATTAAATGTCCTTTGACCAGTATCTGGCCACTTGGAGTGCCTCTGGTGTTGCTGCAAGAAGGTCCTCCATTGTGCATGTGGCAGGGCTCAGGTTGCATTGCAGCAGGTGGTCAGTGGTTTGCTCTTCTCCACACTCACATGTCGTGGATTCCACTTTGTAGCCCCATTTCTTAAAGTTGGCTCTGCATCTCGTGGTGCCAGAGCGCAGTCTGTTCAGCGCCTTCCAAGTCGCCCAGTTTTCTGTGTGCCCAGGGGGGAGTCTCTCATTTGGTATCAGCCATTGATTGAGGTTCTGGGTTTGAGCCTGCCACTTTTGGAGTCTCGCTTGCTGAGGTGTTCCAGCGAGTGTCTCTGTAGATCTTAGAAAACTATTTCTTGATTTAAGTCGTTGACGTGCTGGCTGATACCCAAACAAGGGATGAGCTGGAGATGTCACTGCCTTGGTCCTTTCACTACTGGCTGCTACTTCCCGGCAGATGTCAGGTGGTGCAATACCGGCTAAGCAGTGAGTGGTGTGGGGCGCAGATACCCCGTGATAATGCGGCATGTCTCATTAAGAGCCACATCCACTGTTTTAGCGTGGTGAGATGTGTTCCACACTGGGCATGCATACTCAGCAGCAGAGTAGCATAGCACAAGGGCAGATGTCTTCACTGTGTCTGGTTGTGATCCCCAGGTTGTGCCAGTCAGCTTTCGTATTGTTTCTAGCACCCACTTTTTGCTTGATGCAGGCAGTGCTTCTTGTAGGTCAGAGCACAGTCCAGAGTGACTCCCAGGTATTTGGGTGCGCTGCAATGCTCCAGTGGGATTCCTTCCCAGGTAATCCTCAGAGCTCGGGATGCTTGTCTGTTCTTAAGGTGAAAAGCACATGTCTGTGTTTTAGATGGATTAGGGATCAGCTGGTTTTCCCTGTAATAGGCAGTAAGAGCACCTAGAGCTTCGGAGAGCTTCTGTTCAACCATCTCAAAGCTCCCTGCTTGAGCGGATGAAGGGGTGGGGTTTGAGGCCTAAAGCCTGAAGGGAAAGGGGTGTAGCTTGAGGAAGATGAGAGTGTGGGTTAAAGAAGGGGCAGAGGGAAGTTCTGAAGAAAAAAGCGGCATGGCTTGAGGCCTAAAACCTAGGGTGAAATGGGCAAGCTTCCAAAGGCTGGGGGGGGGGGGAGGCTTGCTGAGAAAGGGGAGTGGCTTCTTATATTGAGGCCTTGTCTTCCAAAGGGGAAACGGGGTGTGGATTTTACATCTCTATCTATATAATGCGGCCTTGTCTTTGCTTCCTTCCTTCCTAGCGGGGCCTGGGCCCGTACTGCTTCCTGGTCTTCCTGGGGGAGTGTGGGATGGTGGCCCTCTTCCTCTTCCTCTTCCTGCCGGAAACCAAGGGGCGGAGCTTCCTGGAGATCCAGGCCTGCTTCCGCCGACGTCGCTATGCAGAGGGGGCCAAGGAGGAACAGAAGGAGGGCGGCGAGGCCAGCAGGCTCCGCAAGGAGTTCTTCCCCTAAAAGGCAAGGTTGGCTCAGATTATTACAACAGGGCTGCCAATGGCCTTCAAATGGCACTTCAAAATAACATTTCAAAACGGCCGCTGGGTTGTCTTTATTTGCAATCCAAAATGCCTGCCAGGTGGTGTTTATTTCCATTTCAAAATGGCTGCCAATGGTCTTCAAATGGCATTTCAAAATGGCTGCCTTGTTGTCTTTATTCACAATCCAAAATAACCGCCAATTGTCTATATGGCATTCCAAAATGGCCACCAATGGTCTTCAAAGCAGCATTTGACACAGTCTCACAGCAGCATTTCATAGAATCAAAGAGTTGGAAGAGACCTCATGGGCCATCCAGTCCAACCCCCTGCCAAGAAGCAGGAATATTGCATTCAAATCACCCCTGACAGATGGCCATCCAGCCTCTGCTTAAAAGCTTCCAAAGAAGGAGCCTCCACCAACAGTCGACCACAATCTTTTGACCCACCGCCTTGCTGCTGTTGGAGTCAGGGGGACAGCTTTAAATTGGCTGTCCTCCTTTCTTCACAACGGTGGACAGCAAGTGGAGAGGGGAGGCCTGGTCTCTGAGAGGTCCCCTCCGTTCTGGAGTCCAAGATTTGTTGGAAATTCCCAGTGTCAAGACCTTGCGTCTCACAGCAACCAGACACAGAGCCTTTACAGCAGTGGCACCAATACTCTGCCACCTGAAGTCTGTACCTTGCGGGACTTATCAGCTTTCCGCAGGGCATGTAAGACATATCTGTTTTGACAGGCCTTTGATCTTTGATATTGCTGTTTTTAAATTGTTTTAAATTGTTTTTAAATTGTGTTAAATTTTAGCCTGTTCTTGTAAGCCGCTCCGAGCCCCAGGGGAGTGGCAGCATATAAGTTTGAATAAATAAATAAATAAATAAACAAATAAATAGAATTCCAAAATGGCCATCAATAGTCTATAACTTTCAAAATGGCCCCCGGGTTGTCTTTATTCGCAATCCAAAATGGCTGCCTGTTTGTTTTCAGTCACATTTCAAAATGGCTGCCCATAGAATTGTATGGAAAGTTAATCACATTATCTATATAAATCAAAATGTAAATGTCCGCTTGTGAGTGACCTCATAACTCCCAAAATACTTAACCGATTGCTTTGAAATTTGGACACAACGTAGCAAGCGAACAGGCAAAGGTTTACCAGTTGTTGAAATCCAACTACTATACAGATGTCACACCTGTGGCAGGTAAAAACATGTTTCGTTTCAAAAACAGTGCCATCTGCTGGACGGCTAAGCAATTGCTAAGGGTCTAAACCTTACATCTCTCGTGCTCGGAACCACTCCCCTCCCTCCCTCCCTGCTCGCTCATTGGCCAGAGGAGAAGGCTACCGCCTTACCCACTAATTGGCATTCTCTTCCCACTGGAGGTTGCAAGTGGCGGTTGCCTCACTGGCAGGAAGGAAAGTAGTGCAGGGACATCGAAGGCCTTTTGGAAGGGCCTCTATGGAGCAGGACAAAGACAATATGCGAGGCAGCAATGAGAAAAAGGCATGGCCGGGTACAGCTAGTATAAGTAATATATAACTATTAATATAATAGTAATATATTATAATATATAATATGAAATATAATAATACAGTAATGTATTATTACAATTCTCTGGCCTTGCAATCACAATGTCTTTATTCACATTTCAAAATTGCTGCCGAGTTGTCTTCAGTTGCATTTCAAAATGGCCGCAGTTTATAATAATAATATAAAATAACTAGCTGTCCCCTGCCACGCGTTGCTGTGGCCCAGTCTTGTGATCTGGAAAATAAAGTAATGTGAAAATGTTGGTTTCTAATATATGTAATTTCTTTATGTTTGTTGGGTATGCAGTATTTCTTGCTGTTTCTTTGTCAGTGTTGATGTGGAGATTGTCTGATTTGCCTACTCTGGAACATGCAAGATATCATAGTCCTTCTTTAGGGATCCTTTTCATATCTATGATACTATGTGTGTGTGTGTGTTAATTATATATATGGCTGAATGGCTCTTTGTCAGGAGGGCTTTGATTACATTTTCTTGTCCTGGTGAAGGGAGTTGGACTGGATGGCCTTAAGTATTTTCTTTTGCTCATGGGGGTTCTGTGTGGAAGTTTGCCCCAATTCTATCGTTGGTGAGGTTCAGAATGCTCTTTAATTGTAGGTGAACTATAAATCCCAGCAACTACAACTCCCAAATATCAAGATTCTATTTTCTCCAATCTCCACCACTGTTCACATTTAGACATATTGGGCATATGGAGTATTCATGTAGAGTTTGGTCCAGATCCATCATTGTTTGAGTCCACAGTGGTCTCTGGATGTAGTGAACTACAACTCCAAAACCAAAGGACACGGCCCTCCTAACCCAGTACTTTCTGTTGGTCATGGGAGAACTGTGTGCCAAGTTTCCTTCCTTCCCCCTTTTTCTTTACCTCCCTTTCTCTTCTTCCTAATTTTTTTTTCCTTCCTTCCAGTCTTTCCTTCTTTCCTTCCCTCCGTTTCTCTACGGGAAGGGGGGGGGGGCTTGGAGGGTGCGGGGTTTGGAGGAGAAGAAGAAGGAGGGGGAGGAGGGATAGTTTTGGACAGGGCAGGAAGGGGCGGGGCTTGCAGGGGGCGGGGCTTTCAGGGGAAGAAGAAGGAGGGGGAGGAGGTGAGATTGGGGAAGAAGAAGGAGGAGGTAAGATTGGGGCGTGGTGTGGCGTGTGTGTGTGTGTGCCGCGGGGGAGTGTGGTGACATGTTGTGGCGTGTGTGTGTGTGTGTGCCGCAGGGGTGAGGTGACGTGTTGTGGGGTGTGTGTGTGTGTGCCGCGGGGGAGTGTGGTGAGGTGTTGTGGCGTGTGTGTGCCGTGGGGGTGTGTGGTGAGGTGTTGTGGCGTGTGTGAGTGTGTGTGCCGCGGGGGTGTGTGGTGAGGTGTTGTGGCGTGTGTGCCGCGGGGAAGTGAGGTGACGTGTTCGTGCTGGGCGGGGTGAGGGAGGGAGGGAGGGAGGTGCGGAGGGTGCGTTGGCCGTTTGGCCATGTGTGTGTGCGCGCCGGGGACTTTGCGCCATTGAGCATGCTCAGTTGTTTTGTCGTTTTGTGAGTGTGTTGTTGTGTTGTTTTTCATTTTGATTCGGTTTGTTTGTACCTAGTGGGTTGAGGTATGTGCATGGGAATTTTGGTTAATTTCTGTTGGGGTTTTTTTGAGTTTTGCTGCTCCGTTCGACGCCACTTTCAGATTTATCTATATAGATATCCAACAATAATATATAATCTTTAAAATATTTTTAAAATAATATATTTAATAGTAATAAAATATTATATGATAATATTATTATTTTTCATATTTATATTATTTAATATTCTTTATTCCCATTTCAAAATTACTGCTACATTGTCTTCAATCACATTCCAAAATAGCCGCCGGGTTGTCTTTAGTCCCAATTCCAAAATGGCCACCGACAGGCATCTATGGATCCGCAGTTAAGCATAATAATATTATTATAATTCAAAATGCCACCTGAAACAATTAAAAGGACTATAGGGAGAGAGAGTGAGAGAGCAAGGCACGTTTCAAGATGGCGATATCCTTCCAGGAAACGGTCCAAAATGGCCACCGTCAAGGGATGCCTTCATAGTCCTCACAGCGGCTGCCATCTTGTTTTTAGAAGCGGCTGCCATCTTGTCTTTAAGGCGGGGCTTTCTTCTCCTTGAGCTTCTCTTCCAAGTTAGAAAAATATTTCATTTTGGTCAGAAGGGATTTCGCTTCCTGAAGATCACCTGGGGAAATAAAATAATTATTATATTCAATTATATTGTATATTATTATGTATCATATTGTTATATAAAAGATTATTATATTACTATATTTACTAGATATATTATATATTAGAGATTCTATATATTAGATATTATATTAAAGATTATTATATTGCAACTCACATAATGCCAGGTTAACCCCCTGAAACTCCCTCAGTAGTGAAAGTTTGTTATGTTGGGCAAGTTTGCTCTAGATGCATCATCAGTGGGATTCAGTGTGTTCTTTAGTAGGAGCCCCCAGTGGCGCAGTGGGTTAAACCCCTGTGCCGGCAGGACTGAAGACCGACAAGTCGCAGGTTCGAATCCGGGGAGAGGCGAATGAGCTCCCTCTATCAGCTCCAGCTCCTCATGCGGGGACATGAGAGAAGCCTCCCACAAGGATGATAAAAACATCAAATCATCCAAGCGTCCCCTGGGCAACGTCCTTGCAGATGGCCAATTCTCTCACACCAGAAGCAACTTGCTCCTGACACGACAAAAAAAAAAGTGTGTTCTCTGGCTGCAGGGTAAACTACAACTCCCACTAGGGTGAGTCAGTCCCCTCAAACTCCTCCAAGTAGTTCAGTTGGTCATGGGGGTTCTGTGTGCCAAGTGTGGGCCAGGTCCATCATTGGTGGAGGTCACAGTTTATCTGGATGTGGGTAAACTACAATTCCCAGAATGGAAGATCAGACCGTCCCATCCCGTCCCCTCCCCCCAAACCCCTCCAGTAATCAAATACTAGCATATCAGGTCTGTGTGCCAAGTTTGGTCCAGATCTATTGGTGTTTGGGTTCACAGTGCTCTCTGGATGTAGGTGAACTACAACTCCCCCAAATCAAGGTGAATTTTCCCCAAAGACCTCCAGTATTTTTTGCTGGTCATGGGGGCTCTGTGTGCCAAGTTTGGTCCAATTCCACCTTTGGTGCAGTTCTGAGTGCTCATTGATTTCAAGTGAACTATAAATCCCAGTGCCTCCAACTCCAAAACGTCCAGACGAATTCCCCTCAAAACCCACCAAATTTGGTGCACATCAGGTATGCATGCCAAGTTTGGTCCAGATCCATCATTGTTTGGGTTCATAGTGCACTCTGAATGTAGGTGAACTACAACTCATATAAATCCCTCCAAAGACCTCCAGTATTTGTTATTGGTCATAGGGTTCTGTGTGCCAACTTAGTTCCAAGTACATCGTTGGTGGAGTTCAGAATGCTCTTAGACTGCAGGTGAACTATACATCTCAGGACCTGAAACTCCTATAAATCATGGTGAATTTTCCCCAAACCTCTCCAGTATGTTCAGTTGCTGATTAATTTCTCTGTTTGCTGTGTACCATAGAAAAGAATAGGAATGGGTTATGGGAGAGGCAGTGGGCGGGGTCATGCAAATTCCACACCAACACAGAGAGTTAGAAGCACTTGGATGTCTGTGGTGAAGGAAACACAGAAAATCTAGGATGAAATGATCCCTATATGAAAGCCTTCATTGGGTAGTGTGGTGTTTGGTGGAGGACACTAGCAGGGCTCTTGGACATGTTCATGGCACTCTCTATAACCTGCAATGTCATTGGAGGGAGGTCCATTGGTGTCTCCTGAGTGCTGGGAGCTATAGCTGTTTGTGGGACACCCCAGCCACACACACACACACACACACATATTTTCATTTATTTTTTATTATATTAATATATTAATTATATCTATATATATATAAATGCTCTGTGCATAATGAGTACCTTAAAAACAAAAGAACCAATGAATGAAATCACACCAAATTTGGCAACAAAACATCTCACTACACAAGGAGTGACCATCACTCCAAAAATGATTTTGTCATTTGGGAGTTGTAGTTGCTGGGATTTATAGTTCACCTACAATCCAAGAGCATTCTGAACTCCATCAACAATTGAATTGAACCAAACTTGGCACACAGAGCTCCCATGACCAACAGAAAATACTGGAAGGGTTTGGTGGGCATTGACCATGAGTTTGGGAGTTGTAGTTCACCTCCATCCAGAGAGCACTGTGGACTCAAACAATGATGGATCTGGACCAAACTTGGCACAAGCACCCAATGCGCCCAAATATGAACACAGGTGGCGTTTGGGGGAAATAGACCTTGACATTTGGGAGTTGTAGTCACTGGGATTCACAGTTCACCTACAATCCAAGAGCATTCTGGACCCCACGAATGACAGAATCGGGGCAAACTTCCCACACAGAAACCCCATGACCAACAGAAAATACTTAAGGCCATCCAATCCAACTCCCTTCACCAGGGCAAGAAAACGTAATCAAAGTCCTCCTGACAAAGAGCCATCCAGCCATAGCTATAGATAGATAGATAGATAGATAGATAGATAGATAGATAGATAGATAGATAGATAGGAAGTTGTAGTTGCTGGTATTTATAGATCACCTACAATCAAATAGCATGATAGAATTGAACCAACTGGGCCATACAGGACTCCCATGACCAACAGAAAACACTAGAAGGGTTTGGTGGGCATTGACATTGAGTTTGGGAGTTGTAGTTCACCTAGATCCAGAGAGCGCTGTGGACTCAAACAATGATGGATCTGGACCAAACTTGGCACAAGCACTCAATATGGCCAAATATGAACACAGATGGAGTTTGACGGATATAGACCTTGACATTTGGGAGTTGCAGTTACTGGGATTTATTTATACTCAAGGCCATCCAGTCCAACTCCCTTCATCAGGGCAAGAAAACATAATCAAAGCCCTCCTGACAAAGAGCCATCCAGCCATAGATATAGATAGATATGATTCACACACAGAAAGATATAGTACCATAGATTTGAAAGGGGCCCCTGAAGAAGGACAATGATATATTGCATGTTCCAGAGTAGGCAAACCAGACACTCTCCACATCAACACTGACAAAGAAACAGCAAGAAATACTGTTTACTCACAAGCATAAAGACATTACATATATTAGAAACCAACACTTAGTCATTACTTTATTTTCCAGATCAATAGACTGGGCCACAGCAACGCGTGGCAGGGGACAGCTAGTATATTATAATATATTAGAGATTATTATTTCCTGACCTGCATCAAAGGCTCTGCTGAGGCTCTCCATCAATTCCTCTCGTTTTGCTAGAAAAGGAAATAGATGTATAATAAATGTACATAATTAATAATAATATAAAACAATCCAAATAATAATAAGGAATAATGCAATAAATATAATAATAATAATAATATACAGAAGAAAGAATAATATTAAAATAATAGTAGTAATACATAAATAATAAAAAGAAATGATTGTAACAATAATAAATAATGCAAAGAAGAAATAGTAGTAATACTATAATAGCATTCTTAATATAGTAATAATTATAGAAGTTATGCAAATAAAATAAGAAAGTCATAATAATAATACAAAAATAACAAGAAATAGCCATTATTAGGGTTATTATAGTACCAAATAATACAAAATAATGTAATAAAATAATAGTAATAATAATAAAGCAGAAATCTATATAAATAAAAATGTAGTGTTCGTTTGTGGTATTCACAGAACTCAAAAACCACTGGACGAATTGACACCAAACTTGGACACAATACACCTATAGGCCAATGAGTGTCTATCACCCCTAAAAACACACAAAAACCAGCAGAACTGACTTAACCCCCCCCCCCCAAATAAACTATATATACATATACACTTGCACACATACATACACACACATATGTACACAAGCACGCACAAATATACACATACAGTTGGCCATGTTTGGTCTGTGTGTCAAGTTTGGTCCAGATCCATCATTGGCTGAGTTAACAGTGTTCTCTGGAGGTAGGTGAACTACAACTCCTATAAATCAAGGTCAATTCCCCCAAACCTGTTTATGGGGGTTCTGCGTGCCAAATGTGGTCCAGGTCCATTATTGAAGGGGGTCAGAGTGCTCTGCCTTGATGCAGGGTGAACTACAACGTCCAACCTGTTGAGTCAGTCCCCAAACCCCTTCAGTCTGTTCAGTTGCTGATCAGTTCCTCTGTGTTTGCTGTGTGCCAGGGAGAGGCTGTGGACAGGGTCATGTAAATTCCACATAAGGAACCCTGGGATGCCTGCCTGTGGGCAGTTAGTGTTTGGGGAGGACATTGGCAGTGTTTGGGAGACGTGTTCATGGTGCTCACTGTAACCTGCAATGTCAGTGGAGGTTGTGCCTTTGGAGACTTCTCAGCCTGTTTCTGGAGGGGGGAGGCTGTCGAAGTGGACACTTCCGCCACATACACACATAAACATTTTTCACTTTTATTATGTGTATAGAAGATATAGATAATACTACTAATAATACAAAATATAATAATATTATACCAAAACAAATAATAACAATAAGAAATAATAATCCAATAAAATAGCAAAATATAATAATAATAATACCGGCAAGTTCCCTCTCGAGGTCGGCCATTTTGCACTGGGGGTCCTGCAGCCTCTCATTGGCCTCCATTATTTCCAATAGGAATTCGGGGTCCGATCCTGGGTCTGTCCCTTGCTCTAAGGAAACCCCATTCAGCTCCAGCTGCAAGAAAGAAAGATATGAAAATATTTATATTTATTTACATGTATATATCTATATAAATAAAAATGTAATGTTAGTTCGTGCTACCATCAGAACTCAAAAACCACTGGGGGAATTGACACCAAATTTGGACACAAGACACCTAACAGTCCAATTTATGTCCTCCACTCAAAAAAATTGATTTTGTCATTTGGGAATTGTTGTTGCTGGGATTTATAGTTTACCTACAATCAAAGAGCATTCTGAACTCCACCAATGATGGAATTGGGCCAAACTTAGCACACAGGGCTCCCATGACCAATAGAAAAAACTGGAAGGGTTTGGTGGACATTGACTTTGAGTTTGGGAATTATAGTTCACCCACATCCAGAGAGCACTGTGGACTCAAACAATGATGGATCTGGACCAAACTTGGCACAAATATTCCATATGCCCAAATATGAACACAGATGGAGTTTGGAGGAAATAGACCTTGACATTTGGGATTTATAGTTCACCTACAATCAAAGAGCATTCTGAACACCAACGATGGAATTCAACCAAACATGGCATACAGGACTTCCATGACCAACAGAACACACTGGAAGGGTTTGGTGGGCATTGACCTTGAGTTTCGGAGTTGTAGTTCACCTACATCCAGAGAGCACTGTGGACTCAAACAATGATGGATCTGGACCAAACTTGACACAAAAATTCCATATGCCCAAATATGAACACAGATGGAGTTTGGAGGAAATAGACCTTGACATTTGGGATTTGTAGTTACTGGGATTTATAGTTCACTACAGTTAAAGAGCATTCTGAAACCCACAAACGACAGAATGGGGCAAACGTTCCACACAGAACCCCCATGACCAACAGAAAATACTTAAGGCCATCCAGTCCAACTCTCTTCACCAGGGCAAGAAAATGTAATCAGAGCCCTCCTGACAAAGAGCCATCCAGTCATAGATATAGATAGATATGATTCTCTCTCTCTCAAACACACAGATATAGTATCACAGATTTGAAAGAGATCCTTAAAGAAGGACTATGATATGTTGCATATTCCAGAGTAGGCAAACCAGACAATCTCCACATCAACACTGACAAAGAAACAACAAGAAATACTGTTTACTCACAAGCATAAAGGAATTACATATATTAGAAACCAACACTTTCTCATTACTTTATTTTCCAGATCACCAGACTGGGCCACAGCAACGTGTGGCAGGGGACAGCTAGTATTGAAATAGATATTTTATTTGTATTATATTTCTATCATATGGTATTTTATTCATTATTTTGTTTATATTTGCATTTTATTATATACTAGCTTAGGAACCCGGTGATGCCTGGGTTATTAGGACAAGGCATTTTTTGATTTTGGATGTTAGGCAATATCAGTTTGGTCATTTCTTATGCTATTTATTAGGGGGAAAAGTGAGCCTTTGCTTTTTTTTTAATGAATGCTCCCATTAGTAAATGCATAAGGATGTGGGTGAACTCATGCTCCCAAAATCGTGGGTCAATCACCCCCAAACCCCGCTAGTATTCAAAGTTGGCCATGTTGGGTCTGTGTGCCAAGTGTAGTCCAGATCCGTAGCATGCAGAGAGCTCGCTGGATGTGGGTGAACTACAACTCCCAGCATTCAAAGTGAATCATCCCCAAACTCCACCGATATGCACATTTGGCTGTGTTGGGTCTGTGTGCCATGATTGGTGCAGATCTAACATCAGCTTGCTTCAGTGCTTTCTGGATAAGGGTGAACTACAGTGGTTATAGTGGTTTCTGGATGTGAGTGAAGATACTGCAATTCCCATAGTCTGTGGTCCATCCTCCCCCAAACTTCACCAGGACGTCGGGTGAGTCATAAGGGGTCTGTGTGCCAAGTTTGGTCCACGACGGTCATTTGTGGAGGTTGCAGTAGTCCATCCTCCTGCAAAGCACACCACGACAGAAAGGGGATCATGGGGGGTCTGTGTGCCAAGTTCAGGCCCATCGTGCATGGGGGTCGCAGCGATCCCCAAAAGAGAGAGAAGGTACTGCAAGTTCCATTATCTGTGGTCCATTCTCCCCCAGACCGCAGCAGGGCATAAAGTGGGTCATGGAGGGGTCTGTGTACCAAGTTAGTTCCAAGTCCATCATTGCTGGAGTTCAGAGTGCAGTTCTTAGATTGCAGGTGAACTATACATCCCAGTACCCACAACTTCTATAAATCATGGTGAATTCTCCCCAAGCCTCTCTAATATGTTCAGTTGCTGATCACTTTTTTCTGTTTCCTGTGTGCCATAAAAAAGTGTAGGAAAGGCAATGGGGGGGGGGGTCCCCCATGCAAATTCCACACCAATGGAGAGAGAAAGGAACACTGGGATGCCTGTGGTGGCGGAAACACAGAAAATCTAGGATGATATTGTCCCCGTATGAAAGCCTTCACTTAGGTGGTGGGCAGTATGGTGTTGGTGGAGAACATTGGTGTAGCGTAATGTAAAATAAACCACGTGTAGTTCACGTTTGATCAGTCCACACACTGCTTTACCAGTGAAAACAAATATGCCATGCAGATGAACAATAAATAGTTTACTCTTCGTAGTTCAGAACAACGTATGTTGATGCAATCAGTTGCATCAACTCACATAATGTCCTTTTATACGAGGTTTAAAATAGTCTTTCTTTGTCAATTTGGATAAACTCTTCCAGCAGCTCATGAAGGAAGAGCACACTCCAAACTCTGACTCTCTCTTCTTTTTTCTCTCTAAGCAGCTGCATAGCTCAAGCCTGAACAAAAATGTAATAGTATCCAAAAGTCCCAGGCTCAGTCCCTGGACATTGCTCGACCAATCAGCTTCATGTATCTTATTTTGCAGTTGACACACACATACCCACTAATTCTCTGAATGCTCCAACAATTGGCAGGGCTCTTGGATATGTTTAGGGCACTCACCATAACCTGCAGTGTCACTGGAGGGAGGGCCATTGGTGTCTCCTACGTAGTGGGAGCTATAGCTATTTGTGGAATTGGGAGCCTGGATGTGTAAGTGGACACTCCAGCCACGTACACACATATTTTCACTTTCATTACATGTGTGTGTGTGTGTGTGTGTGTGTGTGTGTGTGTGTGTATATATATATATATATATATATATATATTCCTATTTTTTGTTGTTTGTTGTTTTACCAGGTAGATGCCACGGCTGAGGGGGTCGAGGAGCGTCCGGTAGGCCTTGTTCACCAAAGAAGAGTGTTCTTCCGAGAAGCCTCTTTCCACCTAATAATAATTATTCTTATTATTATTTTATAATAATTATTATAATAATGTTGTAATAATAATAATAATAATAACAACGTTTTGACCTGCGGCTTGTGGCTGAAGCGGTCTGGGTGGAGGCGGCCCTGCAAGGCCCGGAAAGTCTGCCTCAAATGGGAAGCGTCCAATCGGAAGCGGCGCTCGCTGGGGAAACAAACCACCATTAAACATTCAATTCATAAAAAAGACATGGATTTTGGTCTATCAGCCCCATCCGCTCATTTGCATAGCCCTGCTGGTTGGCCCCTGAGTGAGAAGGGGAGGAGCCCCTGGGAGACTCAAAGCAGCTCACAATCATAAACATTATAACTTAAAATATACAAATATACAACAATAAAACAGTATATCATTATATATTATTATATATTATCAGTAGTATTATATTTAATATATTAATATTATTATACAGTATTACAAGCTACTAGAAGAGGTTCCTAACAGCTGCAGGTTGCGGAAGAAAAAAGGAACTGAGGGTCAACCCCACCCATGGGCAAAATGTTTCAATATATATAAGCTCTAGAACAGTGGTTCCCAACCTGTTGGTCCCCAGGTGTTTTGGCCTTCAACTCCCAGAAATCCTAATAGCTGGTAAAGTTGCTGGGATTTCTGGGAGTTGTAGGTCAAAACACCTGGGGTACCCATAGGTTGGGAACCACTGCTCTAGAATGTTCCGAATGGCTGTGCATGTGCAGTGAAAATCCATGTGTGCAGTTTTCACAGACACTATAAAGAAGAATTAGCTTGGGGGCCCAGCAGTGTCTGGGTTATTAGAAGGCATTGTTTCTTTTGGGGTGTTAAGTAATATAATTTAGTTAATTCGTAACACTATTTATCTTTGCTTGTGTTTCGTATGAATACTCCCATCAGAAAATACATAACAATTTGGGTAAACTACAATTCCCAGAATCATAAGTCAATCCTCTCCAAACCAGGCCTGTATGCACAGTTGGCCATGTTGGGTGTGTGTGCCAAGTTTGGTCCAGATCTGTCTGGTTGGGTTCAGTGCTCTCTAGATAAGTACGAACACTTTACAGTTGGCCATGTTGGACCTACCCACGGATGATGGTCCTGAGGCTCAGCTCCCTTCTCAACTGAACTCTTAGAGAGAGGCGGCCTCCTTCAGTACCAAGGTCCAGGGGCTGTCCGAATGAGCACCTCCACCATGTTGATTGCCGCTCCCCACGGTACCGATGACACTCATTATCAGCAGAGTCCTGGACTTTGTGGTCCCATAGCCCATCAGGGGCATCTCTTTACTATTTGTGGTCTCGGTCACCTGACCTTCGTGTGTACTACCTGTACACAGACTATGGACACCCAGGCTATCCTTCGCCTCCTCCATATGCAGGATATGGCCAATGTTACCATTATGACTGCTGCCGGGCAAAGATGGCCACACCAGCTCGGGACTGAGGTGCTCTTCCATCCTGACGGCTACCGCCCCCCCCCCCCCCCCCCAGAAGATCCTCCACCCCAACCCTCTGTGATTCTGGTACCTCCTACACATGAGGCTCTGGCACCGGCTGAGTCTTTTTCCGCCCAACGGGAAAGAGAGGAGGAGTGTGACCACACTGACTCTGACGCAGAGGAGACCGTCCCTTCTGCGCCTGAATGGACCCAGACTGGACTTCTGCTCTCAGAAGACTTCAAAAATGTTTCAGTCCTTCTCATGAGGATGGCACAGGCCCTTAATCTACCCACCCTGCAACCAACGAAAGTGGTAGAAGACCCCTGCTTCCCCTCTTTGGAACAACAGGCCCCTATGACAACTGCTACCCTTGTTGCCATATTTGCTCCAACTAATCAAAATATCTGGAGTGGCTTCAGCCTTGGTCCCAGCAACTCCCAAATGTAGCTGGGACCTCTCTTCAGCCACCTGGGTAGCCAAACAACTTAAGCCCAACTCCATAGTCACGGAAACACAGCTACGCCCCTCTCAGAGGACCCGGACCTCACCTTTGGACAGAGGGTAAAAAGCTGGATGACATGGTGAAAAATTGCTCCCTACCTGGTGGATTTGCTTCCCTTGCATTGGCTAAGGCCTTCAGGTGGGAAGCTTGCTTACTTACGAGCCTACAAAAGGAACTTGCCAAGAACACAGCAGATACATCAGGCAAGCTCCTTGTCGGGGCAGTGGCCCTGGCTTGTCACCAACTGCCTGTATACTTATAGAGGACCTCCTATGGATGAAGCCAACCTCTTCAACCCCAAGACCGATTCTCAGCTTGAGCATAAGTAAGTATGGATACTCACCTTACTCTTCCCAACAAAAGCAACGATGGGGATTCCATTCAGAGCACCAGCACATACGCTTTAGCCCCCCTGTCTTACAAGGGCAGACAACGGCCCCAATCTTCGACACCTGAAAACAGGAAGCCATCACTTCAAGTTTCAGTACCATGGAACCAAACCGACTGACAACAAAAAGCACAGTTTTTAGCTCCGAGACTAATAACAACCTCTCAGTTTCCCAAGTTCAGTTAACATTTCCTCCAGTTTATTTTTCTCCAATTCATACTCCCTCAGCTGTTTGTTCATTATCACCCTCTTCTTGGGGCAGTGCCTCGGTTAACAACACCTTCTGGGGCCACATATCACCATAGATTATCCCCATTCCTCAAAGCCTGGGAAGGGATAACAATAGACACTTGGGTAGTAGACATGGTCAGGAGAGGCTATGCCATAGAATTCCACTCGTACCCTCCTGTTGAGGAGGTCTCTATCACCTAACCGTCAACAGTTCTGTGTGAAGAGGTGGACACACTCCTCACCAAGGGAGCCACCTCCGTCATACTGACACCCTGGGTGGGACAGTGTTTCTTCTCTAGCTTTTTAGTTCCCAAACAGGACGGAGGGCTACGCCCCATCTTGACTTGGGCAATATTAAACGGTTCATCAAAATGAGCAAGTTCCGAATGGTCACCCTCTGTACCATTCTTTCATTCGTCAAGAAAGGGGCATGGGTAGTGATGGTGGATCTCTGTGATGCTTACTTTCACATTTTGATTAAAGAATGTCACCACAAGTTTCTTAGTTTTGCAGTTGATCACCATTTTTATTTGTTCAGCGTGCTCCTGTTTGGTCTCTCCATGTGCCCCGTGTATTTACCAAATGCATGGCCATGGTGGCAGCCTACCTGCGACAGCAAGGGGTCATAATTTTCCCATACTTTGATGACAGTCACCTGTCTCTCATGAGCAATTACAGTCTGACATTCAATACACTTTGTCTCTCCTGCTGGCTCTGGGCCTTGTGGCCAACTGAGAGAAGTCCTATCTGTCTCCCATCGGAGCTGTCATAGACTCCACAACACAGAAGTCCTACCTCCTGGAGGAATGGCTCCACAACCTGTGGGCCATTATCAACAAATTCCACACCACGAGCCATGCATCTTGGGCCATATGGCCTCTTCCACCGCTGTCACCAGGTTCACGCAACTAACGCTACGGCATCTGCAAACCAGGTTCCTCCGAGTGTTCAACCCGCTCCCTGACCACCAGAACATGATACTGGAACCACCACCATCAGTGCTACAGATCCTGCCATGATGGACAAAGAGATCCAATGTTTGCTCAGGGATGATCCCTCGGCCATCACTATCACTGACAACAGCCGCGTTCTGCTGGAGTTGAGGCGCCCACCTGCAAGAGGTCATGATCCATGGACACTTGTCCCCACGGGAACAGGAAAATCATATCAAAGCGCTAGAATTACTATCAGTGGAGAAGGCCCTCCGAGTGTTCTCACGCCTGGTCACAGACGATCTTCAGCTGATAACACACAACACAACTAAAATATTACATCAACAAACAAGGATGCACCCACTCCCGAAGCCTTCTATCCATTGCAATGAGAATTTCAGAGTGGTGCATTTGGAGGAATGTCCAGCTCGTGGAAATCCATCTCCCTGGTGAGGAGAATGTGCTAGCAGAATTCTTGAGCAGGACAGAGATGTCCAACCATGAATGGGGGTTCCAATTCCTCACTCGACACTGGAACCACCCACAGGTGGGCCTCTTTACCATTCCCTCAAACAAGAAATGTGCCCAGTTCTGCATGAGGATGTGCCTCTGTGTGTCTCCAGATGCCTCAGAGAGACCTTTCTGTTCATGTGGACACTGGGTCTGCTCTATGCATTCCCACCACTGTCCCTGATAGCCAGGGTAGTGGCGAAAGTGATATCGGACAACGCGGACTGCATTGTGCTCACCCTGTGGTGCCCACGGCAGCCTTGGCTTGTCCTCCTCCTACACGCATCGAGGGGCGAACATCTCCTCCTGAGTCCCTATCTCCTCACAATCCAGGACAGCCTCATTCGCTATCCTGATGTGATATCCCTTCGACTAACAGTGTGGAGAATCAAGCCACAGGGTACCTGATGCTATCTCTCTGAAGCAGTACAGCAAATAATTAAGGTGGCCCAAAAAGTCTAGACCAGAAGAGCTTACAAGTGGTTTCAGAGAATCCATTGAACCCTTGGGATTTGACCCCCTTATGGCCCCAATCTCCACGATGCTGGACTTTCTGGTATACCTTTCTACTAAGGGACTCTCCCTGTCTTCCATCAAGTGCTACGTTGCAGCACTCTCCTGGTTTAGGAGAACAGCAGGGCAACCCTCCCTTTTCCAAGACCTCTTGGTACAATTCTTCCTCAAGGGGTACAAAAACGTTCACCTGCCGAGCTCTTTGCGCCCACCAGCCCAGAGCCTGGAACTCGTTTTATCACTACTCTCAAAGCCAATATTCAAGCTGATGGCTTCCAGTGACCTTTCGCATCTCTCCTGAAAGACTGCATTTCTGGTGGCCATCCCATCAGCCAGACACACCCTTCAGGCAGGTGCCCCCTACAACCAATTCCATGAAGACAAGGTGGTTCTTCTTAAGGTGGTGTCTCACTTTCACAGGTGCCAAGACATCTCCTTATCTGCTTTCTTCCCAAAGCCACCCTACACTCCTTGGATGTTAAGAAGGTCTTGGCATTCTATATACACAGAATGACCCCTCACAGAAAATCACCGAGTCTCTTCCTGGAATATCGTAAAGATGCCTTGGAGTTGCCAGTGTCCTCCCAACGCCTCGTCTACCAACTGGGAGGACGAGACCCTCCACAGCATGTGTCAGAGCACTCAACCAGATCAGTATCCACCTTTCAGGCATTCTTATGGGGTGTCCCCTTCAAAGAAATCTGTAAGGCTGCAATGTGGACTACACTCCACATTTGCTGTACACTACAAACTAGACGTCTTTGCAGAGAGACATGACGTTGTTGGCAGGGTGGTACTATTATTACATTATATTATATTATATTATATCATTACATTTATTATAATAGCGATTATAATTAGCAGTATAATTATTATATATTATACATATATTACAATCCTATTATATTTAACACTATATATATATATATATATATATATATATATATATATATATATTCTATCCCAGCTGAACTGTTTAAACTCTTGAAAGAGGATGCTGACAAGGTGATGCATGCCATATGCTGGCAAATATGGAAAACACATGAGTGGTCATCAGACTGGAAAAAAAATAATATTTACAACATTTTTACCCCGCCCTTCTCAACCCCGGGGGGGGGGGGGGGCTCAGAGCGGCTAACATAGGCAGCAATTCGATGCCACAAATCAATAACACAGTATAAAACCATAAATACATACAAAGTTAAAACAAAAAACCCACCTATATCCCCATACCAAAAAAGGGAAATGCTAAAGACTGCTCAAACTTTCGTACAGTGGCCCTTATTTCTCATGCCAATAAGGTAATGCTCAAGATCCTGCAAGGAAGACTCCAGCAATACATGGAGCGAGAGTTGCCAAATGTACAAGCTGGGTTTAGAAAAGGCAGAGGAACAAGAGACCAAATTGCCAATATCCACTGGGTAATGGAGAAAGGCAGGGAGTTTCAGAAAAACATCTATTTCTGTTTTATTGATTATTCTAAAGCCTTTGACTGTGTGGATCATAATAAATTGTGGCAAGTTCTTGGTGGTCTGGGCATACCAAGCCACCTTGTCTCTCTCTTGAGGAATCTGTACAAGGACCAAGTAGCAACAGTGAGAACTGACCATGGAACAACAGACTGGTTCAAGATTGGGAAAGGAGTACGGCAGGGTTGTATACTCTCACTCAACCTATTCAACTTGTATGCAGAACACATCATGCGATGTCCAAGAAGATATTGCATTTATTTTATTTATTGTATTGTATATTACTTGTAAGCTGCTCTGAGACTCCTTTGGGGTGATAAGAGCGGCATATAAATGTCATAAATAAATAAATGAATAAATAACTGCAAGGAGCGTCGCTACCTTCCCGTCGGAGCGGTACCTATCGATCTACTCACATTTGCATGTTTTCGAACTGCTAGGTTGGCAGAAGCTGGGGCTGACAGCAGGTGCTCACGCCGCTCCCTGAATTTGAACCTGCGACCTTTTGGTCAACCCACTGCGCCATTATATTTATTTATTTATTTCCTTCATTTCTACCCCGCCCTTCTCCCACAGTCTAGAATATAATTCTATATATAGAATTATATTCTATATTATATATAGAATTATATTCTATATTATATATAGAATTATATTCTATATTTTATATAAACTATGTGTAATAGTTTATATAAAATATATAATGTAATTCTCTCTATATATATACTAGCTGTACCCACCATGTGCTGCTGTGGCCAGCCTTCCCTCCCTCCCTCTTTCTCTCTTTCTGTCACTCCTTCCTTCATTCCGTTTTCTTCTTTCCTTTCTTACTTCTCTATCTCTTTCCTTCCCTTCCCCTTTTTCTTTTCCTTCCCCTTTCTCTCCTTAGATTTTTGCTTCCATCCTTCCTTCTCTTTCCTTCTTTCCTTCCCTCCTTCTTTCTCTTCTTCCTTCGCTCCCTCTTTCCTCCCTTCCCTCTTTTCTTTCCTTCTCTACCTCTTCCCTTCCTCCTCCCTTTTTCTTTTCCTTCCTCTTTCTCTCCTTTATTCCTTCTTTCCTTCCTTCCTTCGCTCTTTGCTTCCAGGCTTCCTTCTCTCTTGCCTTCTTTCTTTCTTTCTTTCTTTCTTTCTTTCTTTCTTTCTTTCTTTCTTTCTTCCCTTCCTTCCCTCCCTCTTCCTTCCCGTTTTTTTCTGTAGGGAAGTTTTTTTGTCATTTTGCTTTTTGGGGTTTTTAAGTCCTTTGTGCTGGTTTTTTGGGGGGTGGGGTATGAGTGATGGTCACTCGGTCTGTTGGAGGTATAGTGTCCAAATTTGGTGTCAATTTGTCCAGTGGTTTTTGACTTATGTTAATCCCAAAAACGAACATTGCATTTATATATATATATGTATGTATGTATATATATATATATATATATATATATATATATATATTATAACCATTATTATATTTATTGACATATGTAATATTGTTTAGTATATAATTATATATCAATATCAATATATGAAAGGAAATGCCCCTTACATACAAGATTAAAAAGGGCAACACCTTCTTTGAAAGGCAGCAGATCACAGGAGCTGTCTTCATAGACCTGTCAGCGGCTTATGATACTGTGAACCACCGCTTCCTCCTGAGAAAAATGTATAATATCACAATGGACTACGACCTCACCTGCCGCATAGGAAATCTGCTACAAGACAGGAGCTTTTTTGTTGAGTTACAGGGCCAGAGAAGCAGATGGTGGAAACAGAAGAACGGCCTGCCTCAGGGGAGCGTGCTTGCTCCATCCATGTTCAACATCTACACAAATGACCAGCCACTGCCAGAAGGGACAGAGAGTTTCATCTATGCTGATGATCATGCCATCACCGCTCAAGCAGGGAGCTTTGAGATGGTAGAACAGAAGCTCTCCGAAGCTCTAGGTGCTCTTACTGCCTATTACAGGGAAAACCAACTGATCCCTAATCCATCTAAAACACAGACATGTGCCTTTCACCTTAAGAACAGACAAGCATCCTGAGCTCTGAGGATCCTGGGAAGGAATCCCACTGGAGCATTGCAGCGCACCCAAATACCTGGGAGTCACTCTGGACCGTGCTCTGACCTACAAGAAGCACTGCCTGAACATCAAGCAAAAAGTGGGTGCTAGAAACAATATCATACGAAAGCTGACTGGCACAACCTGGGGATCACAACCAGACACAGTGAAGACATCTGCCCTTGCGCTATGCTACTCCGCTGCTGAGTATGCATGCCCAGTGTGGAACACATCTCACCACGCTAAAACAGTCGATGTGGTTCTTAATGAGACATGTCGCATTATCACAGGGTGCCTGCGCCCTACACCACGGGAGAAATTACACTGCTTAGCCGGTATTCCACCACCTGACATCCGCCGGGAACTAGCAGCCAATAGTGAAAGGACCAAGTCAGAGACATCTCCAGCTCATCCCTTGTTTGGGCACCAGCCAGCATGTCAACGACTTAAATCAATAAATAGTTTTCTTAGATCTACAGAGACACTCGCTCGAACACCTCAGCAAGCGAGAGTCCAAAAGTGGCAGGCTCAAACCCACGCAGTGAGAGATACGCAATGAGAGACTTTCCCCTGGGCACACAGAAGATTGGGCGACTTGGAAGGTGCGGAACAGACTGCGCTCTGGCATCACGAGACGAAGAGCCAACCTTCAGAAATGGGGCTACAAAGTGGAATCCTCGACATGCGAGTGTGGAGAAGAGCAAACCACTGACCACCTGCTGCAATGCAACCTGAGCCCAGCCACATGCACAATGGAAGACCTTCTTGCAGCAACACCAGAGGCACTCCAAGTGGCCAGATACAGGTCAAAGGACATTTAATCGACTACCAAACTTGCAAAATTTGTGTTTTTTTAATCTGTTTGTTTTGTTCTGTTAGATATGTAATACAATGGTCTGGTTGCTGATGACATGATAAATAAGCCCCTTCTTCTAAAAGCCACGCCCCCTTCCTTAGCATAGGAATATGGTTAACAAAGGAAACATTTCACTCGCCACGCCCCTTTGGGAAGAAGAGACACTTGGCCACGCCCCTTGCCAATGGGACATCCCCCATTGGATGGTTCGAGAGGTTCGAGCGTTGCCCTTAGCGACGCATCCCTTCTACACTGCGCATGCTCGGAGCGGCCCAGACCCGTGTCCTCACTTCCCAGGCCCCGCGAAACGTGAGAATGGGAGTTTTGGGCGTGTTTCGGCGTTTCCTCACCATCCCATGACGCTGAAGAGGTCCTGCTGGGGTTCTGGGGGCTGCAGGGCGCGGCAGGACGGGCAGAAGCGACACGGGGCGCCGGAGGGAGGCAGGGAGAGTCCGCAGCTCCAGCAGGAGAGCCAGGCCCGCGTCGAGAGCGCCCTCCAAGGCCTCAGGCCCCGCCGGAGCGCGCCCAACCACATCGCTAGGACTTTCCGACGGGGGGAAATGACCTTTTGGGGTGAGCGCATGCGTGGTGTCGCCCTCAGGTCCGTTACACGTCTGCGCATGCGCACCAGTCTGAGGAGCCTCAGTTGCAGATCTGCGCATGCGCACCATTTACTACCTTATTTTGTATCAAAAGCATTGCATAAGTTAGTATAAAGCTGATAAAAATATAAGGAGTGCAGGTGGCTTTACTTCAGTTACACATTAACGCATGCGCTTTCGCGTCAACCATCTCTTGATAAAAGGTCTGGAGAACAAGCCCTATGAGGAGCGGCTTAACGAGCTGGGCATGTTTAGCCTGAAGAAGAGAAGGCTGAGAGGAGATATGATAGCCATGTATAAATATGTGAGAGGAAGCCACAGTGAGGAGGGAGCAAGCTTGTTTTCTGCTTCCTTGGAGACTAGGACGCGGAACAATGGCTTCAAACTACAAGAGAGGAGATTCCATCTGAACATGAGGAAGAACTTCCTGACTGTGAGAGCCGTTCAGCAGTGGAACTCTCTGCCCCGGAGTGTGGTGGAGGCTCCTTCTTTGGAAGCTTTTAAACAGAGGCTGGATGGCCATCTGTCAGGGGTAATTTGAATGCGATATTCCTGCTTCTTGGCTGAATGGGGTTGGACTGGATGGCCCATCAGGTCTCTTCCAACTCTTTGATTCTATGATTCTTGGCCTCTGTTACATGTCCACGCATGCGTACTGTTCTCAGAGCGAACTCTACCGTTCTGCGCATGCGCTCCAATCACTTATTCGCCTCCGTTCATATAAACGCATGCGCCGTTTTCTCAGAACCAGTTACAGCTTTGCAACATTTTACTTAACTACTGTTCTGCGCATGCGCGCGATTCACTTATTCGACACCGGCACACTAGACGCATGCGCAGTATTCTCCTTAGAGAGCCAGTTCCAGGTCGAACTTTGGAAAGATTCTTTTTTGCGCATGTTTAAAGGAAACAGCGAATAGTGATTTAATAAGACAGTAAGAGCCATCACTGATTGGTCCTCTCAGGGATGGGCTTCCATTGCAGGAAGCCCTCACTTGGGCTGTGATTGGCTGAGGCGGGCCAGGTCACGTGCCGGTATAAAAATAAGCGGGAACCCTGGCCGTGCTTCATTCTCCGAAGATGTCGCACGAGGTAAAGTCCGAGGAAGGCCCCAGTTCGTCCACTTCGGGCTCCTCGAGTTCGGCGACGGCGAGCTCTGTAGACACGCTTCCCACCCAGGAACCGCTGCCCTCCATTCCAGAAGAAGGAGAAATAGGAGAAGGAAACGGACAAGGCCTCAAGGCCTGGGGAAGGCTCTTCGGCCTCTCACCGGGCTTCCACAACCTCGGTTAGTAGGGCTCGCTCTCATTCATATCATTGCGATTACTATTATTATTACTATCCATTATGATGTATATCTATCTATATATAAATGCTCTGTGCATAATGAGTACCTTAAAAACAAAAGAACCAATGAACGAAATCACACCAAATTTGGCAACAAAACATCTCACTACGCAAGGAGTGACCATCACTCAAAAAATTATGATTTTGTCATTTGGGAGTTGTAGTTGTTGGGATTTATAGTTCACCTACAACCAAAGAGCATTCTGAACTCCACCAATGATGGAATTGAACCAAACTTGGCACACAGAACTCCCTTGACCAACAGAAAATATTGGAAAGGTTTGGTGGATATTGACCTTGAGTTTGGGAATTATAGTTCACCCATATCCAGATAGCACTGTGGACTCAAACAATGATGGATCTGGACCAAACTTGGAACGAATATTCCATATGCCCAAATATGAACACAGATGGAGTTTAAGGGAAATACACCTTGACATTTGGGATTTGTAGTTGCTGGGATTTGTAGTTCACCTACAATCAAAGAGCATTCTGAACTCCACCAATGATGAAATTCAACCAAACATGGCATACAGGACTTCCATGACCAACAGAACACACTGGAAGGGTTTGGCGGGCATTGACCTTGAGTTTGGGAGTTGTAGTTCGCCAACATCCACAGAGCACTATGGACTCAAACAATGATGGATCTGGACCAAACTTGGAACGAATACTCAATATCCCCAAATATAAACACAGATGGAGTTTGGGGGAAATAGACCTTGACATTAGGGAGTTGTAGTTACTGGGATTTATAGTTCACCTACAATCAAAGAGCATTCTGAACCCCACCAATGACATAATTGGGTCAAACTTTCCACACAGAACCCCCATGACCAACAGAAAATACTCAAGGCCATCCAGTCCAACTCCCTTCACCAGGGCAAGAAAACGTCATCAAAGCCCTCCTGACAAAGAGCCATCCAGCCATAGAGATCGATATGGTTCACACACACACTGATATAGAATCATAGATGTGAAAGGGACCCCTGAAGAAGGACTATGATATGTTGCATGTGCCAGAGTAGGCAAACCAGACACTCTCCGCATCAACACTGACAAAGAAACAGCAAGAAATACTGTTTACTCACAAGCAGAAAGAAATTACATATATTAGAAACCAACACTTTCACATTACCTTATTTTTCAGATCACAAGACTGGGCCACAGCAACGCGTGGCAGGGGACCGCTAGTTATTTATAGTAGTATTGTATTTTATTATTTATATTCACAATACTTTTTCATTATATTTAATACTTATTCTCTGTATTTAATATACTTAGAAACACTTGCCTTGTTTTCTTTTAAATATGCAAATGGAGCAGTTGGATATGCAAATGTTCTCTCTTTGCAGACTGCGTGAATGCGGAATACAGCTTTGGGCGGGACCCGAGCTGTGATTATGTTTTCCAGAGATTGTCTGAGTTGTACCAACAGACCAGCAAGAAGCATTTCCGGGTCATCCGGGTATTTATTTATTTATTTATTTATGACCTTTATATGCCGCCCTTCTCACCCCGAAGGAGACTCAGAGCAGCTTACAAGTAATATACAATACCATAAATAAAATAAATGCAATATCTTCTTGGACGTCGCATGATGTGTTCTGCATACAAGTTGAATAGGTTGAGTGAGAGTATACAACCAGGTATAGCCAGGTCTTTGCCTGGCTTCAAGATGGCGATGACTCTTGCTTTCCTCCAGATTTTGGGGATCTGACAGGATGCAGTGCAGTTGTTCATCAGCTCCAGCAGCCAGTGCCTTGCTTTTGGGCCAAAGTTCTTGATTTGTTCCATCCGTAGATCATCCAAGCCAGCTGCTTTGCCATTTTTACATTTATTGATGTCGACAGACTTTATTCTGGGCAGGTAAAGTCTGTCGACATCACTACGCGGGTGTAATGAGTAGTGGATTGTCGTCAGTTTTCTTGTTTTTTCTGTCTAGATAATCCAGCTCTGCTTGTGTCCAGTTCATAATCCCAGCAGTGTATCTAATGACAGGGATGGTCCAGGTGTTGATTGCCTTGATCGCATTTCCGCCATTTAATTGGCTCTTCAAAACCTTTCTGACTCTTTGGATGTATTCTTTGCTGACCACACTTTTCACACGCCCATGCTTGATATTGTCCCACTGTAGTATGCCCAGATATTTATAGGCTTCAGGCTGATTGCATTTTATGGTTTGTCCATTTGGCATCTCTATGCCCTCGCTGTGTGTAATTCTCCCTTTGTTTAATGCCACTGTGGCACATTTGTCTAGTCCGAACTCCATACTGATATCAGTGCTGAAGATTCAGACTGTGTTGGTCAGTGACTGGATTTCAGTTTCTGATTTTTCGTAAAGCTTTAGATCAGTGGTTCTCAACCTTCCTAATGCCACAACCCCTTAATACAGTTCCTCATGTTGTGGTGACCTCCCACCATCAAATTATTTTCGTTGCTACTTCATAACTGTAATTTTGCTACTGTTATGAATCGTAATGTAAATATCTGATCTGCAGGATGTATTTTCATTCCCTGGAGTAAACTTGGCACCAATACCCAATACGCCCAAATTTGACTACTGGTGAGGTTTGGGGGGGGGGGGGTTGATTTTGTCATTTGGGAATTGTAGTTGCTGGGATTTATAGTTCACCTACAATCAAAGAGCATTCTGAACTCCACCAATGATGGAATTGAACCAAACTTGGCACACAGAACTCCCATGAGCAACTGAAAATACTGGAAGGATTTGGTGGGCAGTGTCCTTGAGTCTTAGAGTTTTAGTTCACTTACATCCAGAGAGCACTGTGGACTCAAACAATGATGCATCTGGACCAAACTGGGCATTAATATTCAATATGCCCAAATGTGAACACTGGTGGAGTTTGTGGAAAATAGACCTTGCCATTTGGGAGTTGTAGTTGTTGGGATTTATAGTTCACCGACAATCAAAGAGCATTCTGAACCTCACCAGCGATAGAATTAGTCCAAACTTCTCACACAGATCCTCCATGACCAACAGAAAATACTGTTTTCTGATGGTCTTTGGCAACCCCTTTGACACCTCCTTGTGACCCCCCTAGGGGTCCCGACCCCCAGGTTGAGAAACACTGTTTTAGATCATCCTTGTACAGCAAGTGGAAAATGTTTGGTGAATTTGGATATTTAAACCGAAATCTGTGCAATTGATCATTGCCAGGTGATGTCCAGTTCTTGACTTTCTTCACTCTTTCAGTGATCAATTTCTGTTGTTATTTCCAAGGTTCTTCTTCTTATTATCTATTATTATAATTATTATTATGTATATATTATTATTTTGATATTCCTATGATTCCATGTATTATTATATTATATCACCATCTAAATATTATTATTACATATATATTGTTATTATTATTATGTTGATAGGAGGAGCCTGGGCTTGGAGTGGGTGTGGCGTATTTGGAAGACCAGAGCGCTAACGGGACCTTTGTTAACGGGACGTTAATTGGGAAAGGGAAGAAAACCCCACTGGCCAATGGAGCAGAGATCGCACTTGCACTCCCCTTCAACAAAGGTAAGCATAATAATAATATGAAGTAATAATAATGTGAAATAATAACAATATGATTAATAATAAGAAATACTAGTAATAAGAAACAATAATAGGAATAATAGCAGGAAGTAATACAAAATAATATGAAATAATTATAATAACCTTAATAATAATAATAATAATAAGGAAAAGTTTTCTCTCCCCTCCAACAAAGGTAATAATAATATATTAATTATATGAAATAATAAAAAAGAATAAAATAATGATAGTAATAATATAATGGGGTGGAGTTCGCCCTCACCCTCCCCTCCAACAAAGGTAAAAAGGATTTATTATAATAATATTAGTTAAAAATAATATGAAGTAATAATACAAAATAATATTGTATTATTATTATATGGCGTAATGATATGGTATAATAATGTAATAATAACGAATAATATTTAATAAGAATATAATAATATAAGGAATAAACAGCAATAATAATATGAGATGATAATAATAATGGTGCTTTCAAACAGGGGAAAGAAGAATATATGATATTATTATTATTATTATTATTATTAATAATAATAATATGCAGACTGTGCAAGGAAGCTGTTGAAACCATTGATCATATCCTCAGCTGTTGCAAGGAAATCAGACTACAAACAGGCACAACTCTGTGGCCTAAATGATTCATTGGAACTTATGTCACAGGTACTACCTACCAGTAGTAAAGAACTGCCAGTAGTAAAGATCATAAACCTACAAAGGTAGTGGAAAATAAACACGCAAAAATACTGTGGGACTTTTAATCCAGACTGACAAAGTTTTGGAACACAATACACCAGACATCACGGCTGTGGAAAATAAAAAAGTTTGGATTATTGATGTCGCTATACCAGGTGATAGTCGCATTGAAGAAAAACAACAGGAAAACCTCAGCTGTTATCAGGACCTCAAAATCGAACTGCAAAGGCTGTGCCATAAACCAGTACAGGTAGTCCCAGTGGTCATTGGCGCACTGGGTGCCGTGCCAAAAGATCTCAGCCGGCATTTGGAAACATTAAACATTCACAAAATCACAATCTGTCAACTGCAAAAGCCCACCCTACTTGGATCTGCACGCATCCTTCGAAAATACATCACACAGTCCTAAACGCTTGGGAAATGTTCGACTTGTGATTTTGTGATACGAAAGCTGTGATATACTGTGTTTCTGTGTCAGTACAATAATATGAAATACAAGGAATAAAGATAATAGTAATATTAACAAAACTATAATTGGCCATGTCCTCCATCAAAAATAATATCAAATGGTAATAATATAATAATAGAAAATAAAATAATGATGTGAAACGATGTAAAATTTTCTTTAAAATATTCACAAAAATATTCACAATTTGTTTTGCAAACATATTAATAAAAATGTATTGCTATAAATGTTATATATTTTATCAAACAAATTCACACACACATATATATCCTTCCAGTTTTCTGCTTCTGCGACTTAATGGACAACAATCAGTCAATGGGTTTCCCTTCGGCCTTAAAGGAGAGGTACCTCATTTCCAAGACCCTCGGAACGTGAGTCCAACATTATATATTATATTTGATCCTTTATTTTTATTTGATACTATTTTTATTATTTTATTTCTTAGAATATTTATTCATAGTTTTCCTCTTAAATTTTATTTCATATTAAATTTATTGTTATATGTCTTTATTATTTATTATTTTGTCCTGGATTGTGAGACCACTTTTTGTTTAATTTTATATTTATTTATTTATTTAATATTTTTAAAATATAGCATTGAAAAATATAATAATAAGAAAGAAATTGTATAAAATATTTAATATTTCAAATACAATAATAATAAATATATATTGCATTGCAAAATATAATAATAATATGAAAAAATTGAGAAATCAAATAGTTTGACAAATAAAATAATAATAGCTTTGAATAATATAATTCTCATTTCATATTTATTTTATTCATTTTTATTTTATTTCCTTTTTTATTATAGTATTATATTTCATATTACAGACGACTTTGTGGGAGACCTGTTGTAGGCAAATAAGCTCAACAGATATGCAAACGAGCTCATCAAATAGGCAAATGAGCTAATCGAATATGCAAATGAGCTCATCCTATATGCATATTTTCTATTTAGAGGCGCCTGTGGGGAAGTCAAGCTGGGCTTTGACAAAGAAACTTGCCGTAAAGTCGCCATTAAAATCATCAATAAAAAGAAGTGCTTCTATGAAAATGTAGGTCATTTATTAATATTATTATTATAGTTGTATTATTTATATTTCATTACAATATAGTATATTATTTACTTATTATATTTATTTATTTATTTACGACATTTATATGCCGCCCTTCTCACCCCGGAGAGTGATTTTATATTTTATTGTATTGTATTTTATTTATTATTTATTATTTATTATTTTAAGTGCATTTATTTAATGTGTTACTTCACATTAAATAAATACACATGTTATGTAGTTAATTTTTATTTCACTCTTTAATTATTTAATTTTTATGTTTATTTTTAAAAATTGTTTTTGTTATTATTACACTCAGTTGGTTTGTGTTGCTGTTTTTTTTGCCTCAGAAGTGTCTTGTATTCCCTTTTTGATTGGAACAGGGAAGGGGGTGTGTCACAAGAAATATATGCAGATTTGAGAAATGTGGATTTGATATGGTGTGGGTATGAATTGAGTTGAATGAAAGATGAATGAATGAGAGTTCATATGAGGGGTGAATGAAAAGTAATGCCTCCACCTTCATAACTCATCAACAGATGGCAGTACTGGTATGCAGCAGGTACTGGCTTGTTCAGTAGACTGTCCTCTACAGTTCCATTTTAGCGGGAAGCCTTAGCATTGAACGGTTGCATTGTTAAAGTGCAAAGTATGGAACCCTGCGCAGACTGTGGTCAATGCGACTTAAGCAATGTGCAGTCATTGAATTATTGACAGAAGGTGTCACCCCAAATGAGATTAATCAGAGAATGCAAGCTGTTTATGGTGATTGTGTTGATGTGAGTACTGTGCGTCGTTGAGCGAGTAAGTTTAAAGATGTTGAAGTGGGAACATCCGACTTGCGTGACAAACAAAGAGTTGGACGTCCTGTGACAGCAACCACCGAGTTTCACAAGCAAAAGTTTGACAGATTGATTCAGGATGATCGTATCCCTCAGAGAGAAATTTCAAGCATAATCGGCATTTCACAAGAACGTGTGGTCACATTATTGCTTTGCTTGGCTATCGGAAGATCTGTGCACGATGGGTGGCAGAAACAGAGTGTCAACTTCTTCCATTTATTTATTTATTTATTTATTTATTTATTATTTATTAACTATATTTGTACCCCGCTAGCATCTCCCGAAGGACTCGATGCGGCTTACACGGGCCGAAGCCTCAGAACGCAATACAATAGAAAACATAACACAACAATAACAAAGCAAATCAAAACAATTAAGCAAAATAACAACAATGACAATACATCAGTACATCAAGACACTGTTAAAAACTGGTTCGGCCGGCGCAGTGGGGTACAGGGTTAAAAGTGCTGAGATGGCAGGAGGAACGTAGGATTAAAAGTGTAGTGTGCAGTAACATTGATTGTACTAAAGTGCTTCTAGGACTTGGGATGGGGATTCCTAATCTGAGAAGGCACATCGGAACAGCCAAGTTTTTAGATTCCTTCTGAAAACTGCTAAAGTAGGGGCCTGTCGGAGATCTTTTGGGAGGGCATTCCACAGTCGGGGGGCCGCCACAGAGAAGGCCCTGTCCCGTGTCCCCACCAAGCGCGCTTGCGACGTGGGTGGGATCACGAGCAGGGCCTCCCCAGATGACCGAAGGGAGCGTGTGGGTTCGTAAATGGAGATGCGGTCCCCCCATGACGGCTTCGGAAAACTTGTTCATCGTTGGCAGAAATGTATCCAATTGTCTGGTGATTATGTCAAAAAGTGAATAGTGGTGGTTAAAGAGCACATTCTCAGGATTATTTCTGTGTTTGATTTATTAAAATATTCTCATCCAAACCCAAGTAACGAAAATGGAGGCATTACTTTTCATTCAGCCTTTGTAATTTTGAAGGCACCATTCTATATCACTAATTGCCTGCTTGCTGGACTGTAATTAAAAGTTGCTAATGAGGATTGAAAAAGTAAACTGTTATAAGAACTGTGACAGTGATAAGAGAAATGTTTACAATATTAAGAAGGAAGACAAAACAAGGGCTAACACCAATCATGAAATCAACATCTGGCCAGGAAACTGAAATGGAGCCAGGATAGAGGTGTCTATCATTGATTTACAACTTTGGGACTACATCAGCTGAATATTCCTATAAAAGAGTCAATGTAATAATTCTCAAGTGTGGCAGTCAGTGGAGCTGTTCACCTGCCTCTCTGCTCCATGGGGAAGGGCAGAGATAGTGTATGGAGTGGCAGACATCATTTAGCAGACATCATTTAGCAGACATAATTTTGGTTTTCTGAAAGTTGAGATGCAGCTGTTCTGCCTCACAGTTATTCATTAGTATTCTCAGGGCTCTTTTCAGTCCAACTTGAGTTCTAGAAAGAAGAACTGCATAATCTGCATAAAGGAGGGTGGATAGGTGCCTTCCTGCTAGTTTTGGTAGGTGGGAGTCCAAGTTGTATAGGTGTTCCACCATGGAGTTAATATAGAAATTGAATAATAGTGGGGCCAAAATGCACCCTTGCTTTATCAGTTTTGACCGCTTTGGTAAGATGGTCCTGGGGACTGCATCTTACTTTCAGAGTAATTCCTTCATGGAGTCTTCATATTAGTTGCAGTAGTCATCTGTCTATTGAGGTGGACTCTAGTTTTTCCTATAGCTTGCTACAGGAGATTATTTATTTATTTCGAACATTTTTACCCCACCCTTCTCAACCCCTAGGGGGACTCAGGGCGACTTACAATTGGCAACAATTCAATGACGTCATAAAATACAATAGCAAAAATAACAATTAAAACCATGAACATTAAAATAAAAATTAAACAGTATACTTATGATCCCTTGCCTTTCCCTGTTAAAAGGAGCTTGCCCCTCCTCTTCCAGAGGGAGTAGCTGCCCCCCCCCGGGTCAGGGGGAAGCAGCATCATCCAGGAAGGGCGGAGATCAGGTAACATGCATACGTAGCAGAAAATATATGTCTGAGTTAACATAGGCATTGCATTTAATTGGATAATTTGATAAGATTTGCTGCTCAAAGGATGGAGCGATTATGTACTATAAAAGTTTTTAAAGTGCGCCACAGGGTGGGCAGTCTTTGGCCAGGATGGACAAAGGCTGTCCGTCTCATTGCTGATCAGCCTTGAAAATAAATGCCTTCCTTGGAACCTCAGGTTGGGCTCCGCCCCCTCATTATGCACCGGACACTCACTCAAGGGCCCTAGTTTCTAACATAATTAATGGTGCTTTGGGTGGGAAAGTGAGTGAATTGTCCCGGCAGGGAGGAGGGGAGAGATCTTTGGAGATCCGAAGGTACAGCATGGTCCTAAGGGTGATGGCTACTGGAGTGCGCTGAGAGAGGGGTCCCACAACTAAATTAACCAGTGACTCTATTTAGCCGCGCCTTCGGGAGTGTCCTGTATACATTAGTCAACTTAGAGGACGTCCAAGATAATGCTAATAGGGAAGGACTGCCGGCCGGCCAGATGAAAGATGCCCCAGTGCTCAGGCGAGTGTTTTGAAGAAGCGGGGCTTTTGTTTTGGGGAGGAATAAATAAACAAGGGAGGTGCTCAGGAGGGGAGGGGATCAGGAATTCCCCAAAAGAGCCAACTCGCGGTGGTGCCCCAAAACGAGTCGGGCAGTGCCCCCTGGTAGAAAAAATGGGAAATAGGCAGGGACAGAAAACAAAGGAGGCCAAGGGGAAAAGAAGCATTACCCCTTTGCAATGCATGATAAATAACTTTGACAAATACAGAATGTTTTCAGTATCAATAAAATTAAAGGACCAAGTAAACTTCGTGGCTGATGTGAGACTAAGTGACCTACCTTTCCATTGGATCTACGATGGCCAGATGAAGGTACTTTTGATCGAAAAATCATTGATAAATTGGAATTTTGAAGTTGAAAGAAAGGAGGCAGTATGTTCCATTCCAACCCCAACTACCCGAAAGCAAGTGAGAGAGTTCTTGGGTAATGCTGGGTTCTGTCGTATTTGGATCCCTAACTTTGCAGCAATGGCAAAGCCCTTATATGAGGCTACCAAATGGAGTAGCAGAGAGCCCTTCCAGTGGTCTGAAGAACAACAAAAGAGCTTCCTAAAAATCAAAGAGGCTCTCATGAAGGCACCAGCATTGGGCCTACCGGATTTCGAGAAACCGTTTACCCTCTATGTTGGAGAGAAAGAAGGAGTAGCAGTGGGAGTACTCACCCAGATGATTGGAAGCTGGCCATGACCTGTGGCATACCTGTCAAAACAACTAGATGTGGTGGCACAGAAGAAGACTGAGCCCACAGCAACACAGTTGGAGCAAAGAACCCTTACAATCATCTGGACTTTAACATAGCTCTCAAATCAATCAAGCAGAGACTGTGGCACGTTGTCTTTTGTGAGCTGTGCTCTTGCTCTTATGTATCTTGCTCCCTAAGTGCTCTGTCCGTACATTATGTCCGGCCTTTCCACACAGCAAGCTACTTAAAGAACTTGACTGTGGCCAAATACCACTGCCTATCTCCCAAACAAGGTGTAATATATCCCAGTCTGAACTACTGTGTGGGAGATTCACAGGTACCCCATAAAATGAAAGACTCTGCCCATGTAGAACAGGAAGTAGAATGCATCTACCAAATTCTACTGTCATGCAATTTCTATGAACAGGCCCAAGCACACATGCGTATAATCAGTCGGCTGCTGTTAACCTTATTCACCTTGTACACCTATGGAGGAAAAGGGTCTTTGGACTACAATAAAATGTTGTTTTTTATTTATTTTATTGGGTTTGATTTTTGTTTCTTTTATCTCAATTAATTTATTGTATTATTTCATTTTATTTTTTCTTTTGTTTTTTGTTTCACTTCATTTTTTCCTTCATTTTTTATTTCTTTTTATTTTATTAATTAAATTTATTTTTATTTCATTTATTTTTATTCTTTATTTTTTATTTATGTAATTTTTATTCTTTGCTTCTTTATATATTTTATAGAATGAATTTTTAAAAAGGAACAAAAATATCAATAACTTTTGAAACTTAGCACATTTTATTTTAATTTTATTTATATAATTTTAGGACCGCCCTTTTAACGTAGAAACCGAAGTGGAGATTTTGAAGAAGATTGATCATGTAAATATTATATATTTTTATTAAATATAGTATATAATATATTATAAAATAATAAAATTAGTTCCAATATTTTAATTTAATTCTTCGTTAATTAGATATAATTATTTCCCCCTATTTTTAGCCCTGTTTGATCAAGATCAAAGACTTCTATGAAGGAGAAGATTTCTATATTGTGCTTGAATTGTGAGTTTATATTATACTAGCTTTACCCGCTATGCATTGCTGTGACCAACTTTCCCTCTCTCTTTCTCTCCTTCCCTCCCTCCCCCTTCCCTTCCTTCCCTTTTTTCTTTCCTTCGCTCCTTCCTTTCTTCCTTCTCTACCGCATTCCTTCCTTCCCCTTTTTTCTTTCTCTCCTTTCTTCCTTTTCTATCTATTCTTGGACTGTAACTCACAGCAGTCCTCCTGATTGATTTACCTACCTACCTACCTACCTACCTACCTACCTACCTCTATCTAATCTATATATTTTATCTATCTGGAGGATTGCTGGGAGTTGCAGTCCTGGAATAGGAAATTGGAAATATGTATGGATTGGGATGCTCTCAAAGAAATTCAAGGAGAAGCAAGCTTGCAGCTTGGAAGTAGTGCATTTGGAGCATCCTCCTCCCCTAAAGGGCCTGATCTAGGGGATGCTAGGAGTTGTCGTTTTTGCATATGCGCTGTATTGTCATTTAGCTTTTTGGGTTTTTAAGTCCTTTCCACTGTTTTTTTGAAGGGGTTTATGAATGATGGTCACTCGTTGGTCTGTAAGGGTGTGGTGTCCAAATTTGGTGTCAATTTGTCCAGTGATTTTTGAGTTATGTTAATCCCACAAACCCAACATTACATTTTTATTTATATAGATTATAATAGCTTGGGGACCCAATGCTGCCTGGGCTATTTGGAAAAGGCATTGTTTGTCTGTGCTCCAACGTCAGCTGGGTTCAGTGGGTGCAGGGTGAACTACAACTCCCATGTGTGTGGGTCAGTCCCTCCCCACCCACCACCAGCCCTATCCAGTATGATCTGTTGGTCATGGAAGGGGGTATGTGTGCCAAGTTTGGTCCAGGTCCTAAGTGGGGGGTCGCAGTGGGGGTCGCAGTGATCTGTGGAAGCTGAAGAATTGTAAATCCCATCATCCGTGGTCATGGGGATTCTTTGTGCCAAGTTAGGTTCAGGTCAATTTTTGGTGGGATTCAAAGTGCCCTTTGATTGCAGGTGAATTTTAAATCCCAGTAACTACAGTACAACATCAAGGGCAATCCCCCGTAATCCCACCAGTATTCCATTTGGGGCATATCGGTTCTGCATGCCAAGTTTGGTCCAGATCCATCTTTGTTTGGATTCACAGTTCTCTTTGGATGTAGGTGAACTACAACTCCTATAAATCAAGGTGAATTGCTCCCAAACCTTTCCAGTGTTTTTCTTAGGTCATGAGGATTCTGTGTGCCAAATGTGGTCCAGGTGCATTGTCAGTGGGGGTCACAGTGCTCTGCCTTGATGCAGGGTGAACTACAACTTCCATCATGTGGAGTCAATCCCCCTCCAGTATGTTCAGTTGCTGGTCAATTCATCTGTTTGCTGGGTGCCATAGAAAAGAATAGAAAATGGCTAAGGGAGAGGCAGTGGGTGTGGTCATGCAAATTCCACACCAATGGAGAGAGTAAGAAACACTGGGATGTCTATGGTGAAGGAAAAACTGGAAATCTAGGATGAAATAGTCCCAATATGAAAGCCTTCACTTGGGTGGTGGGCAGTATGGTGTTTGTGGAAGACACTGGCAGGGCTCTTGGACGTGTGTATGGTGCTCACTATAACCTGCAATGTCATTGGAGGGAGGGCCATCGGTGTCTCCTCAGTAGTAGAAGCTATAGCTGTTTGTGGAGGCAGGAACTTGTCTGTGTAAGTGGATACCCCAGCCACATACACACATACAGAGTTTCACTTTTATTATGTGTATAGGTACCACAATTTTAATATATTATTTAAATATATTATTATGTTATGTTACATAATTAAAAGTATAGAATTGGTATTTAATAATTGTATGCATTATTATACAATATGTATAATGTTATATAATTATATGATAATTATATGTATTATTATTAAATATCAATATTTATTATTATTATTTATTTAGGATGGAAGGAGGAGAGCTTTTCTATAAAGTCCGAAGGCCGGCCAAATTGAGTGAAGAAACCTCCAAATTCTATTTCTATCAAATGTTGTTGGCTGTACAGGTGATTGTTATTATTATTATTATTATTATTATTATTATTATTATATTTTAATTTAATTATTATATGTTTTAAAATTATTCATTATATATTCATGGCAGTACCTCCATCAAAACGGCATAATCCACCGGGATTTGAAGCTGGAAAACATCCTTCTTTCTTCTCCTTCGGAGGAAAAATGCCTCATCAAAGTAAGAAATATATTTCCATGAATATTTTTGCAAATATTTTGTGAATATATTTATGAATATTTTTGTGATTATTTCTGTTAATATTTTATGAACTTATTTGTATTAATATTTTGATGAATATTTCTGAGAATAGCTTTTTGCTTTGTGAATATTTATGCAGATATTTTATGAATATATTTTTGTGAACCTTCTGCAAATATTTTATGACTATTGGATCATCCTTGTGAATATTTTTGTGACCATTTCACTGATTATTTGAGTGAAACTCAAATAATTTGAGACTATTTTAACAAATATTTCTGCAGACTTTTTAATGAATATTTGTGACTAACAAAAATTTTCCCAAATATTTCAGCCATTATTTTTATGAATATTTTATGCATTTTGTTTGTATTTTGTGAATACATTATGAGTATTTTATGATTATTTCTGTGAATATTTTTGTGACTATTTCAGCAAATATTTTTGTGAATATACCAATGTATTGGCAAACAATTTCCGACCGTATTTTTATGAATATTTTAATGATTATTTATGCAAACTTTTTAATGAATATTTCTGTGAATATTTTAATGACTACTATTTACATGAATATTTTTCTGAACATTTTAAGGAATATTTCTGCCAATATTTTAACAAACTTTAAAGAATATTTCAGCAAACATTTGTGAATGTTTCTGCAAATATTTTACTGAATATTTATGCGAATATAACCTTATTTTGTTAATATCGTATGTTTTTCTGCAAATATTTTTATAAATATTTTATGATTATTTGTGTGAATATTTTTAGGAATACATTTTTATGATTTTTTTTTGCAAAAAACCATTGTGAGTATTTTTATGAATAGTGTTCCCTCCGAGGTTGGAAGCAGTGGAGGCGGAAAGGAGGAGGAGGCCACCACCGAAGAGGGTGGTGAGGAGGAGGCTGAAGCCGAGCACCCCCCCCCCCCAAAAAAAACAAACAAGGGGTAGTGACTTATAGTTCTGCAAAGGGCAAGGGCACCAGACTGCACAGTAGGGGTTAAGTCTTGGTCACATTGCCAAGGCACTAACAACAACAAGGGCCCCACGGGACTTTTGGGGAACGGCTGGATCTTGGGACTTCTGCCCTTCATGAGAGTTGTAGTTTCCCAAGGACCAGCTTCGATCCCAGCGTGGCAGAATTCCACCCAATGGCTCAGTGGGAAATCAACAGACTTTCCTTTTGGGGCTTTAAGAGCTCTGCCTAATGTTTTGGACTCGCAAGGACATCTTTCCCGCTCATGAACTTCCCTCAAAATGAACTATGGACTCATATTGCTTGAAAATAATTTCTTTATTAAATTTCTTTGGCAGGGTGGGATGGGGAAGGAGATATTTGATATGAATTTCTGTGGATTTCTGTATTCCCCCATGTATTCTCCTTATTCTTGCCCTGACACCCAAACCTATCACTCCTTCCCCCTCCCCTTGGGTAAATCAATCCAGGAAGCGGCCAGCTGTTGAAAGGGCAATCAGGGGCAACAAAAGAAACTCATATCCCAGAACTCTGGCGAGGACAATAAGACCTGGAATCCCTATGTGGCTCCAGGATTAAGGCCATCAGGCTGGGGATTTCCTTCTGCAGACTTTTGGCCATTTCACAATAGGAGCGAGACGCCCTTCAGGGGGCCGCCTTCCCAATTTTGTTTACTTCATTCAAAACCGGACATTTCCCCAGCCTCCCCTTTTGTGCCTTATCTGATTGTGGCAGGAAGGCCAGGATGAAAGTAATCAAGGATCATCGCAACTCCACTCAAGGACAATAGACTGGGCATCGCATCCATTGATTCATTTGCCGGCTCATTGTTTCTGTTTTCATCCCGCCTCTCTCAAGGCGCTGAAGCAGGGAAAGCTCTCCCATTGGAGGGCAGAGGGAGGGAGTTTTGAAACTTTCAAACCTGTATTTTGCTATAAATATGCCTCTGATCAATGTACTGGTATGCTTTGTGTGCGATCTATCACCACATTGCATCCGTCTCAGCTGAATCGCTCATTAAACCTCGGTGCCACTTCTTCGCTTTGGCAAGAGTCTCATTTCAATTTTTAATATTAATAAAATTGCTGGAATCAGGCTTCTCTGAAGGCTTGCCAAGGTAGCGTTCTCTCTTTGGTGGGAACTAAGGGTCCTCTCCCCTTGGAGTTGACCCCCCCCCCCTAAAGTCTAGTTTGACTTCAAGGCCACCGCAAAGTAGGGACACTCTGCCCACTCAAGTGGGCGGAGCGTCCCTACTTCGCGGATTTTCACTTATCGCAGGTGGTCCTGGAACGGAACACCTGTGATAACTGAGAGATCACTGTATTTTAAGAATATTTTAATGATTACTTTGTGAATGTATTGTCGAAGGCTTTCATGGCTGGAATCACTAGGTTCTTGTGGGTTTCTTCGGGCTATAGGGCCTTTCTGGGTACCCTCCTTTCTCGTCAGGAGAAAGAAGAAACGTCAGGAGAAATGCCTCTAGAACATGGCCCTATAGCCCGAAAAAACCCACAAGAACCTACTTTGTGAATATTTTATGATTTTCTGACAATCTTTTTGTCAATATATTTTAATGACTATTTCTGTACATTTTTTATGATTATTTGTGTGACTATCTTTAGGAATACATTTCTATAAATATTTATGTAAATATTTTTTTAAATGAATACTTTACTGAAGATTTATTTGTATGAATCTAGGTCTCCGACTTTGGCCAGTCGAAGTTGCTGGGCGAGTCTTCTCTGATGCAGACGCTCTGTGGGACCCCTGACTATTTGGCCCCTGAAGTACTGAGATTCGAATTAGGGGCCAAAGAAGGTGGATACGGCCGTGCTGTCGATGCCTGGAGCCTTGGGGTCATCCTTTTCATCTGGCACGCAATTTTTCCCAAATATGCAAATTTATGCACATTTCTTCAAAATATGCAAATGTATACAAATTTATTCTGTTGCCATCCACAGCCTTTCTGGGTACCCTCCTTTCTCGGAAACACCCCAAAAGACGCTCCGGGACCAGATACGCACAGGAAGCTTCACCTTCATCCAAGAGATCTGGGACCACGTCTCCCAGGAAGGTGCGCTCGTTATATCATATTTATCGATACACTAGCTTGGATACCCGGCAGTGAATGAGTTACTTGAAAAAAGGCCTTTTTTTTTTTAGGTGTTCGGTAATATAATTTAGTCAATTAGTAACACTCTTTATTATGACAAAGCCAGTCTTTGATTTCCCATTAGAAAATACATAACAATGTGAATGAACTACATTGCCCAGAATCGTGAGTCACCCCTCCCTAAAGCAGGCCTGTATGTACAGTTGGCCATGTGGGATCTGGTGCCAAGTTTGGTCCAGATCTGTCATCGGCTGGGTTATATCTAAGCAACTGTGGTCATCCCCAAGATGCCGTGTTTCCCGATCAGGTGTTAGTTGTGTAAGAATTTGGAATCTATTGTGTAACTCCAGCTGAGCGGAAGGAGGCTGGCTGGTCCTGTGTCTTTTTCTAAGGGTGACATTCTTCCAAGCCTGAGTGTTGTCTGCTTTCATTATATTTTATGTATTTTCTCTTATTGATTATTATTTCATGTTTTAAATTTAAATTTGAATATTTTTTTATTTTATGCATTATTTTATTTCAATATTTATTAATTATATGGTTTTGTGTAATATTTTCATTATTATTGTTTAATTATTTAAATATTCCTCATTTATATATTTAATAAATATATTTATGTTACTTGATTTTAAGTATTGTGTTATATATACATTTAATATTTATTATCACATATATAGGAGCCCCCGGTGGCGCAGTGGGTTAAACCCCTGTGCCGGCAGGACTGAAGACCGACAGGTCGCAGGTTCGAATCCGGGGAGAGGTGGATAAGCTCCCTCTATCAGCTCCAGCTCCTCACGCGGGGACATGAGAGAAGCCTCCCACAAGGATGATAAAACATCATAAATCATCCGGGCGTCCCCTGGGCAACGTCCTTGCAGACGGCCAATTCTCTCACATCAGAAGCGACTTGCAGTTTCTCAGGTCGCTCCTGACACGACAAAAAAAAATAAATCACATATATTATTATATATTATTATAGACATATAGTATTTATTATTTTATAATTTATTATACTATTTTTGTTATTTTAATTTTTTAATTATTTTATGAAATGTTTATTATAATTATATCGTATTTAGTATTTATTATCATATTTACTATTATTATAATTAGATATTTATTATTTATTGTAATTTATTATTCAAAGGTAAAGGTAGTCCCCTGACATTAAGTCCAGTCATTTATTTATTTATTTATTTATTACGGTTGCTTATACCCCGCCCTTCTCACCCGGGGGGACTCAGGGCGGCTTACACAAACAAGGCACAATTCGATGCCTGTATTACAAAAACATAACATCAAAAACATAACATCAATAACAACAATAATTATAACACTGATAACAATTAACGTAAACAATCAATATTATCGGCAGGAATAGCCATAAACCCGTAAAAACGATTAAAACAATAAAAGCAATACAAACCTCATTGCTGGTCAGCGTTTAACCGACTCATAGTTAGGTTCTACTTTCCACACATTGTTGGTCCTATCATTCTGGTTCCATGTCTAATTGTCAGGGTGCCCAAAGGCCTGGTCCCAGAGCCACGTCTTTACCTTCCTCCTGAAGGCAAGGAGGGAAGTTGAAGCCCTGATTTCCCCCGGGAGTGAGTTCCACAGATGAGGGGCCACCACTGAGAAGGCCCTGCTCCTCGTCCCCACCAGCCTCACTTGTGATAGCGGTGGGGTCGTGAGCAGGGCCTCCCCAGATGATCTCAGATTCCAAGATGGGATGTAGAGTCAGTCATGTCTGACTCTGGGGTGTGGTGCTCATCTCCATTTCTAAGGCGAAGAGCCAGCGTTGTCCGTAGACACCTCCAAGGTCACGTGGCCGGCATGACTGCATGGAGCGCCGTTATTATTAATAGAATCATAGAATCAAAGAGTTGGAAGAGACCTCATGGGCCATCCAGTCCAACCCCATTCTGCCAAGAAGCAGGAATATTGCATTCAAATCACCCCTGACAGATGGCCATCCAGCCTCTGTTTAAAAGCTTCCAAAGAAGGAGCCTCCACCACACTCCGGGGCAGAGAGTTCCACTGCTGAACGGCTCTCACAGTCAGGAAGTTCTTCCTCATGTTCATATGGAATCTCCTTTCTTGTAGCCAACATATGTATTTAATATGTATTATTATTAGATATTTATTATAATTTATAATTTATTATAACATATTATTATTCAGCATATATATGTATTTAGTATTTTTATCATATTTAATATCATTACATACTATTTTTGTTATTTTATATTTATTATTATTATTTTATAAAGTTATACATTTATATTATTATTCAGCCTTAGACTTGGTCCGGAAATTGCTGGAAGTTGATCCAATCCGGCGGCTGACCATCCAGGAAGCCTTGCATCACCCTTGGCTCCAGGTAATTTGCATATATTTACATATATTTTTGAATATATTGCTGCCAACATTGCATCCACAAACAACTGTCCAAGAGAACTGTTTTGAGTGGTCAGGGGACTTCTAAACCCTGCTCAACTGGTGTTTTCTGACCAATTGGCCACTTGTTGTGAGGAATTTACAAGGTTGTTTACGGATAAAGTCGCTCTGATCCTGGACTCATTGCTGAGCCTGGAACCCTAGGTGTCGGTGGTGGCCAGGAGCACCATTGCACAATTAAAACTTGTGTGCCAGCTGCGCCCATACCTTGAGACTCCTGACTTGGCCATGGTATTCCACACCTTAGTCACATCCTGCCTGGACTACTGCAATGCTCTCTACATGGGGCAACCTTTGAGAATAGTTTGGAAGCTGCAACTGGAAGTGGATAAATGAAGTTTTTATTATTTTATTTAATATATTTGCATATTATTATTATTTCCATTTCTTTTCCAGGATGAAGAGATGAAGCGCACTTTCCAGGAATTGGTTTCCAAAGCAGAGACTCCTAATTTGGTAATTTAAAATATTTATATATTATTTTAATGAATGTTTTATTATAACATTATTTTTATATTTTATTTTATGAATACAGTATGTTGTTTTATTTTATATTTTTTGTATTACTAGCCGTCCCCTGCCACGCGCTGCTGTGGCCCACATGGGAGTTCTGTGTGGGAGGTTTGGCCCAATTCTATCATTGGTGGGGTTCAGAATGCTCTGTGATTGTAGGTGAACTATAAATCCCAGCAACTACAACTCCCAAATGTCAAGATTCTATTTTCCCCAAACTCCACCAGTGTTCTCATTTGGACATATTGAGTATTCGTGTAGAGTTTGGTCCAGATCCATCATTGTTTGAGTCTACAGTGATCTCTGCATGTAGGCGAACTACAACTCCAAAACCAAATTTGGACACAAGACACCTAACAACCCAATGTATGTCCTTCACTCAAAAATTTTATTTTGTCATTTGGGAGTTGTATTTTCTGTTGGTCATGAGGGTTCTGTTTGGGATGTTCGGCCCAATTCCATCGTTGGTGGGGTTCAGAATTGTCTTTGATTGTTAGGTGAACTATGCATCCTAGTAACTACAACTCCCAAATGTCAAGGTCTATTTTCCCCAAACTCCATCTGTGTTTATATTTGGGCATATTGAGCATTTGTGCCAAGTTTGGTCCAGATCCATCATTGTTTGAATCCACAGTACTATTTAGATGTAGGTGAACTACAACTCCAAAAACTCAAGGTCAATGCCCACCAAACCCTTCTAGTGTTTTATGTTGGTCAGGGGAGTCCTGTGTGCCAAGTTTGGTTCAATTCCATGGTGGAGTTCAGAATGCTCTTTAATTGTAGGTTAACTATAAATCCCTGCAACTACAACTCCCAAATGACAAAATCATTTTTTTTGAGTGAAGGACATACATTGGGTTGTTAGATGTCTTGTGTCTAAATGTGGTGTCAATTCGTCGAATGGTTTTTGAGTTCTGTGAATACCACAAACACTACATTTTTATTTATATAGATTTTATACATTTAATTAAATATATATATATATTACTCTAATTTTATATTTAAAAATATTAAACAAAACTCTGTGTGTATGTATGTGTGTGTGTGTGTGTATATATATATATATAATATTTTTGTGTTTTATATATGTTTTTCCCCATTTTTAAAGCCTTTTAAAGGAAGAAAAAGACAGCGGACGGAAAACAGACTTGTGGACACACCCACAAAAGCCCGGAAGCTCCAGCAATAATTAATTTCCTATTTTATTATTACTGTTGTTTTCGAATTGTTTTAAAATATGTTTTTATATGTATATATATGTATGTATATTTCTGAAGAATGTATATTTTTTCTGGTGTATTTTTATAGGAAAATAAAGGAACAAATTAGACTTGGATGTCGCCACCTTAAGATTGTTATTTTCACCATAAATGAGCCGTTGCCCCTTTAAGAGTCTTCAATTCCCAGTGTCAAGACCTTGCGTCTAACAGCAACCAGACGCAGAGCCTTCACAGCAGTGGCACCATCACTCTGGAATACTCTGCCACCTGAAGTCTGTGCCTTGCGGGACTTATCAGCTTTCCGCAGGGCATGTTAAGACATATCTGTTTCGACAGGCCTTTGATCTTTGATATTGCTGTTTTTAAATTGTGTTAGATTTTAGCCTGTTCTTGTAAGCCGCTCTGAGCCCCAGGGGACTGGTGGCATATAAGTTCGAATAATTAATAAATAAATAAATAAATAATAAAATAATTTTTATTGATTAGCCCTTAGGACACATCACATTATTATATTGTTTATTTTTTGTTATTATCATTATAGCATATTAGGAGTAGGCCTACTGTGGGCTGGGTGTAGCACACAGGCCGAAATCCTGTTATATTATATTAGTACTAAGGCGGAAGTTTACGAACAAAGCTCTTCAGCAGGGAAAGTGGAGCAACAGCGTATACCACAGCTGCATGGTATACGGTAGACTCCTGCAGAGGTGAGAGTGTCACAAAAATTTAATATGCAGATTTGAGAAATGTGAATTTAATATGATGTGTGGGACACACAACTCTACTACTCTTTTCCACCAAACTCCAAGGAAGCCCCTCGGGTGCTGGACGAGTGCCTGGCCGCTGTGTCTATCTGGATGAGGAGGAACAAGCTGAAGATCAATCCCGACAAGACAGAGGTCCTCCTGGTCGATCGCAAACCAGATCGGAGTATAGGGTGGCAACCTGTGTTGGACGGGTTACACTCCCCCTGAAGTCACAGGTCCGCAGTTTGGGTGTCCTCTTGGATTCATCGCTTACGCTTGAGGCTCAGGCGTCGGCGGTGTCCGGGAGGGCCTTTCCACAATTGAGACTCGTGCACCAACTGCAACCGTACCTCGCAAAGGCTGATCTGGCCGGGGTGGTCCATGCCTTGGTCACCTCTAGATTGGACTACTGCAATGCGCTCTACGTGGGGCTGCCCTTGAAAATGGCTCGGAAATTCCAACTATTTATTTATTTATTTATTTGGGGTTCTTTTACCCCGCCCTTCTCACCCCGAAGGGGACCCAGGGCGGCTTACACAGTAAAGGCACGATTAGATGCCAGCATCACAACAATCATCACAACTTACAGTAAAATTCACAGTTACTAACAGCTTCATGCATTATTCCAGTAAAAATCAATAAAATCAATACAAACCTAAATTCCTCCCTTACATTGTCAGTGTTTGCTGTCTCATAGATCCGCTTTTAATACCATTTCGTCAATCCTGCTGGTCTTTAATTGCCTGGTTGCCCAAAGGCCTGGTCCCATAACCAAGTCTTCACCCTCCTCCTGAAGGAGAGGAGGGATGGTGATGCTCTGATTTCCCCAGGGAGTGAGTTCCACAGGTGAGGGGCCACCACTGAGAAAGCCCTGCTCCTCGTCCCCACCAGCCTCACTTGTGAGAGTGGTGGGGTCGAGAGCAGGACCTCCCCAGATGATCTCAAGCTCCGAGGTGGGAGGTAGCGGGAGATACGTTCGGACAGATACACTGGACCGGAACCTTGGTTCAACGGTCGGCGGCCAGGCTGTTAACTGGTGCTCCTTACAGAGAGAGGTCAACCCTCCTGTTCAAGGAGCTCAATTGGCTGCCGTTCATCTTCCGGTCCCAATTCAAGGTGCAGGTGCTTACTTACAAAGCCCTAATCGGTTTGGGACCCGCCTACCTGCGTGACCGCATCTCCATATATGAACCCACACGTTCCCTTCGATCCTCTGGAGAGGCCCTGCTCATGATCCCGCCTGCGTCACAAGCGTGTTTGGTTTTTTTTTTTGGTTTTTTTTTTTGTCGTGTCAGGAGTTGCTCCTGTTGTGAGAGAATTGGCCGTCTGCAAGGATGTTGCCCAGGGGACACCCGGATGATTTGATGTTTTTATCATCCTTGTGGGAGGCTTCTCTCATGTCCCCGCATGAGGAGCTGGAGCTGATAGAGGGAGCTCATGCGCCTCTCCCCGGATTCGAACCTGCGACCTGTCGGTCTTCAGTCCTACCGGCACAGGGCTTAAACCCACTGCACCACCGGGGACTCCTAGCGTGTTTGGTGGGGACGAGGGACAGGGCCTTCTCTGTGGTGGCCCCCTAACTCTGGACCTCTCTCCCCAAGGACATCAGACAAGCCCCAATGTTGGCAATCTTTAGGAAGAGCCTGGAGACCTGGCTGTTCCAGTGTGCCTTTCTAGAATAGGAAACTCCTGGCATCACATCCCAAATGCACTGTGTTAGTTTTAGGATTGTCTGCACATTGCACCTACCTCCAAAAAAACCTCTACATACCTCCTGTCAAGTCCAGCACTTTTTAAAATTTTGTCCATTACATTTGGCCCGGCCTTTAGGTTTTAAATGCATCATGGTGTCATTGTTTTTAGTGTTTTATTGTTTTGCTTGATGTTTTATTATTTACTTATGAGTTTTATTGTTGTATTTGTAGGCTGTTGTTTGTTGGTGGCCTTGGCCTTTGTAAGCTGCATCGAGTCCTTTGGGAGATTTTGCGGGGTATAAATAAAGTTAATAATAATAATAATTACATTATATTAGACTATTTTAATTATTCATTATTAATTATACATTTATTTATTTATTTATTTATTTATTTATTTATTTATTTATTTATTTATTTACTGTGCTTCTATACCGCTGTTCTCAGCCCGAGGGCGACTCACAGCGGTGTACAACATAGAAAGGACAGGGTACAAATTACAAGGCACAATCTAAAATCAATCTAGCAATAACCAAAAACATCGTCATCAAAACCATCAACAATATCAGTAATACAAAAGTACAAAACGCCATTCGCGTCGTCTCATCGTTAAACCACAATCCAGTATCATTATCCGTTGTTCCATTCCTGTCGTCATTACCAATTATTGCACTTCTTGTTCGAACGCCTTCTTGAACAGCCAAGTCTTTAGTTTCCTGCGGAATATCATCAGGGACGGAGCCTGTCTGATGTCCACGGGAAGGGTGTTCCACAGCCGAGGAGCCACCACCGAGAAGGCCCTGTCTCTCGTCCCCGCCAAGCGTGCCTGTGAGGCAGGCGGGATCGAGAGCAGGGCCTCCCCGGACGATCTCAAAGTGCTCGTGGGCTCGTAGGCCGAGATGCGGTCAGATAGGTATCTTGGGCCGGAACCGTTTAGGGCTTCATAGGCCAACGCCAGCACCTTGAATTGAGCCCGGTAGCAAATCGGCAGCCAATGGAGCTGGTACAACAAGGGCGTTGTATGCTCCCTGCATCCCGCTCCTGTTAGTAACATAGGTGCCGCACACTGGACCAATTGAAGCTTCCAGGCTGTCTTCAAGGGCAACCCCACGTAGAGAGCGTTGCAGTAGTCTAAGCGGGATGTAACCAGAGTGTGGACTACCGTGGCCAAGTCAGACTTCCCGAGGTATGGGTGCAGCTGGCGCATGAGCCTAAGCTGTGCAAATGCTCCCCTGGTCACCGCCGAGACCTGGGGCTCCAGGCTCAGCGATGAATCCAGGATCACACCCAAGCTGCGAACCTGCGTCTTCAGGGGGAGTGTGACCCCGTCCAACACAGGCTGTAACCCTATGCCCTGTTCGGCCTTGCGACTGACCAGGAGGACCTCTGTCTTGTCTGGATTCAATTTCAATTTGTTCGCCCTCATCCAGACCGTTACAGCGGCCAAGCACCGGTTCAGGACCTGAACAGCCTCCTTAGTAGCAGGTGGAAAGGAGTGACAGAGTTGGACATCATCTGCGTACAGATGACACCGTACCCCGAAACTCCGGATGATCTCCCCCAGCGGCTTCATGTAGATATTAAACAGTATTGAGCCCTTTGGAATATATTATATATTAATATATAATACATTATTATATATTCTATTAATATTTTATTATTTTATTAATTATATATTACATTATATTGTAGTATTTTAATTATTATGACTACATTATTTATTTATACTTTTATTATTATTATATATATTTTTATTATATGATTACATTGTATTACACTATTTCTCCCAACATTAAAGGAGAAAACTTTCGGACTTCATTTCCCAGAAGCCTTTGCCATTGATTGCCATGCGTTGGCATTCTGGGAATTGAAGTTATAGCCCGAAAAAACCCACAAGAACTGAGTTTCCTAACACTTTTTTGCCCTGCTGCGCCTGCGCGTTGGCGGCGCAGTCTCTTAAAGGGGAAGGCGGCCTTTCTGGGTGACGTTTCCCCGCCGAAAAGTTTGCGAATGTTCCTCCCCTTTAAGGGACCCAATATGGCGGCTTTTCCTCCTTTTTGAAGTCATGGAGGAAGAAACCTCTTTGAGGAAAGTTTTGGCCCGCAAGGTAAGACGCGTGTCAGGGCGTTTTCACGTTAGAAATACAGGGAAAGGGCTTGTTTCATATCTGTCATCATTACAAGCAAAGCACTTTAAAGAAAACATGCAAATCAGGGTCCCTACGCAGAAGAGAAAGATGCGTGTCGCCCGTTCACACGTGACTTTCCTCATTTAATGCGATTTGACGCGTGTTTTGCTGCTTTCTATTCGATTTCCGTATATTTATTATTAGTAAGATATGTATATCTTATATTTATTAAACATTTTAACTATATAATTTATTATATTATTATACTTTAATCATAAAATAAGAATATAATATATTATTGTTTTTTTATATTATAATACCATAATTTAATAATAAAAAATAATACATTATATTTTATATTTATTATATTATTAGCTTGGTGACCCGGCACTGCCCGGGTTATTTGAGAAAAGAATTGTGTATCAAGGTTGGTCTTCATCAGTTATTTATATGGCTCGCAGTGGTCTCGGGAAGTTAGTGAAGGTACTGCGAGTCCCATCATGTGTGGTCCATCCTCCTCCAGAATGCACCAGGATGGAGAGTGGGTCGTGGGGGCTCAGTGCGCCAAGTTTCGTGCTTGATCAGTCATTGGGTGAGGGTCACAGTGGTCTCAGAAAGTGAATTTAGGTACTGCAAGTCCCATCATCCATAGTCTGTTCTCCCCAAAACCTCACCAGAACGTTGAGTTGGCCATGGGGCTCTCTGTGCCAAGTTTGGTCTTCCTTGGTATTTGGATAAGTGTCGCTGTGGTTTCAGGAAGTGCGTGAAGGTACTGCAAGTCCCATCATCCATCATCCATCCTCCTCCAAACAGTATCGGGATGTAGAGTGGGTCATGGGGGCTCTGTGTGCCAAGTTTGTTCTTGATCGGACATTAGATGAGGGTTGCAGCAGTCTTGGGAAGGGAGTGGAGGTACTTGAAGTCCCATCATCCATGGTGTGTCCTCCTCGAAAGTGCACCAGGATGTAGAGTGGGTCATGGGGACTGTGTGCCAAGTTTGGTCTTGATCAGTCATTGGTGAGGGTCTCAGTGGTCTCAGGAAGTGAGTGAAGTGACTGCAAGTCCCATCATCCATTGTCAAATATTTCCAAACCGCACCAGGATGTAGAGTAGGTCATGTGGGCTCTCTGTGTAAATTGTGGTCCTGATCCATCATTGTTGGCAGTTGTAATGGTCTTAGGAAGGGAGTGCAGGTATTGCAAATCCCATCATCTATGGTGCATTCTCCTCCAAACTGCACCAGGATGTAGAGTGCGTCATGGAGACTCAGTGTGCCAAGTTTGGTCTTTATCGGTAATTGGATGAAGGTTGCAGTGGACTCAAGAATTGAGCAAAGGTACTGCAAGTCCCATAATCCATGGTCCATCCCCGGCCAAACCACACCAGGATGTAAAGTGGGTCATGAGAGGTCTATGTGCCAAGTTTGGTCCTGATCAGTCATTGGATGAGGTTAACAGCGGTCTCAGAATGTGAGTGATGGTACTGCAAGTCCCATCATCCATGGTTCATCCTCCTCCAAACTGCAGTAGGATGTCAAGTGGGTCTTGCAGGCTCTGTGTGCCAAGTTTTATCTGTATTGGTAATTTTCTGACCCAGCCCAGCATTATTATATATTGATTATTTACATTAGTATTATTTTAATAAAAATATAAATAATATACTTAGTATAATAATAATGTGCAATTATTATTCTACTAATATATTATATTATTTCTCTGTTCCTTGGAAACTGCCCTGAGTCCCCCTCGGGGAGATAGAGCGTTATATAAAGTTTTTATTATTATTATTATTATTATTATTATTATTGTATTATTATATTTTGTTATCTTAATATTATTGAATAATTATATTACATTAAATACAAACTTGTCATTTATCCTTATTTAATATTATATTTATTAATTAAATTATATATTATATAAATAATTATTATTTATAAATAAATAATGATTTATTATATCATTTAATGTTCTGTATTATGTGCCCTTTATTACTTACTTAGGTGACCCCTCGTTGTCTGAGTAGGATAGTCTTCCAGGATCAGTGTTCTGGTGGGTCCGTAGGTGACTGTGGAGCCCTATTCTTGACCTGCATCTTCTTCCGTAGTGAGGGCATTGGTTTTCAGGTGGAAGGCGGTCCCAATTGGGGTTGGCTTGATGTGCCTTCCTCTTGGCACATTTCTCTCTTTCACCCTCCATTCGTGCCTCTTCAAATTCTGCATCACTGATGGTCACAGCTGACTTCCAGCTGGAGTGCTCAAGGGCCAGGGCTTCCCAGTTCTCAGTGTCTATGCCAGAGTTTTTAAGGTTGGCTTTGAGCCCATCTTTAAATCTCTTTTCCTGTCCACCAACATTCCTTTTTCCGTTCTTGAGTTCGGAGTAGAGCAACTGCTTTGGGAGACGGTGGTCAGGCATCCAGACAACATGGCCGGTCCAGCGGAGTTGATGGCAGAGGACCATCGCTTCAGTGCTGGTGGTCTTTGCTTCTTCCAGCACGCTGACGTTTGTCCGCTTGTCTTCCCAAGAGATTTGCAGGATTTTCCGGAGGAAGCGCTGATGGAATCGTTCCAGGAGTTGCATGTGACGTCTGTAGACAGTCCACGTTTCGCAGGCATATAGCAGGGTTGGGAGGACAATAGCTTTATAAACAAGCACCTTGGTATCCCTGTGCTTCATTCGGAAGAATGCTGCACAGGCAGAGCTCAGGCGGTGTTGAATTTCGGTGTCAATGTTGACTTTTGTAGAGAGGTGGCTGCCAAGATAGCGAAAATGGTCAGCATTTTCTAATGTTACACCATTAAGCTGTATCTCTGGCATTGGAGAGGGATTGGCTGGTGTCTGCTGGAACAGCACTTTGGTTTTCTCGATGTTCAGTGACAGGCCAAGCTTCGTGTATGCTTCTGCAAAGGTGTTGAGAGTGGCTTGTAGGTCTTCTTCTGAATGCGCACAGATGACATTGTCATCAGCATATTGGAGTTCTATAACATATGTTGTTGTAACCTTGGTTTTGGCTTTCAGTCTCCTGAGGTCAAATAGCTTGCCATCTGTCCTAATAGATGATTTCCACTCCGGTGGGAAGCTTCCCATCAACAAGATGAAGTATCATAGCGATGAAGATGGAAAATAAAGTTGGGGCAATAACACATCCCTGTTTGACACCTGATTCCACCTTAAATCGGTCACTTTGGGAGTCATTGCTGTCCAAGACTGTTGTCATCCTGGAGGAGCCGCAGGATGTTCACAAATTTGTTTGGGCATCCAATTTTTTGGAGGATGGTCCAGAGAGTGCAGCGATTCACTGTGTTGAATGCCTTTGCAAGGTCGATGAATGCCATGTACAGAGGTTGATTACTGCATTTTTCTTGGAGCTGTTGTGCAATGAAGATCATGTCCACTGTTCCTCTGGAGGGGCGGAAGCCGTTCTGGGATAGTTTCTGCAGTCTGTTCTTTCCCCTTTTTTGAAGAGGGTGATGGTGGTGGCGTCCTTGAAATCTGCTGGGATTTTCTCGGTCACCCACACTTTTTCTATGAGCTAGTGGAGTTGTTGTGTCAGCTCAGGTCCTCCCTCTTTAAAGATTTCAGCAGGGATCCCATCAGGTCCACTGACTTTGTTATTTTTTTGTTAACTGATGGCATTGATGACTTCTTCCAAACTAGGCAATGCTGCAAGCTCATCCCTGGTTTCTTGTGAGATAACCTCTTCGGCCACTTTGGAGCTGCGATTCAGGAGGCTTTGGTAGTGCTCTTTCCAACTTAGTGCAATTGATTTTTTGTCCTTCAGAAGTTTGGTTCCATCTGATGAGCGTAAAAGCTGTATCCCATGGTTTCTTGGTCCATAGATGACCTTTTGGCTTTGAAAAATCCCTGAGCATCATAGGTATCTGCCAGGTGTTGGATTTCTTCAGCCTTCTTTGTCCACCAGATGTTCGTGAGTTCTCTTGTCCTTCTTTGGACTTCAGCTTTTGCACTGTTATAGATCTTTTTCTTAGCAGCACAGTTGACGTCTCTCTGCCATGTTTGGAAGGCTTTCCTTTTTTGTCAGTTAGCTGTTGGATCTTGTTGTCACTTTTGTCAAACCAATCTTGATGTTTCTTGGTTTGGTATCCAATAGTTTCTTCGCAGGCTGTGATGATGGAGGTCTTCAGTTTGTTCCAATGTTCCTCAATATTTTTGGGTGTTCTGTGGGTAGATGGTCCTTGAGTGCTGTTTGGAGAAGGGCTCGTTTGGAGGGCTCCTGAAGGGCTTGGGTGTTCATTTTGCGCCTTGCCTTTCTTCCTTGGAGTCTGCGCTTGGGGGCAATCTTGATAGCCATCATGGATTGGATTAGCCTGTGGTCTGTCCAACAGTCGTCAGCACCTGTCATGGCTCTTGTGAGGAGCACGTCACGGCGGTCCCTGGCACGTGTGATTAGGTAATCTAAGAGGTACCAATGCTTTGATCGGGGGTGCTTCCATGATGTCTTGAGCTTTTTTTCTGGCGGAAGAGCATGTTGGTGATGACAAGGTTGTGTTTGGTGAGAAGCAGGGCGCCATTCGAGTTGGTTTCCAACTCCCATCTTTTCCTATGGTCCCTGGCCACAGGTCGAAGTCTCGTCGGACTCTTGCATTAAAGTCCCTCGGGAGGATGATTTTGTCCTCCTTAGGTATCTCCAATAGGACGGTGTCCAGCTGACAGTAGAATTTCTCCTTGATGTCTTCATCAGCATCTAGTGTTGGTGCATAGGCACCAATGGTTGCCTGTTGGTTTTTGGCAAGATCAATTCGGAGGGTTGAGAGTCGTTCGTTGATGCCAGTGGGTGCTTCAGTCAGATGTTTCACCAGATCATTTCTGATGGCAAAGCCAACTCCGTGCATTCTTTGGTCTTCTTCAGGCAGTCCCTTCCAGAAGAAGGTGTAGCCTCCTTTCTCTTCCTTCAGCTGTCCCTCTCCTGTGTCCTTTATTATTATTTATTAAATTATTTCTTATATTATATTATTTACTGGAGCCCCTGGTGACACAATGGACTGCTGGTCCACAGGTCAGCGGTTCGAATGTGGAGAGAGTGCATTGAGCTCCCTCTGTCAGCTCCAGCTACCCATGCAGGGACATGAGAGAAGCCTCCCACAAGGATAGTAAAACATCAAAACATCTGGGCGTTCCCTGGGCAATGTTCTTGCAGAAGGCTAATTCTCTCACACCAGAAGCGACTTGCAGTTTATTAAGTCGCTCCTTACATGAACAAAAGTATTATTTAATATTTATATGATATGTAAGATATTAGTTAATGTTATTATACTACTTATCCTTATTTTATTTGTTATATTATATATTATTTATCTTTATATAATTTACTAGCGGTGCCCTGCCACACGTTGCTGTGGCCCAGTCTGGTGATCTGGAAAATTAAGTAATGAGAAACTGTTGGTTTCTAATATATGTAATTTCTTTATGTTTGTGGGTAAACAGTATTTGATTATGTTTTCTTGCGCTGGTGAAGAGAGTTGGACTGGATGGTCTTAAGTATTTTCTATTGGTCATAGGGGTTCTGTGTGGGAAGTTTGCACCCAATTCTATCATTCGTGGGGTTCAGGATGCTCTTTGATTGTAGGTAAACTATAAATCCCAGTAACTACAACTCCCAAATGTCAAGGTCTATTTCCCCCAAACTCCATCTGTGTTCATATTTGGGCATATTGAGTATGCCAAGTTTGGTCCAGATCCATCATTGTTTGAGTCCACAGTGCTCTCTGGATGTAGGTGAACTGCAACTCCAAAACTCAAGGTCAATGCCCACTAAACCCTTCCAGTATTTTCTGTTGGTCATGGGAGTTATGTGTGCCAAGTTTGGTTCAATTACATCATTGGTGGAGTTCAGAATGCTCATTGATTGTAGGTGAACTATAAATCCCAGTAACTACAACTCCCAAATGTCAAGGTCTATTTCCCCCAAACTCCATCTGTGTTTATATTTGGGCATATTGAGTATTCGTGCCAAGTTTGGTCCAGATCCATCATTGTTTGAGTCCACAGTGCTCTCTAGATGTAGGTGAACTACAACTCCAAAACTCAAGGTCAATGCCCACCAAACCCTTCTAGTGTTTTCTGTTGGTCAGGGGAGTCCTGTGTGCCAAGTTTGGTTCAATTCCATCGTTGATGGAGTTCAGAATGCTCTTTGATTGTAGGTGAACTATAAATCCCAGCAACTACAACTCCCAAATGACAAAATCATAATTTTTGAGTGATGGTCACTCCTTGTGTAATGAGACGTTTTGTTGCCAAATTTGGTGTGATTTCATTCATTGGTTCTTTTGTTTTTAAGGTACTCATTACGCACAGAGCATTTTTATGTATATAGATTATATTATTTAAATAAGGATAAATTATATATTATTTATCCTTATTTATTATTTATTTAATACTATTTAATATTTATGTTACACTATGTAATAGCGGTCTGTTGAAGTGTGTAAAGGTTCTGTAAATCCCATCGTCTGTGCTCTATCCTTCCCCAACACTCACCCGGACAGAAAGTGCATCATAGGGAGTCTGTGTGACAAATCTGGTCCAGGTGCATCATTTTTTCGGGTTGCAATGTTTTCTGGAGGTGAGTGAAGATATTGCAATTTCCATTGTCTCTGGTCCATCCTTCTCCAATCCACACCAAGACGTAAAGTGGGTCATGGGGGGTCTGTTTGGTAAGTTTGGTCCAGACCCGTCATCCGTGGGGTTTGCAGTGGTCTCAGGAAGTGAGTGAAAGTACTGCAAATCCCATCATCCACGGCAAGTGTAGTCCAGATCCATCCTTGGCTGGGTTCGCAGTGCTCTCTGGATGTAGGTGAACTGCAACTCCTTTACATCAAGGTCAATTCCCCTCAAACCTCTTGTTCAGTTGCTGATCAATTCTTGTTTGCTGTGTGCCATAGAAAAGGGTAGGAAAGGGTTAAGGGAAAGGCAGTGGGTGGGGTCATGCAAATTATACATCAATGGAGAGAGAAAGGAACTCTGGGGTGTCCATTCTGAAGGAAAAACAGAACATCTAGCATGAAATTCTCCCCGAATGAAAGGCTTCACTTGGGTGGGGGGCAGGATGGTGTTTGGGGAAGACATTGGCAGGGATTGGGAGACATGTTAATGGCGCCTGCTGTAACCTGAAATAACCTTGGAGGGAGAGCTTTTGGTGGTTCCCCAGCACTGTGGGTTAAAGCTGTATATATACACACACACACACACACACACTAGGTGTCCTCTGCCACGAGTTGCTGTGGCCCAGTCTGTTAATCTGGAAAATAAAATAATGAGAAAGTGTTGGTTTCTAATATTTATAATTTCTTTCTGCTTGTGGGTAAACAGTATTTCTTGCTGTTTCTTTGTCAGTGTTGATGTGGAGAGTGTCTGGTTGCCCACTCTGGAACATTCAACGTATCATAGTCCTTCTTTAGGGGTCCCTTTCAAATCTATGGTACTATATCTGTATATGTGTGTGAATCATATCTATCTATCTATCTATCTATCTATCTATCTATCTATCTATCTATCTACCTACCTACCTACCTACCTACCTACCTATCTATCTATCTATCTATCTATCTATCTATCTCAATGACTGGATGGCTCTTTGTCAGGAGGACTTTGTGTTTTCTTGCCCTGATGGAGTTGGACTGGATGGCCTTAAGTATTTTCTGATTGTCATGGGGGTTCTGTGTGGGAACTTTGCCCTGATTCAGAACGCTCTTTGATTGTAGGTGAACTATAAATCCCAGCAACTACAACTCCCAAATGACAAGGTCTCTTTCCCCCAAACTCCATCTGTGTTCATGTTTGGGCATATTGAGGATTCGTGCCAAGTTTGGTCCAGATCCATCATTGTTTGAGTCCACAGTGCTCTCTGGATGTAGGTGAACTACAACTCCCAAACTCAAGGTCAATGCCCACCAAACCCTTCCAGTATTTTCTGTTGGTCATGGGAGTTCTGTGTCCAATTTGGTTCAATTCCATCATTGGTGGAGTTCAGAATGCTCTTTGATTGTAGGTGAACTGTGAATCCCAGTGACTACAACTCTCAAATGTCAAGGTCTGTTTTCCCCAAACTCCATCTGTCTTCATATTTGGGTGTATTAAGCACTTGTGCCAACTTTGGTCCAGATCCATCATTGTTTGAGTCCACAGTGCTCTCTGGATGTAGGTGAACTACAACTCCCAAACTCAAGGTCAATGCCCACCAAACCCTTCCAGTATTTTCTGTTGGTCATGGGAGTTCTGTGTGCCAAATTTGGTTCAATTCCATCATTGGTGGAGTTCAGAATGCTCTTTGATTGTAGGTGAACTGTGAATCCCAGTGACTACAACTCTCAAATGTCAAGGTCTGTTTTCCCCAAACGCCATCTGTCTTCATATTTGGGTGTATTAAGCACTTGTGCCAACTTTGGTCCAGATCCATCATTGTTTGAGTCCACAGTGCTCTCTGGATGTAGGTGAACTACAACTCCCAAACTCAAGGTCAATGCCCACCAAACCCTTCCCGTATTTTCTGTTGGTCAGGGGAGTTCTGTTCCAAATTTGGTTCAATTCCATCATTGGTGGAGTTCAGAATGCTCTTTGATTGTAGGTGAACTGTGAATCCCAGTGACTACAACTCTCAAATGTCAAGGTCTGTTTTCCCCAAACTCCATCTGTCTTCATATTGCATATTGAGTATATTTGCCAAGTTTGGTCCAGATCCATCATTGTTTGAGTCCACAGTGCTCTCTGGATGTAGGTGAACTACAACTCCCAAACTCAAGGTCAATGCCACCAAACCCTTCCAGTATTTTCTGTTGGTCAGGGGAGTTCTGTTCCAAATTTGGTTCAATTCCATCATTGGTGGAGTTCAGAATGCTCTTTGATTGTAGGTGAACTGTGAATCCCAGTGACTACAACTCTCAAATGTCAAGGTCTGTTTTCCCCAAACTCCATCTGTCTTCATATTTGGGTGTATTAAGCACTTGTGCCAACTTTGGTCCAGATCCATCATTGTTTGAGTCCACAGTGCTCTCTGGATGTAGGTGAACTACAACTCCCAAACTCAAGGTCAATGCCCACCAAACCCTTCCCGTATTTTCTGTTGGTCAGGGGAGTTCTGTTCCAAATTTGGTTCAATTCCATCGTTGGTGGAGTTCAGAATGCTCTTTGATTGTAGGTGAACTGTAAATCCCAGCAACTACAACTCCCAAATGACAAAATCATAATTTTTGAGTGATGGTCACTCCTTGTGTTGTGAGACGTTTTGTTGCCAAATTTGGTGTGATTTCGTTCATTGGTTCTTTTGTTTTAAGGTACTCATTATGCACTGAGCATTTTTATATATATAGATTGATATTATTATGTAGTGAATTTTTATCTATGTTTAAATGTTTTAGCTATTTTTATTTTGTTATGAGCATCGAATTGTGCCGTTCTGTGAGCCGCCATGAGAAATATAGTAAATAAATAAAATAAATAAAATATATAGAAGATATATATTATTCAATACTATTTACTATTTATATTATAATATAAATAAACTCTCTCTGCAGGCCCGGGCCGGAAGTGAGGCCTGCTTCCGGGGAGACTTCCGGCGGGCGGTGTCTCTCTTTGGCGAGGCCTTGGAGGCGGACCCAAGCAACTGTGCGTTGCTCAGCAACCGCTCGGCCGCCCACTTCCGCATGCGCGACTACGCAGGCGCTCTCGCCGATGCTGAACGTGCCTGCGCCATCAACCCCAAGTGGGCCAAGGTAAGTAAGGCCTTTCTCCTGCGCCTGCGCAGAAGCTGCCTTTGCTCTTGGTAGCCACGCCCCTTGCTGCAGAGAACCAATGGGAACGCAGCATGTAAATGACCCAGCTCTTTGGTTAACTAGGGAACTAGTTATGATAAAGCAAGCGAGACTAGACAAGAGTGCCACTGGCGGAGGACTCGGGACGAATTAGACAGAACATGAGCTAGAGCAGTGTTTCTCAACCTGGGGGTCGGGACCCCTGGAGGGGTCACGAAGGGGTGTCAGAGGGGTCACCAAGGACCATCAGAAAACACAGTATTTTCTGTTGGTCATGGGGGTCTCTGTGTGGGAAATTTGGCCCAATTCTATCAGTGTTGGGGTCCAGAATGCTCCTTGATTGTAGGTGAACTATAAATCCCAGCAAGTACAACTCCCAAATCTCAAGGTCTATTTTCCCAAAACCCCACGAGTGTTCACATTTGGGCATATGGAGTATCCGTGCCAAGTTTGGTCCAGATCCATCATTGTTGGAGTCTAAAGTGCTCTCGGGATGTAGGCAAACTTCAACTCCCAAACTCAAGGTCAATGCCTACCAAACCCTTCCAGTATTTTCTGTTGGTCATGGGAGAACTCCCATGTTAGATTGAGTTAGATAGATAGTATTGTGTGCCAACTTTGGTTTAATTCCATTGTTGGTGTGGTTCAGAATGCTCTTTGTTTACAGGTTAACTATAAATCCCAGCAACTACAACTCCCAAATGGCAAAATCAATCCCCCCGCCAACCCCACCAGTATTCAAATTTGGGCATACCGGGTATTTGTGCCAAATTTGCTCCAGTGAATGAAAATACATCCTGCAAATCATTATTTACATGGCAATTCATAATGTTAGGGTTATGGTTAGGGGTCACGACAACATGAGGAAGTGTATTAAGGGGTCACGGCATTAGGAAGGTTGAGAACCACTGGGCTAGAGCAATGATGGGCAACCTTTTTGAGTTTGGTGTGTCAGTACTCGCCAAAAAACCGAGCGTAACTCGAGTGGGGTGTCACTTTGAGAAAAACCCATAATTTCATGGTATTTATAGTTTAAGAAGAAAAATATATTATTGTAATATATAACTGTATTTAATAAACCAAAAACTAATTATTTAAGTTACCTGCTTTTTCTATAATGCCATATATCTCGGCATTATAGAAAAATGCTGGTGTAGGAGCCGAGGATGAAATGTCCTTCTTGGGATGTGGCCCCATCTTCTCTTTATGCGGCCGCATACGGCTGTGTGTCATCGAAAATGGCTACGAGTGTCAGTGCTGACACACGTGTCATAGGTTCACCATCATGGGGCTAGAGCCTCACTTAGGGCCTACTCTGCGGCAGTGAAGGCAGCCAGGACAGCCCACTTGGCTGCCTCCATTGTGTCTGCAATTAATAGACCGGCTGAGCTGTTATATTCTTATATTATAGTATTATAATAATTATTATTTTTATTATGTATTATAATATTAATTAATATTATAATACATAATAAAAATATATATTAATATAATATTATGTAATATTATTTATTATTACATTATACTGCAGTATTATTATTCCATTTATTAATATTATATTATTATAAATTATTTATTATATTTATTATATTACTACTTTATATTATAATATTATGGTTAGGGGGCTCTTTCAACCTGATCTTCAGTGGCTAGATGTGGCGATTTTGATCATCATTTTGCAAACATGTCGCTCAGATCTTACTTACTTACTTAGGCGATCCCTTGTTGGACGAGTAAGATGGTCTTCCATGATGTGTTTCCTTGTGGATTCGTAGGTGGCTGTGGAGCCCTATTCTTGACCCGCATCTTCTCCCACAGTGAGGGCATTGGTTTCCAGGTGGAAGGCGGTCCCGGTCGGGGTTGGCTTGACGCGCCTTCCTCCTGGCACGTTTCTCTCTTTCACCTTCCACTCGTACCTCCTCGAATTCTGTAGCACTGCTGGTCACAGCTGACCTCCTGCTGGAGCGCTCAAGGGCCAGGGCTTCCCAGTTCTCAGTGTCTATGCCAGAGATTTTAAGGTTGGCTTTGCGGCCATCTTTCAATCTCTTTTCCTGCCCACCAACGTTCCGTTTTCCGTTCTTAAGTTCAGAGTAGAGCGACTGCTTAGGGAGACGGTGGTCAGGCATCCGGACAATGTGGCCGGCCCAGCGAAGTTGATGGCAGAGGACCATTGCTTCAATGCTGGTGGTCTTTGCTTCTTCCAGCATGCTGACGTTTGTCTGCTTGTCTTCCCAAGAGATTTGCAGGATTTTCCGGAGGCAGCGCTGATGGAATCGTTCCAGGAGTTGCATGTGACGTCTGTAGACAGTCCATGTTTCGCAGGCATAGAGCAGGGTTGGGAGCACAATAGCTTTATAGACAAGCACCTTGGTATCCCTACGGATGTCCTGGTCCTCAAACACTCTCTGCTTCATTCGGGAAAATGCTACACTCGCAGAGCTCAGGCGGTGTTGTATTTCGGTGTCGATGTTGACTTTTGTGGAGAGGTGGCTGCCAAGGTAGCGGAAATGGTCAACATTTTCTAATGTTACACCATTAAGCTGTATCTCTGGCATTGAGGAGGCATTGGCTGGTGTCTGCTGGAACAGCACTTTGGTTTTCTCGATGTTCAGTGACAGGCCAAGCTTCGTGTATGCTTCTGCGAAGGTGTTTAGAGTGGCTTGTAGATCTTCTTCTGAATGCGCACAGACGACATTGTCATCAGCATACTGGAGTTCTATAACAGATGTTGTTGTAACCTTGGTTTTGGCTTTCAGTCTGCTGAGGTTAAACAGCTTGCCATCTGTCCGATAGATGACTTCCACTCCGGTCAGATCTGTTCCGACTTAGACACCAGCATTCTGGCAATACCAATGGATGTACCTTTAATTTTTTTTTATAAATTTATCAAACAAAATGTATAAGCATTACATTTTCCCCTCGTTTTACAACATCTTAGACAGAAGAGTATGTCATATATATACAATCTAACTGTAAAAAAAATCGAAAGGGGTCCCCAAACTAAGGCCCAAGTGCCAGATACGGCCCTCCAAGGTCATTTACCCGGACCTCGCTCAGGGTCACCCTAAGTCTGAAACGACTTGAAAGCACACAACAACAACAACAATCCTATCTCATCAGCCAAAAGCAGGTCCACACTACCCATTGAAATACTAATAAGCTTATATTTATTAAAATTGCTCTTCATTTTAATTATTGTATTGTTTTTCAGTGTTTTTTGCACTATAAATAAGATATGTGCAGTGTGCATAGGAATTTATTTATGTTTTTTTCACATTATAATCCGGCCCTCCAACAGTTTGAGGGACTGTGACCTGGCCCTTTGTTTAAAAAGTTTGTGGACCCCTGTTTTATCTACTTATATATGTTTTATTTCTTTATAATTATTATTATCCCATTTCTCCCCCCCTCCCCCTTCCCCTTGGTTTGTGCCCCCTTCACCAGGATCAACCGACTCATGTTGTTTCACAATTCTAAAATATCATTGTTTCTGTTGCTGGCTTATACCCCTTTCCTTCATTAAAGATATACTCAATAAATTTTCCCCATATTTTCCAAAAATCTGTTTGTTTCCATATTCCCGTTTTAATTTTAATATCCCATGTCAGTTTGTCATTAATAGCTATATCCTAAATTTCCCCTAAACCATTTTTCTAATTGAATTTCTTTTTTTTTCTTTCTAGTTTTTTTTTTTGCTATTAGCAATTTAGCTGCTGTTATCAAGCTAGAAGCCAATTCTTTCTCTTGTGAGGGAATTAAATTGTCATGTATAAGTAAAAATGCTAATTTTGGTGTAATCTTGATCTCTATTTTATTATTGCTTCTATTTCTTTAATACGATTTCCCAAAAATTTTGTATAGTTGTACATGACCACCACATATGAAGGTATGTCCCTATTTCCTGACAGCCTCTCCAACACTGATTTGAGTATTTTTTATCAATCTGATTTGATCTAATGAGAGTTAGATACTACCTCCATACCGTTTTATAGTAATTTTCCTTAATTCTTATAGACATATTTTAGTAATCTCATACTACATATCTTTGCCCATTCCTGATTATTCACTTTTTCCCCAAGTCAATTCCCAGTCTTTAGGAGGATCCTGAAAACGCGGTTGTTTCAGTGTGCCTTTCCAGAATAAGGAAACTCCCAGCAATATGTCCCTAAACGCACTTTACTAGTAATCTAGGTTTGTCTGCACATTTCATCCCTCTCCAAAACTTCTATCCTAGTTATATGTCACCTTGTCATGCCCAGCATTATTTTTAAAATTTTAATTATTACATTTGGCCCAGCCATAGGTTTTTAAATGCGTCGTGTTATTGTTAATGTTTATTGCTTTTTTCTGCTTATGAGTTTATTTATTGTTTTGTATTACTGTTGCTATTGTTTATTGTTGTATTGTGGGCTCGGCCTCATGTAAGCCGCACCGAGTCTCTTGGGGAGATGGTAGCGGGGTACAAATAAAGTATTATTATTATTATTATTATTATTTCCTTCAAATAGTCTTGTTCCTGTTCATCCATTAATAATAGTTTATAGATATCACTTACTGTACCTTTTAATGTTATATTCTCTTCTTTAGTCTCCCTTTGAGTTATCATCTTTTCTATTTTTGTATATTCTCTACCCCATTATACTTTTTCTTTGTAGCACTTGACCATTTACCAAATTGTAGATACTTGTACCAATCTAAGTCTCTTAATTCCTCTTTTATCCTTTTCATATTTACCATCTTTTAGTTTCATTAAACCTCTTCCATTAAATTCTGCTTCAAGTTCTTTTTTCAGATTTTCTGTCATTAGAACTGGTATGATAATTACCCCTGTAAAATATATATATCATGGGTAATATCCTCTATTACCCCTGTAAAATATATATTCTAATTTCAGTTCTAACTTTTATCATCTTCTTCCAGCCACTCCAAGCTCTTTTGTTTTGCTAAACAGTCTACAATAA